AGGTCAGGTGGGCTAGGACTCCAGTCCGTGCGATGAGGAGGTGCTGAACACGGGCTCTGGGGCCTTGAGCAGCCTCTGTGCCTGCCTTAATGCACTCTGCCTGCCAACAACTGTGCAGGTGGGCCTCGTTACTGCCCCCTGGGGAGACGGAGGCTCTTGCCTGAGGTCCCCTGTCTTCCCAAGACTGTCTGCTGCCTGTGTCGCCACCATCTAGGAGTCCGTCAGGGCCTTAGCGTGACAGCTCCAGAGCTCTGACACTTTGCAGATGGTGACATGAGAACCACGGAGGGCCAGGGCCTTGTGTGCTCATGCTCTGTTTGCGTGGCCGCTTCTGGGCTCCAGGGTGGGTGGGGCATGTCTGTGTCCCCTTTTCTGTTCTGGAGCACTTGGAAGGGAGAGACCAGGACTGCCCCTCTCTGAGCCTCTTCCACACAACTGCATGGCCGGGGAGGGCAGGGCAGGTGTTGGAGAGGGAGCTCCAGGCGGGAACCTGCTGGACCCTGACCCGGCTCTGAGTCCAGGCCCTTAGGAGACGGTGTGCCACTCAGTCAGTTGCTGTGGCCTTGCCAGAAACACAGACATGGTGCATGCCCCAATGGCAGGAGCTGCTGGGAGTGTGGCTCTAGGCCCGGTGTTTCAAGGGCCAGCCAGTGGGGTCAGATGTTGGGGAGAGATGTTGGTGCCAAGGCTGGGCCCCTGGCCAGCGGTCTTCCAGCTGCGTGTGGAACCCCTGGGGCATCTTGCCCCTGGCCTTCCTCCCCCAGCACTTCCACACACCTGCTTGACCCCCAGGCCCGTGAGCACAGTTCTGCCCCAAGAGTGGATTCTGTGGTCACAGGAAGTCCATGGAACAGCGCCGGGGTGGGGGTGCCAGGAGCTGCAGGCCGGGTGTCTGCCTGCTGCGGCAAGTGGAGGTCCCATGCCAGTGGGGCAGAGGGAGGCAGAGTGGCGGTCAGCCCAGCAAGATGCTCCGGCTGGCTCAGACAAGCCATCAGGGCACCTGGGCAGGGCCTAGGGAGTCGGAGATCCCTCAGGAGGTCCAACCTCAGGCCTCACATCCCCCTTCCCCGTTTTACAATGACGACACTGACCCAGAGAGAGACACGACTCATGTTGAGCTGGACCCTGGCTTGGAGCCCTGAGCTCCAACTCTGGGCCCACGCTGTCCTTGCCCAGGGACTCAGACTCCTGTGGCGGCCCCAGGGGGGACTGGGGGACACCAGCACCCCCACCCATGCACTGGCCCCAGCAGGAGGTATCACGAAGCTTCCGGCTGTGTGTGTTGGGGACCGAAGCCACGGGTGGGGGGCTGCTGCTCCTTTGTGGCTCAGACACTGCCCCCCTTGTTCACATACCCCCAGTAACCACCTGGACGATGGAAGTGCCCGTGGTGGGGGCATGGGAGGCCGTGCCGGAGATCGGATTGGGGAGGGCGTGGTAAAAGGGGCTGTGGGGAACCCCTGGAGGAACGCATCTTGGGAGCTTGCATATACCGGTTATTTGGGTCTAAAGCGTGCTCAAGCCCCATGCCTATACCGATCCCTGCCACGTTCCCCTCTGCTCCAGCCTCACCCACTGCGTGGCTGGCCCCCCTCTGGGGTATGGCTGTCCTCCTGCTCCCCCTGGGTATCATCCAGACCCCAGTGTGCTGCCCTTTGGGGCTGAGAACGGGGATGGTGGTCACGGGTATCTGGTCCCTCCTGGTTCTGTGCCTTTCTTCAAAAAAGGACTTTCTGATCCGTGAGATACAGGGACCCCCTGGAGACCTTCCTTGCCTTGTGAGCTGGTCTGTGTCTTCTGGGTAGGTTCTGTGTTGTGGGGCTGTCGCTGCCCTGTCGGCTCCCCAGCGATGCCAGGACCGGGATGCGGGATGCGCTCATGCCTGCTGGGGGACCCCCTGGCATCTGGGCACTTTGTCCCGCTGCTTACGTGGACACACCAGTTCCTGTGGTCCTGAGGCACAGGGTTCAAAGCGGGGACCCAGCCCACCTGCCTTTTCCCAGTGCAGTCATTTAACATACGGCAGCACAAGGGTGGTCTCCAGGTTCCAGCCTCCCCTCCAGTGTCTTTGTGGCTTTGGCCCTGGTCTTGCCTGGGACCCTTCTGGCATCTGTGTGAGCTGGGCTGCAGCGGGGGGCTGTGCCCTCGACGCCGGGCCAGGAGCTTTGGGCTCCAGCCACGATGCGTGGATTGGAGGACCATAGCAGTGAGCGAGGCTGACACCCGCATTTTGCAGATACTGAAACCGAGGGCCCGAGAGGGGCCATGGCTTGTCCTGGGCTTCCCTCGTTCCTGTGACCCTGACCACTGGGTCATATTCTTAGTGGACAGCAGCTCCCCGAGGCTTGCCTTAGACCATGCCGCATGCTATCTCCGAATGGGGGCTCTCACCTGGATGAAGTCACAGCTTCGTGGGCCAGCTGGGCCACCAAAGCAGATAATTAGGCAAGGGAGTGAACCACTCTGTGGTTCAGTTTCCTCATCTGTAAAATGGGAACAGTGACCACTGCCTCACCACCTGTTTGAGGACTGAACGTTACACCATCCCACAGCGCAAGACCCGGGTTCTAGCCTCGAGTGTCTGGCTCCAGCTCTCCCAGGTCCAGAATGGGGAACAGTAGGCGGGACTGTGGGGCCTCCTTGGGGAGCAACAGGCCCCCTCCCCCAGCATCATCCCAGTGCTTCAGGAATGCCAAGCACCCCTCCCCGCTCCTGGCATCAGCTGGCACCTGTTACAGGCCCTCCTTTGTGTCTTGGCACGGAAACCAGTGTCTCAGAAGAGCCGGCACTCAGCCCCGGGACCCCATGGGAGGGACCCACCATGGGGGGGCAGGCCCCAACAGATTCAGGCCCACTGCATCCAGTACCCTACCTGCCGGAGGGTGACGTGGGGAAGGATACACGAGGAGTGGGTCCTGCTGGGGCATGTCCCCCAGCCCAGGCCCAGGGCAAGTCCCCATCTGCCATAGCAGGTGGGGCCTGGAAGCAGGCCTGACCAATCTGGTCAGGGATGGCAGTGACAAGGGAGCAAGGGTTGATGTGTTGTCTGCCTCCAAGGAGACACGTGTCAGCTGCGCCCTTCCCAGGGTGGCACGAGATGCTCTTTGCCTCCAGGAGCACCTTATCCAGCGGATTCCCAGGGCTGACTCTGGGGCTGTGGAGTCCCAGGCGAGGAAGTCCCTGCTACCATCCCATCCACCTCAAGGTCTCTCAAGCTCCACTGGTGAAGTCCAAAGCTGTCCTGAGCCCACTCAGCTGCCCTTGTGTCTCATCTGCCCCTCAACCATCTCCTTGCCAAGCAATCTCTGGCCTTTCCTTAAATACGTCCTGGGATGGGGAGCTCACTCCCTGTCAAGACCCTTGCCTCACTTTGGATCAGAAGGCGCCTCCTGTACTGACCCCAACGTCTGTCTCTGTTGGCTTCCCCCTGCTTGTCCTAGCCCCTGCCTGGACTGTACCCGTGCCCTCTGCCCCACCGGAAACAGCCCTTCAGAGACCCAAAGCCTGCGAGTGGATGTTCCCCAGAGAACGGAGTGAATCCTGGGCCTCAGCCATGACGGAGCCCAGCTTCTCCTGCAGCTCCCTGCCCCTGTTGGATCACAGAGAAAGCTGGGCCTGGAGAAGCTAGGTGTCTGCTCTGGGTCACACAAATCGTGTCCGGGACAGGGCAAGGCAGGGAGGAGCCCACACGGGCCTGCAAGGGCTAGCTGGGTGAGCTCACCCGAGCGTGTGGACTCATCCCTGGCAGGCCCCAGGCTGCCTGTCCCTCACCTGCACCTACAGATCAGTGTAGGGGAGCCTGTCAGGCCACCCTCACGGTGGGGGTGAACTTGGCTTCCTAGTGGGCCTAGGTAGGTTCTAGACTGACCACTCCCAGCTCATTATGAGGCCGAGTCCCTGGCCTCTTAAGTCTTTTCTAGAAGGTTCTCGGGCCCTGGACAGGGCAGTGGTGCTGGTCTCGAAGGGCTGGAGGGGTCGGATATCTGTGCTGGTTGTCGGCCTCAGGCCCCAGTCCCCTGTGCTCCCCTTGGCTGCCCAGTAGCACGGGGAGGGAGGGATGAGAAGGAGGGCCAGAGATGGTCACCAAGCCTCAGCTGTCCCAAGCATCTGCTGACTACCCCTCAAGCCAGATGAGCTCATCCCAACCACCCTGTTCTTCCCCTTTGCCTGTCACTGCCCACGTGGGGCTAGGGCCTGGGCCAGATGCACTCTGACCTCTGGGGCCCCACCCTGAGCCAGGGCCTGGAGGCTGGAGGTCGGCTGTTGCGGGGACAGATGTTGTCACATAATAGAGCGCATGTGCTGGTTTTGGGCTCTGTTCAGACAGACAGGAGAGGCGGTAGTGGAAAGCCTGCCCAAGCCCACGCCAGCCCGGGGACGCGCAGGTGACCTCAAGAACGCCTGTGCCAGCTGCTGCCTTCCTGGCTGTTGACACATCTGGTCTACCTCAGCATCCCAGGGTGGGAGGTGGCAGGTGATGGTGTGGGCTGCTCTGGATCAGGAATGCAGGCCAGGAAGGGACCAGAACGGGGTGCCCCTGCGCTGAGCCCTGATCTCTGATCCCGATGAGGAGGGCCGGCTGCCCTGGGGGCTGGCCCCAGCACGTCCCCAACCTCAGGATGCAGACTCTGCCTGGCTCCCAGGCATTCTCTCCTCCCTCCACGGGCCTCACTGACCAGGATACAAGGCTTTGTTTTCTGTCGTTTTGTATTCTGGACATAGAAGACATGCTTCTCCAGTCCCGCGGCTCCAGAAAGTCCAGTCTGGGCTACAGATTGAGAATCTCGTACCCTAAGCATTGAACCCTATAACTTTGGGACCAGAGAGGCCCCCAGCCCATCGCTGCCAGTCCCAGTGCTGAGGCTGGGGGGGTGGGGGAGGGGCAGGGCTAGCAGGGGAGCCCAGAGACGAGGGTAGGGGTAGGAGGGCTGTGCGTCCTGCCGGGGCACCTGTCCCCGCTGCCACGCTGCCCAACAGCCCTGGTCTCTTCCCACTTGCAGGTGATAGCTGTGGTCATGGACATGTTCACCGACGTGGACATCTTCAAGGACCTGCTGGACGCCGGCTTCAAGAGGAAGGTGGCCGTGTACATCATTGTGGACGAGAGTAACGTCAAATACTTCCTGCACATGTGTGAGCGGGCCCGCATGCACCCGGGGCACCTCAAGGTGAGCTGGCCGGTCCAGAATGACCGAGCAGTCACTTAGTGGGTCAGCAAACACTTGCAGCACCTGCCTCCTAGGGATGGAGCCCCATGCCAGGCACAGAGAGTGCAGGCATCCTGGAGCCTCCTGCCATGTGGTCACCTGACCTCTGCCTGGCTGCCCAGGGGGACAGGACGCTCTCTACCTCCTCCGACAGAGATAAGATAAGTGGTAGTTAAGGGCCAGAGCTGACGCAAGGTGCTATATCACGTGTGATCTCTGAGCAGCCCAGGCCACATTGATTACCTGTCTTTGCTTGCATGCCTCTAGTGACAGGGTGCTCACCACCCAGGCTTCCACAGCTCACATCTGATCTGGAGAGCTCTGACTCTGATTCTTGGGCTTAAGCCAGAATCTGTGTCTGTATGATGTCCACCCCCCGGTTTTAGGATCTGGCTCCAGCAGAAGTTTCCTTGGGCTGAGGTCAGGGAAGGCTTCCTTGATGGCTGCAGAGTTCAAATAAATTGGAGGAGGAAGAGCAGCATAGAAAGGGCTTCCTAGGGAAGGACAGCATGGAGCAGAGGTGGAGGGATCAGCATGAACCCAGGTTCTTAGCGCTGCTTTGCTGTGTGTCCTTGGGTTCATCACCTCCTGTCTCTGGGCTCCGGGATCACAATGGTCCTGAAGAGGGCCAGATGGGCCACTGTGGCTGGGCTCTTCCACTCCGACACCCTGCATTTGATCCCATGTTTGGGGGCAGGAGGAGCCCTCCTTCCACCGAGCTATCGCTTGGCACCTACTGTATGCAGCATGGTCCCGAGAAGAGTATGGATGAGTGTGCATGACAACAGTGAATGCTTTCACAGAATTTCACATGGGTCAGTCCCATCCTAGGCACCTGACACAGTTGATTTATTGACTCCGCATGACGACCCAGTGGGATAGGGCAGTTGTTCCCATTTTACAGATGAGGAAATTGAGGCACTTGTGCTAGTGTCACTCGCGGCCAGTAAGTTAAGCATAAGGGGATTGGGGGCCAGCACTAGAGCTCCCTGGCCGAGTCCCAGTTTTTGACGGGTCACGTTTCCTCGGGCTTCCGGCCTGTGATCTAAACACAATCCCCAGAGAAGGGGGGACGCCAGACTAGTTAACAAGAGGCTGGGTTCCTGTGCCTGTAATTTGTCGGTGTTCATCAGGTATGCCCACCCATCCCAGCCGAGCCCTTTCAAGTGGGTATGAGCTCTCCGGACGGTGAGTCTGTGGCTGTTGGGACATTTTTATGTGGTCTCCCTGGTGGGTTGACCCCAAGCGCCACACTCACCCAGCGTTCTGCCCGCCGTGTAATTAGCACCGAGAATCAACTCCCGGGGCAGACAGCTCACGCTGGAGAGGTCCAGGGTGTAGAAAAGGCGTCTTTTGAAAGGCGACTTGCAGAAGCCTCTGCCCTGTGGGCAGCAGATCAGAGAACCTCTGGGCCCATCCCCTGCACCCTTGCCACGAGCCCAGTGGACGGTTTACACACTCGCGTGGCTCCACCCCCGCACATGTGCCTGGAGTGGGATGAAGACGCAAGGAGTGGGCTTGTCCATGCCGAGCAGGATCTGAACCGGGGACTGGCCTCGCCCCTGTCCTGTGTGTCTTCTTCGTAGGGAAGTCTCAAGTGTAAGTCTGCTCAGAGCGCTCAGAGCTCCCGGGAAGTGAGAGGCAAGCAGGACTGGGCTGAGAACGCGGCCCTGGGGCTGCTCAGCTCGCTCCTGGGAGGTTGGCTCCTGCCCTCACTGCCCGCCCACCATCCTGCCTCTGCTCCCCGGTGTGATCGGGGGGTGGGGGGAGCTCAGAATCTGTTGCAGCCCCACAGCTTCATAGGGGCCTGAAATGCCTAAGCTGGGCCTCGAGGGCCACAGACTAGGCTCCCTGTGGGGCAGATGGGGAAACTGAGGCCGCAGGGAGGTTGTGACTTGCCCAGAGGCATTCTGCCAAGTCAGCGGCTGAACCTGACCACCAGTAATGAGAAGTTGGCACAGACCAGGAGGGAGAGAGCCTCGGCGCCTGACCTCCCCGGCTGAGGCCGCACCTGCCATTGGGGCAGTCCCAGAACTGCCCACGGGGGCTCACCGTGCAGACCCACTGTGAGACTCGGGCACGTGGCTCCCCCTGTCTGAGCCTCCGGTGCCTCGTGGCCGTGATGATGCCTCATAGGCTTGTTTGAGGATGAAATTAGAGGAGACAGTGGTTATAAAAGCGCTCCATGTGCTAAGGGGAGTTACACAGCTGCTGGCAATAACAAGAAGTTATAAATCCCAGGCCCGGGGCAGGCGAGGGTGCGGTGTGCGGCCTCCCCCCGCACTTTAGCTTGAAATGAGGCCAGAGCCAGAAGCATGGGCAGGGCAGTTCAAACCAGGGGTCCCTGCTCTGGGGAACAGAGCATGGTCCAGACCGTCTGCAGGGACGGTCTGCAGTGACATGAGTACCCAGGAGCCAGATGCCACGACGGAGGGGTGGGCCCTTCATGGGAAAGAACGGATGCCCCTGACCCCCTCATTCTTGCTGTTGAGCCCACCCCCTCCACAGCCTGGGCAGTTGGCCAAGGGCTCCTATGCACCCGGCCCTGGCCAGGTGTCACCTTGTTGAGGGCCTGCCTGCTTGGCCTACCTCCCTGCCTGCGGGCCAACTGGGTCTGGACCTGTCTCAGGAGCACTTCCTTTGCCAGTAATCCCTGGGCCCGCCTCAGCCGCCGGCCACCCCTGCCCAGCTCTGCAGTGACCTGCCCTCAGCTTCTATGGGCCCGGGATCGGTTGTGCCTGTTGGGGTCATCCTTGTGACCATGGGGGTGTTGGGCACCGGTCTGGGCAGGGCCGGGAGCCAGGACTGAGCCCTGGCTCTGCCACCTGCGCCGTGACCCTGGACGAAGATATGAAATCTTTTTCAGCCTCAGTTTCCTTGTCTGAAAAATGGGACTCTCCCCCATTTATTTGGCAGGGCTTCTCTGAAGAGTAAAGGAAGCCATGTGGGGGCAGGGCGCTCAGTCATGAGCTCTCCCTGCCCTGTCCTGGAGCTCTTCTCGTGAGATCCCAGCTCTGGTCTAAGAGCCAAGGGGCTTCCCTCCCGCTTCCAGCTGTGTTCGGGCTGGGAGCCACCCCCACCCCAGCCTCATGCCTCCTGAGCTCTGAGCTCCCACAGCATATTCTGCAAACAGCTGCGGCATTGTTTGGGCTAAGCCCACTCGTGCTTTCTAGCGGAGTTGGAAGGCCAAGCACTAGCACCTTCCCAGGTGTGAGGGTCCCAGCCGTCCCCAAGCCCTCCAGCCTGCTGGCTCGGCTGACCCCTAACTCCTTTAGGCAGGGAGTGTGGGAATGAGCATCTCATATTACAAACAGAGAACAGGGCCGGAAAAGAGGACCCAGCCCTCTGGTCCGCACAGGGCACAGTGCCTCAACAGGTAACCCAGTCACATTTGGGGTGAGACTGAGGGCCGATGGATGCCCCAGAGGCAGGGGGAGCTAGGCAGGCTGGGCTGGGCCTCAAGCCTCGCAGCTGAGACAGGACCAGAGCAGCGAGATGCCTGGCTGATCGGAAAAGGTAGTCAGCTTTGTGCCGCCAGACTGGAAAAACCAGCAGCCACCCTGATGAGGACGCAGGAATTCAGTCTGTGGCTCAAGTTCCACGCCAGCCAGGCCAGCCTCGGCCCCATTCTGGCACCCAGGGTTTCCCCCCACTGCTGTCCTGCTGTCTCTGATCCTGGCCTGTCTCTGTAATGGGCTCGGGGGGTGAGGCAGTACTTCCCAACCATGTAGGGTTTGCCTGGCTTGGCCCATTTGTCGATGTTCGGGGGCTTTTGTAGTGGTTGTGACTGGGAGGGGGCTATTGGCATCGGATGGGTAGAAGCCAGAGCCGCCATTAAATGTGCCGTGTGCAGTGCACAGCCCCTGCAACTGGACATCATCTGGCCCAGAATGTCAGCAGTGCCAGGCCCGATAGACCTGGCCTGTGGGAGGGGCCAGGAGCCCCTCCGAGTCAAGGTCCTGGAGCTGGGCTGGCTCAGCGCTGCCCCATCCCCTCATCCCAGCTTCGTGATGGCCCCGGGAGGCCACGGTGAGCATGGCTATCGGACCCCCGTGACAGAGTGAAACAGACCCTTTAGAGGAGAGCAGAGGCTGGCTGGCTGCCCAGTACATGAGGACATGGGCTTTCTGTCCCCTGCAGTTGGCACAGCAGGCTAATCTCACTGTCACCAGCCAGGCCTGGTCAGGGTGCATCTCTGGGCTCCTCCTTGGGCAATGCCAGCAGACCCCCGCAGAGGCTACCACGGGACAACTGGGGGCTGGACCCCACCAACTGGAGACCATGGGCCGGTCACACCCCTCGCTGAGCTCCCTTCCTACCATCACAAACTGGCTGCCGGTCCTGGCCTCCCCAGGCTGACCCATGACGTTCTAGGTATGTTCTGGTCCTCCATGTTGGTCCCTTCTTGCCCCCCATGAGCAGAAGGGGTCACGTCCCTGCCGCACTGCACGTGCTGTCACACTCTCACGGATGTGGAGGGTCTGTCGAGTGCCAGGCACCTCACTGGCCCTCACCCACCACCCCTGCATTTCCTCAGGCTTTCATAGTAGCCCCGAAGCAGAAGGCTGGGGAGCCCCCTTCACAGGTGAGCAAACTGGGGCCTAGGAAGGCCCAGCTGGGACTGGAGCCATGCTTGGCCAGAGCCCGAGTGACCCACCTGCTCCAGCGGGGGACTGGGCTTGTCCCCTTGGCCTGCCACCAGCCCACGTGGGGCCCCGAGCAGCTTGGTACGGGGTCAGGTTGCATCTTTGTGAGCATAGGAGGCCCAGTAGGGAGTTGCGGGCAGGCACCTGCAAGTCTGCCCCGGCCTAGTGCCCACCCCACCGTGCCCCACACATGCTTGGGGCCACAGCTGCTCTTGGAGCGGACGGAGCGCTGCCCAGTCCTTCCCTGAGGTTGTCTCAGGGACCGATCGCTGCCCCCTTCTGTGTCCGAGGAAGCTAAGAATCCCGAGTGTCCAAGGCCTTGCCCAGGCACCCCACCGGAGCCCGTCTGGGTGTCCTCCACCCTGCCTGCGACGTGCTCTGCTGGGGGTGCCCTGGGGCTTAGAGACAATGCGGCTTTGTGGAATCCTCTACCTTGTGCACCCAAGCCCTGAGACGTTACCTCATCCGGGCCAGGCCCCATGGGGCGGGCCCCCCCGCCGCCCCAGGAACAAACAGGGGAGCTGCCATGATGGGAAGGGGGTGCTGCCAGGGGGCTGCCACAATCCCCCACCCGCTGCTGTTGGCCGCAGGGTCGGATGGGCCTTAGAGCCTGAGGCCATCTGTGCAGCGTGCGGACAGGGAAAGTGAGGCCCAGAGAGGGCCAGGACCCTGCTTAGAGTCACACAGCACATCCGGCGGAGCCAAGGCTCCTCTCACTTGGAGTTGAGTCACTCTGAGATGTAGGTGGTGACCTTCTGAGCCCTTCATGGGGACGGGCTTTGGGGTGGGCGGGGGCAGATACTGCTGAGAGGGGGACTGAGGCTGGTGTCTGTTCTTCCAGGCCAAGGAGCAGCCTGTGGCCCCAGCAGGCAGAGCTCTGGGCCGGGAGCCCACAGAAGCCACAGAGCTGAGCTGTGGTCGGGCACAGGTGGCAGGGAAAGGCCTCACACCGCCTCCAGGATCTTTGTTCCAGCTTCTGGTCCCCAAGCATGCTCTGTGTTGGGTACAAAGTCACGAGCTCTAATTGTCCTGGGTTATGGCCAGCTTCCTGCTGAGCTGGCTGTGTACAGACACGCAGCCTGGGGGGCAGGGGAGCCGGCCCTGGGAGGAGAGGCTTATCTGCCTACGGGGCTGGGCCCAACAACAAAGGTGGGCATCCATGCCATATGGTTGCCGTCTGGGGAATGCCCTGGGACTGTCCTGGGACTGCCCAGCAGAGAGGGGTCTGGTTCCCATCACAGAAGGAGCAGACGCAGGAGCACCCTTGGGCTGGGGGTCCGAGGGAAGGACGGATTCCGGCTCTCTTAGACCCGTTCCTTTCTCCCCATCACCCCCGCCTTGACAGGACGTGTACCCCCTGCCCAGCAGAAGCCCTCTCCTCCCCCCTCTCCCCTGCCCCTGGCCCCGTTCACTGCGTGCACCCTCCCACTGGATGCCAGGACTGTTTGGAGGGGCAGTTCCAACCCTGTCACTCCCTGCTCTGAGTCCTTAGTGGCTCCCTACTGCCCCCAGGGCAGAGCCGGCCCCGGAGCCTGGGTAGGGTCTTTCATCGGCATGTGGCCGAGCCCGCTGTGCAGGCTCCATCGCCCACCCTCCTCCCGCAAAGTCCTCGCAGGTCGTAGATGCTGCTCCCGTTGCCTGGTCTTTGTGTTCCCACGTTTGGAATGCTGCACCCTCTTCCCACCTGATCCACTCATCCCTGACTTCCGGATGTCAGCCTCCCGGGAGCTCGCCCCAGCACCAGCCCCCCCCAACCCAGAGCTGGGGTTCTGACTCCTCTGTCTCCACCCCCACCTCCCGTGTGGGAGCCTCATCACCTTCCCCTTGGTCTGCAGCTGGGGGCCTGGGCAGGGGTGAGCGAAGTCCGCACAGATCCCTCTGGAGGGAGTGACTCCCGTCTGGGGACCGGCAGACAGACGTGTCAGAATGCTGCCAAGGAGTTCTTGCCTTGGGCAGGGGTCAGATTCCGTGGGGCTTACGTTAAACCTAAAACTCCCAGCCTGACCCGTCCAGGGGCACCTCTCCAGGCCCCCCCACTCCGGGAGCCTGGGTTTCCAACACCCTGCCGGGGCCACACTCACACCAGTAAGCCCAAGGGTCTTTCCTATCCTGAGGCTTTACTTTGGGGTCCCCTCCACTCCTGGGTCTCAGCCAAGGCTCTCTGCCCTTCCTGGCGCCTCCCGTGTCCGTCTGTCCTCCCCCCCCCCGCCCCCCGCTGGCTTTTCGAACCCGTCCCTGTCTCAGAGGAAGAACCTCCTGCTGGGGGAAGGGCAGCCAGCAGTCGGAGCCCTACAGCGCCCCATAGACGGCACATCAGGGAAGGAGAAAGGGCCCTTCCTTGGCCAGAGTCCAGAGAAAGGCAGGAGCGACCTGGCTCAGACACAGGCAATAGTGTCTGCTCATGACACCAAGGAAACCCCATGTCCTCCCTCTGAGTCTTAGCTCTCAGGGGCTTTCCAGCTTGCCCTGTGGGTTCAGCCATTTACTGATCGACTGCTGGGTGGCAGGCCGTGAGCTGGCCCATGAGGAGGTAGGAGAGTCTGCTTCGAGCCCCGTCCTCAGTGAGCGGGGCTCAGCAGGGACACTGAGACAGCCGAGTGGGGAAGACGGGGAGAGGGACCTGGCCAGTACTCTCCTGGGAAAGGCCACAGGTTTGTCCAACAGCAATACGCCCATCCCTGAAGGCAGTCCTCCCTTCTCCCCAGCTGCACAGCCCCCATGTTACTTTTCTAAACTGCATCTGCACGCCCCTCCTGCTCAAGACCCTGCAACAGCCTCCCACCCCTGCAGCGGCTTGTCCCATGCTGGCCTGGCCCCGCAGGTCTCATCCTGCCCACATCTGCGCTGTGGACACCCTTCTGGCCACACCCAGACCATCCTGCGCCATGCCCCTTTTCACTAGCACCACCCTCCTTTCTGTCTTCCCATCACTTCCTGCCTTGGACCCCCGACCCTGTGGTCCTCACATACACCACCCACCCCCCTGCACAAAGTCTACCCCCTACCACCGTCCTGAGCACCGGGCATAGGTTGTCGCCCGCCCCCACCCCCACCAGCGTGATCAGTGCCGTGGTCATGTAATTCTGCCTCCTGTCCCCCAACGCAGAATCTCAGGGTGCGGAGCAGCGGGGGAACAGAGTTCTTCACACGGTCAGCCACCAAGTTCAAGGGTGCCCTGGCCCAGAAGTTCATGTTCGTGGATGGAGACCGGGCCATCTGTGGCTCCTACAGGTGACTCTCCAGCTTTCTGGGGGCTGGGGACAGAGGTGGCTCCTGTTCCCAGCTGGCTTCTGCCCTTAATCCTGCCTTATGACACCCTGGTTATTCCTGTTCATGGGTCCCAAAACTGCTGAGGTGTGAGCGGGGTTGGGGCACGCCCGCATGCCGCCCACCAGTCTCCGGAAGCAGGCAAGGGAGGACTCCTGTCCTCAAGACTGTTGTGCCAGCCAGAGCTGTCACCCGCCTAGAGGTGGGTGTGGGCCAAGCACACGGGGAGGTCCCTTGGAGAGCTGCCTTAGGATGGGCCAGGACGAGGATGGCCGTGGCGCAGCTCTGCAAACCCTGCCGTGCAGGGGACAGCGGGGGGGTGGGTCCCCAGCCACGTCATCCATGCAGCCAAGCCCCCGAGGATAGCACCTGCCCCGTGTGCTGGACCACGCCAGGGCTGTACTCTGCATCCCATGAGCAGTCTCACGGGGGTGCTCTAATACTCCAAGGAGCGCCCCACTGTGCTGTTTTACACAGGTGGGAGCAGCCTGGTGCACATGACCTGTCCCAGACTCAGGTCTGACCCTGAGGCTTGTGCTCACTTCTCGGTTCCATCCAGGCCCCCGTGGCCAGTCTGAGGAGCGTTGGCCTCTGGGTGCACGAGGGCTTGCTCAGACGCCCACTGCGGGGGCTGGGGAGGACTCCCTAGACTGGGGACCCGCGGCTGGAGGGAGGAGGCCAGCCCTCCAGTGCCTGACCCGGCCGCCTTGTCTCCCTGTACTGCAGCTTCACGTGGTCGGCCGCAAGGACAGACCGGAACGTGATCTCCGTGCTGTCGGGACAGGTGGTGGAGATGTTTGACCGGCAGTTCCAGGAGCTGTACCTCATGTCCCACGGTGTCAGCCTCAAGGGCATCACCATGGAGAAGGAGCCCGAGCCTGAGCCCATCGTGCTGCCCTCTGTGGTGCCACTGGTGCCCTCGGGCACTGTAGCCAAGAAGCTCGTCAACCCCAAGTACGCACTGGTCAAGGCCAAGAGCGCCGATGAGATCGCCAAGACCTCCTCAGAGAAGCAGGAGGTCAAGAAGCCCTCCGGGCTGCGGGGCGCCACCCTGGCAGAGCGGCCCGGAGACGTCCTGGAGGCGCCCCCGCCCGTCCACCCCGGCCTGCTCAACCTGGAGCGGGCCAACATGTTTGAGTACCTGCCCACGTGGGTGGAGCCGGACCCCGAGCCCGGCAGCGACATCCTGGGCTACATCAACATCATTGACCCCAATATCTGGAACCCCCAACCCAGCCAGATGAACCGCATCAAGATCCGAGACACCTCCCAAGCCGGCACCCAGCTATGGAGGCAAAGCCAGGACTGCAGCCCCGCCCCTGGGCCCAGTGACCCCCAGGATGGGGGCCCAGCGGAGAACGGCCTTCCCCAGGGGGACCCCGAGCCACAGCCCCCCGTGCCCAAGCCCCGGACGGTCCCTGTGGCAGAGGTGATTGCCCAGGACAGTGGCAGTGTTGACTGGACCCTGGGGACCCCAGAAGAGGAGACTCCGCAGAATGGGACAGTCGGCACACCACCCAGGACCCTGGGCCCTGGCCACGCCCCACTGCAGCGGCAGCTGTCTGTGACCCAGGACGACCCTGACGGGCAGGGAGCGGTGATCCCCAATGGGCTAGATGGGGAGGACGAGGAAGATGACGACGACTACGTGACCCTCAGTGACCAGGACAGCCTCTCGGGCAGCTCTGGCCACGGCCCTGGCCCCCGGCGGCCCTCTGTGGCCTCCTCTTCTGTGTCAGATGAGTATTTTGAGGTGAGGGGGCGCTCGGCCCCTCTCCAGAGGCGCCACTCAGAGCAGGTAGCCAACGGGCCGGCCCAGCACCCCCGCCGGCAGCTGAGTGCCCCCCATGTGACCCACGGGACCTTTGGTGGACCCCTGGGTGGCTCGCTGTGGGCCCCAGGTCAGGAGAGAGAAGAGGCGGGTACTCCGAGGAGGACACAGGCCCCGCATTCCACAGACAAGGAGACACAGGTGAGTCGGGGTTCCTGCCCAGGAGGGATCCCTCCCCCAGGTCTGAGCAGCCGGAGTGGTCGTCTTCCAGGGTACCAGATCCCCAGATCAGATAGCTTTGCCTGCTACAGTGGGGAAACTGATGAACGGGGTGGGGGTAGGTAGCAACAACCCAGGACTACACATGTGGCAGGTCTTTCCGACATTGGGGACCCACAGCCCCCGTGCCCCATCAAGACAACCGAAGCCAGCTACTGGGAGCCAGAAAGAAACGCGCTTAAAATACCCGGAGATATCAGACACGAATTATAGGGAGTTGACTCTGCCCAGCCATGCGGGTGGTCCACACCCTTACTTGGTGACAGCACAGAGACGTCCTTTACACCCCCAAGGTCACACAGCAGTAAGCGGTTCCTGTCTAAAGCTCATGTCAGTCCCTTTGGTGCTGGCCCCAGGGACTGTTCCCCTCCGCTCTCCCCTAGGCCAGGAAACAGCTCACATTCGTCCATTGCCTCCCCTCCTGGTGACCACTGCAGGTCCAGGACCCAGAAGCCCGGGCCCCGTGCAGCCCCGGCCCAGCCCCCCCGTGCCTGTCCTACCTGGAAACAGCGCGCGGCTGATCATGCCCGGCATGATGATCAGGCCCATGGGCAGCAACTTGAGGTAGCTGGCCAGGATGGAGCCAGCCTTGGCATGGTTCAGGTCCCGGGCGGACAGCGACCGCTGCACGATGACCTGGGGGCACGAGGAGGGGGTGAGTCCAGCTCCCCTCGGGGGAGCCTGGCGGGGGGGGCTTTCCTCTTGCTGTGCCTGAGGGAGCGGCAGGAGATAGGATGCTGTCTCTCTAGCCCTAGAGCTTCCTGAGACAGCTGAGCCTGACCCCCGATGGCATTCCCACCGGAAGCAAGCCCGTCCTGTTCCCGGGACTCCTGCTTGGTCTCCTCACTCGTCTATCAAGTAGGGAAGGGTTGAATCCCACCTGGCCAGCCACACTGGCAGCTGTCAGGGCTGGAGGACACCCTGGGTGGGATGGTATCTGGGGGACGCCTCCCCACAACCCCATCTCCCACGCCCTCACGAGAGCGGCCGCAGTCTTGCGAGTGCCGGTAGCAGATGCTGACAATGACAGTTTGACACCACTGGCCCAGGAGCTGGAGCTTTGAACCCTGGGCTTCGGGGAAGCCTGCGGTCAGGCAGCAGAGGGATGCTAGACGCCACCTCAGTGCGGCTCCTTGGGGAGCCCTAGACATAGCCTAACTGGGCCTCAGTTTCCAGATCTGCAGAATGGGAGGAGGGACAGGTCATCGGAACCCCTGGCAGCTGAGATCCCTCCTAGCTCTGACATGATTTTCTTTTGTATTTTTTTTTTTAAGTGTAACTTTAAACCACTTCACAGAGCTAGAATTTACGTATAGTTCAGCCACATAAACGGTACAATTCAGTGGTTTTTAGTACGTTCACAGGGTTGGACAGTCTGCAGCTTGTAATTATGTATGTTTTGCAGCTGAAGTCACCACCCGCAGTTCAGAAGTAAGGGTCTGTGATTTTGAACTTATTTTCCAAACATGCTGGCTGAATGCAGAGCTGCCCGCATTTCCCTCTAAGACACGGTTCTTGGTAGGACAGTCATTATGGGGCGCTGGAGTGGTGACCCCGAGTGTGTCAGGCTGACTTCAATCCTGCTTCTCCAACAGCTGCCTCTGACTTGAGTCAAGTTCTTGTCTCACTTTGGGCCTCAGTTTCCCTGTCTGGACAAGGAGGGGGTTAGACGCAGACCCTTCCCCTCTGATGTCTTATGGCTGCACTCCTCATGGGAGAAGGCATTTCCCTAAAACCCCCCACACATCAAATCCCATCATTTCCTTCTGTGCTCATGGTGGCCAGCCCTGGGAGGCAGGGAGGGCAGTTGCCATAACCCCATTCTGCAGCTGGAAAAGCTGAGGCTCACCGCCCGGGCAGAGCGAGCATTGAGCAGCAAGGCCAGGACCTTTCCTGGGGGGTCAGCCGGCTGTTGCCTCCTGAGTACGTCTCAGCACAGGCTCGGCCCAAAGCCGGCTCTCACTTCCCCCTCTCAGCCACTGAAGTCCCCGAGCCCCTGGGACTTTGTTTGTAGGATGGGACACCACCGCTGACCCACAGGGCTGCTGCCAGGACTGAGTGATGGATGAGCCTGTGCCTGGCTGCTCACGGGTTCCTTGAGTTCAGACTCTTTGGGGGGCAACTTCAAGGTCAGCCGCAGCACAGGGCTGGCCCAGGAGCATTGGGACCCTGGCACCGCTCTCTGGGAAGGTCTTAAGCCGGCCTGGTTGTTGACAAAGGGTGCTCAGACAGGGCTACCGAGGTCAGGGAGGAGTGCGGCTGAGCTTGCTGCCCATGGGGCTTTTTGCCTCCTGGGCTTGGGTTTGCTTGTTCCTGAGTTTGAGAGCATCAGCTACGCACTGCGGACGAACAAGGAAGTAGCAAAAAGTCTAGAGCCAGTGAAAAGCCCTGGGGTCCCAGCACACAGAGCCACCTGCTGGTGCCAACCAGACTGGAGGGCTGTCCTGGCACAGTGGTGGGTTGGCGTCCTACAAAGCCCTTGCTTGCTGCTGAGGGTCATGGCAGAGTCGGACCACGCACAGGGTCTCTGGGGCAAAGGTACCTACATTGTGAGGGTTCTGGGCCAAGGTCTGGCCGTCCCCCAAGCAGACCCAGCCTGAGTGGGAGGATGACAGGGAAGTAAGGCCAGGCCGTGAGGCCCCAGTGTCAGTGGTACTCGGGACTGCCTTGGGGTCAGCAGCATACTGCCTCAGCCCCCTGGTGTGACCTTGTTATCCAGGCAGTAAGGCTCATCCAGCTCTGACCTTGAGGCCAGGCAGGGGAAAGCAAAATCTGACTGATGTCCTGCCCAGAAATGGCAGTGTCCTGCCAGGCCCATGCTGAGTGGGGAGATGACAGGTTTCCTGGGGAAAGGGGCACAGGCGGGCCCTCCGCTCTCCTGAGATTCTGGGCAGACACCTGCTGTCGGGTCAGTGTGTGCCGGTGACCCATATGCGAGACGGGAATATGTTAATAGCTGGGGAAACTGAGGCCCAGCCTCCCAAGGTTCCTGAAGCTTCCTGTCCTGGATTACTTCGCACTGACACAGCCCAGAGACGGTCCTTTAGCGACCTCTCCCTCAGAGAGGGAGAGCCAGGGCTGAGCCGGCTTGAATACTCCCCATGCTGGGTGGGAGCCATGGCCATGGGGGAGGTCACTCTACTGTGGGTCCAGATCCAGGTCTGCCATCTCGGCCTCGGGGTTGTGGCCTGGGGATGGGGTTGGCCAGGCCCTTGCAGGGAAGCCTCCCTTCACTCATCTGTAGTAGCCGGCTGGCCTCAGTCCCATGGTGGGGCCCTTGGGACTCCAAGTCTAGAGGTGAGATGGTTGTCTCTTGCTCCACAAGAATTTCGCCACCAGGGGCTGCCTGGAACTGCCCATGGGCCCCTGCTGTGTTCACAGCCCAGAGAGAGCAAGAGTCAGACTCAAGAAGACCCAGCCCCCCGTGCCCTCTAGAACTTTCCCGGCCTGGATCGAGGTGCTCCCTCCAACAAACCCATCCAGCACCCTTTGTGGATGGAGGAAGCTGGGGCGGGCACAGCAGGAACTTGCCTTATCGTAACCGCAAAAGGTGGGAATATTCCCATAGGATACAGGGAAACTGAGGCCCAAAGTAGTGAAACAGACTTGTCTCGGGCCACAGCGGGTGAGTGGCAAGGCCAGGAGGCAAACCCAGGTGTGCCGTCTGCGTCGTGCCCCCAGCCCTAGGGGTCTCCTCACTGTCTCTGCTCTTTCTTTCCTAGGGCCAGCCCATCCCCCACTATAGGGTCCCTGCCTCAGGGACCAGGGAGAAAGATGGCTTCCTGCGGCCGATGAGGACCTCGGGACCCCTGCGGTACCGCCCTGCTGCTGATGGCCCCCAGAGCTCTACCAGGAAAGCAGGCCCGGCCACAACAAGCCCATACTCCTGGCAGATCAAGGGGGGCCCCATGCCCCGCACCCCGGCCGATCCTGGGACCCCGAGGCCAGCCCGAAATGCCAGCTCCCAGGCCGATGGCAGGGTCCCTGAGGAGCAGCCAAGCCCTTTTGGAATCTCGTACTCCAAACTCTCCCAGTCCAAGCACCTGAAGTCCAGGACGGGCAGTGGCCAGTGGGCCTCCTCTGATTCCAAACGGAGGGCTCAGGCCCCACGGGACCGCAAGGACCCCTAGCACCCGGTCCCTGGGCCTGGAGCCATGCGGTCCACGGCCTCTGCCCCAGCCCAGACTCACCAAGCAGGTATCCGTGGGGCTTTGCCAGGGCCGGGCCGCTGGGCCACCTGGACCCTCCAGAGCCCGGCCCAGAAGGCAGGAGGGTGGGCTGGATTGACACGCACCTGATCTGTGCACCAGTACCAGGTGGCCATGATGGTCAGACCAAAGGTCATCCCCGTCCATGGGAGGTCCCCCGTGTAGGGATCTCGGAACATGTGCATGGCGTCTGCCCGCGGCAGGTGGCAGGTGGTGTTGGCAATGGTCCGGGATGGGATGGCCTGGGCGTAGGCTTCCTCCAGCTGCTCATACCCGCCAATCTGGTCAAAAGCTAGAGGGATCAGGGCAGGACAGGGACATGTTGGTGGCTGGTGGCCCTGACTCCGGGCCCCCACTTCCCAAGGCATCAAACTTGACTTTTTCCCATTCACCTTTCCCGGTGTCTGGAAAGGTATGGAGGGTAGAGGGTTTAAAAAACAAAAACAAAAAACAGGGGAATTCAAATGACTGTTTTATTTGTATTTAATGTAAGATTATTAAATAAGCATTTTGCACGTGGACACCCCAGGGTCCTCTTGGCCCCTGGATGCCCGTTGGCCTCGGGCGAGGGGTTCTCTGCCAAGCTTCAGACTGTGGACTCAAGGGAGCGAAAGTATTTTTTCTTGGCATTCGAGGACCTTCCCCCCCAAGGAGTCTGAAGTGTTAAAGTCCTGACCTGGGGCTTCTGAAGGATGTGATTTTGCAGAGCTGAGGAGGCCCGGCAGTCATGTAGCACTGAGAACAGAACGAGTCCCAGAGGGGACAGGGGACTGACCCGGGCCTTGTGGCCAGCCAGCTGGGGCACGGGCCACAAGTCATTTCCTGGAGACCAGACCACTTGCACTCCCCCACTGTTCCCGTCTACCTCAGGGTCAAGGGCCCTGTGTGGCCACACCCCGGCCCATCTGTGGCTTCTGCTGTGTCCGCAGTCACTCCCCCCACTTCCAGCCTGGGCCTGGGTGCCAAGCTCCCTCTCCCTCAGGGGTTCCAGGGACGTGGGCCCCTGGTCTGGAAGGAGGCAGACACACACAAGTCTGAACACAAGACTGTCTCATCCACCTGCTCTCTGCCCCTCTCCCCCTGCCTTTCCCAAGCTGGAAGCCTGCTGCCTGGACCTTGGCCCCCGGCTCACTGCCCCCTGGAGCTCGGGCACGGGCAGGTCCTCAGAGCAGACGCACAAGTGCTATCCTAAGGTCGGAAATTGCCGGGCCACGGGATCCTCCAGTCCGAGTCTGGACGAGGCTTGAAAGACCTCTGTTTGCTCCTGTGGGTAATCCTTCTGGCTTGGATTGCAGAGGTACAGGGAGGTCACTACCTAACAGGGCAGACCTGCAAGTTTCGTCCACGTTCTCAGACAGTATCCCTGACCTGTCTGCACCCTCTTCCCTCCTCCCCTGCCCCGGCCAGCGGCGGTAGCTGCGCTTCTCGGGATTACGCACGTGATTATGGACATTTGGAGCAGAGGCCCAGGCAGCTCTGCGGTTTCCTGATGGTGTGCATGGCTGCCCTCGGCCCCCCGCTCACCATCAAGCCCCAAGCCAGCCCGGGGTGGGTGACACTCTGAGGTAGGCAGTGGAGGTGAGAAGGGAGCGGGCAGCCAGGGTCACCCAGGGGAGGCCGCCGCAGGGGCGGAGGTTGGGGGAAGGGTGCCGACTGCCCCGGGGGGCTTGAGCTCATGAGCCCCCCGCCCCCAGCGCTGGCACCTGGGTCCCAGCACGCCAGCCCCTGGACCCCGGAGCACCAGCTGCTGCCACAGCCCGCCCCACTCAGCCCACAGCCTCTCACCTTTGACGGTCAGGATGATAGCCCCCACCACCATGATGAGTGTTTGCAGGGCGTCTGTGTAGATCACAGCAGCCAGACCTCCTGCGGGTAGAAAAGGGGGAGCTCAAGGGAGGAGGGATGGCTGCTCCACGATACGTGTCCCCCGCCCTTCACAGGTAGGAGAGCTGTGGGGCTGATCAGGCCGCAAAGCCAGCTCTTGGCAGGAAGGGGGGCCCTGCCTCCTGCTCGTGCCACGGCTGGCTGGTGGTCTGGCTGGTGGTCTGGCTGGTGGTTGAGTCCCCTGTCTCCAGGCCCTCCCCACGCCCCCACTCCCAGCCGGGGCGCCGTACCTGCGATGGTGTACAGGGCCGTGATGGCGAGCATGAGGATGGTGGAGAGGTAGAAGTTCCAGCCCAGACAGATGTGCACAAAGAGCGCCCCTGCGTACAGGTCAATCTGGGGAACAGGAAAGGAACTGTGCAGACGCTCGAGGGGACTGCGGGAGCCTGGGCACTGCTTGCGCGACATGTGGCCTCGGTGCCCCGTGAACAAGGTGGGAGAGACACCCCACCCCCACTCCTGCACCCTCGTGAGGTGGGGGGAGGTCCTGGGTGTGGACCAGCGGTCTGCAGGGAATGTTGCTAATGTTAATAAAGTCCTAAGTGGCCCCTGTCCACCGAGGAGCAGTGTTGTCATTGAGTCTGGCCCCCCTGTCATGGGATGCGGAGGAGGAGTCCAGGAGGGCTTCCCGAGGGAGGCGCAAGAAGACGAATGGGCCTCAGGAAATGGGTCTTCAGTACCCATCTGTGTGTGGCCCCTAGTTTCTGCTCCCCTTTAGCCAGGGGGCCCTGGAAAAAGACCGGGTGTGTTCTGGGGGGCAGGCTGGGGAACAGGCAGGCAGTCTTGCTTACTGCCCTCCAGTGGGGTTGGACCCGAAGCCAGGGCCATGTGTCAGGCCGAGGCTGGTCCCCGGGGGCTGGACTGGACCCAGCTGCTCTCGTCCAGGACCCCAGGTGGCATGGGGGGCCAGAGTCCTCTTCCTGGGGTGAGCCTTACAACCCTCATTCCACCCCCCAGCCCCGCCTGTCCTGTGGGACAGGAATCTGTCCTGTGGGACCTAGGGGCCAGACAAGGGGCTCCACCCTGCTGAATTTCCTGCCATTCTGGGCCGAATCAGTAGAGAGCACATGACCTGAAATACAGTCTTTGGGGCCAACGGGCTCCTGACTAAGGCTGGGCAAGGCAGTGGGTCAGCAGAGCCTGCGTGTGTGGGGGACCACTCAGCATGAGGCCCAGGGGGCATAGGCCCCTTTGAACTACCGCAGTGCCTGGCCCACCATAGGGGCGACCAGCACTGCCCAGTCGGCTTGTGGACCCTCTTATTCCCCCAGGCCCCGAGCCCTAAGGACACAGAGCCCACAGAAGCTGGGTCTTACTTCAAAGCCTGGGTTCCCTGCACTTCTACTCTCTCTTGGAGAGATCAGCCAGTGCGGACTCTGACACGGTGCTTTCAGGACAACAGTGGACCCCACTCTGGCTGCTGGCATTGGTGTGAAAGTGTATGAGTGTGTGCGTGTGTGTTGGGCAGAGCGTGTCTACCTCCAGCCCAAGCAGAGAAGCCCAGGGTTGTGAACGTCAGAGCAGGAAGGATTCTTCAAGCCCCTTGCCCCATCAGACCAGAGGAGAAATTGAGGCCTGGGGAAGGGAGGGACTTCCCTGAGGCCAGGCCCTGACAGGTATCCGAGATTGGAGTCGTCAGGAGAAGAGGGACAGGAAATCTCTAGAAAGCAGCAGCCCCTCCTCATGCCTGCTCGGTCCTCCACCCAGCACTCAGGACCCCTCCCTGGACCCAGGCTGTCCTCAGAGCAGAGCCCCGATCTGCGTGGCTAGCCTTCAGGCCCCAAGCATCCATCTGTCTTAGCCCAGGTGACTCTGGTCACCCCGGCCTGGCTGTCATACCGCACACTTTGCTAACCCTGGGCCTTGGCTGCCAGGTCCCTGTGCCCTGGGCCGCCCCATCTGCGTGCCCCATGTTCCAGAACTGTCTTCCCGGGTACTGCTCCCCTAACCTCTTCTCAGGGACTTGCTTCCATGGCAGTAGGCCCCAAGGAGGAATGAGGACTTGGACCAGTGTCAGGAGCTGCAACAGGCAGAGGTGTGGACCTGGGACTTGGGCTGCTGTCCTCCCTCCAGGACCCCGCAGAGCGAGAAGTCAAGATTTGCTGCTGCGGCGCCTATCAGATTGTCTGTAGGCTCTCGGGGAGTCGCAGCGAGGAACTTTCCGTGGCACCCAACCCAGTCTGACCTGTAGCCCGAGCTCCGTCTTCTGTGGGCCCAAGAGAGCCACACCCGGGTACAAGCTAAGAGCCCTAAACCCAGAGCCGCATGGGCTGGGTCCATGTCCCTTTTTGTCTGGGTCCTGGCCACGTGGCTTTGAGCAGGTCATGTAGCCTCCGGAGCTTCGGTGGCCCTTATCTGGAAAATGGGGAAGCAGGAGACAGGGCACGGCTGCAGGCCCAGCTTCCTCCATCCCTCCACAGAGCCGAGCCCTCAGGGAGGTTAGGGGAAGGGCGGGCAGGACCTCCAAGGGAGCTTGCCCTGCCCCCAAACCTTGCCCATCTCCCTCTAGGCTATCATTGTCCCTTCAGGGCTCCAGAAAGTTCTCACCTTTGCCACATTCCCTGCACCAGACCCACTGGCCAGTGCTCTCTCCAAATTACTCCCGCGTGCGCTGTCCCCACCCTCTGCCCCCTCCCTCTGGAAGCCCCTCATGGGCCCCTCCCGCACTCGGCTTGCCCAGAGACAAATCAAGTTCTCTGCATTTCCACAGCACATAGTACCAAAAATCCAGCCAGCCAGCCCCAGAGGCCCTGTGCCACCCGTCAGGCAGCCCCGTCCAGTCCCCTTCCTCACTCACCCCTCCCCGAGCTCAGCAGCTCCCTGCACTCCAGCCTCACCCCTTCCTTCTGCTGCTGCAGACCTGGCATTTTCAACGCAGACCACTCTCTCCAAAGGGAGCCTGACCTCTGCTCCTGCTCTCGTTCTAGAATTCGGCCCCGCCTTTGCGTCTTTTACCACACTTCACTGTTACGAGTATATTGGCCTGTGTACTGATCTGTGGAGAACATGAAGCCCCCTGTGGTAAGGAATGTGTTCACCGCCCAGGGCTTGTGCAGGGCCTGGCACACAGTAGGGTCAAGTAGCTACGTTTACATATGCGCACCAGCGGGGGGCACAGCAGAGTCCCCAGACCACATCCAGTCTGTGTTTCTCACTGTGTTTCTCACTCCAGCAGCAAAGTTGAGGGACAGGTATGTGTCCGGCAAAGCCCAAAGGACTCACTTTCTGGACCTTCATGGAAAGAATTAGCTGGCCCCTGGCACTCCCTTCCTTCAGTCCCATGAGGTAGGCCAGGCACCTAGAAGCGCCAGAGAATCAGGAATGAGCAGAGAGAAGAAACGGGAGAGACAGAGAGTAGATATTCTAAGTAAATTATTCAGCATACCGGAAGACAGTCCGAGTATGAAAAAGAGGGAAAGCGGGTAGGGGCAGGCAGGACTCACTGAGAAGGTGAAATGTAAAGGGTCGACAGAGATGAAGACGCGAGCCATGTAGATATCCAGGGGAAGAAGGTTCCAGGCAGAGAACACAGCAAGTGCAAAGGCCCTGGGACAGGATCACGCCTGGTGTGTTCATGGATGTGCAAGGAGGCCAAGGTGATTGGTATGATGTAGTGTGACAGGAGGAGAGGGACAGAGCAGGTGGGTGAGGCAGCAGGGGCCCTATCTTGGGGGATCTTGAAGGCCACTGTCGGCCTTCACTCCAGTTGGCGCAGGGTATTGTGCCATGTTTCTCTATTGGCCAGAGGTTGAATGACTAGTCCAGAGCCACACAGTGATGGGGGTTCTGTGGCCCCTGACCCCAGCTGAGAGTCAGGGTGGTGGTCTGAGGGATGGGAGCCAGTGAGCCCTGTGGTCTCTGTCCAGACAGACTGCAGCCGGGGTAGGTGCTGAACGTGCAGACAACTGGGGCATTCCCAGAGCTCAGCCCGGTGCAGTAAGGGCCTCCGGAAGCCACCTGGGCACATGCACATCAAACAGTTTCAGCCCAAAGTCATCAGCCAGGGTGGCCCGTCCTGCCCAAACCAAGCCAAGGCAGTTAGCATTCCTCCTGCTTCCCCTCTCGGCTTCATCTGGCCACCTGGCCTTGGCGCTAGGGCCCTGGCCTTGACGTTGGTGGGCTGCTTTCCATTTTATAGGAGGGTCAGTTGACCCCCATCACGCGTCCAGTCCCGGCCAGCTTCAGCACTGTAAAGCAGATGCTGAGGCTCCGGGTTGGGAGGGAGGCCTGGGTTCTAACCCTGCTCTCCGCCTGATTCACCACGACCTTGAGCAAGTCAAGGTCACTCTCTAGGTCTCAATCGTCTCATCTGTAAACTGGGCTTGCAGGGTGAGATCTCTGTTAGGACGTCCCCTCCTAACACTCAGCCCTTCTGGAGTCCCGCCCGGGCCACCCCCTTGAAGCTTGCCCTGAGCAATATGTGACCTCACTGCCAATCTGTAACAGCAAGAAGCTGGATGGGTGGAGGGGTGCGGTAAGAGACCACCCTGTGTGCACAGGTTGGCCCCACGGGGCCCCACTAGGCACTCCCCCTTCTTGCTCCTCCCCCCTCCAGTCCACCCACTGGTAAGCGTCAGAGCCAGCGGTGCAAAGCTGACTATGTCGGTCCCCTGCTTTGAGCCCCCAGGGTCCCTTGGGTCCTTCGGGCCCTGGCAATCTCCAACTGCAGCTCTTGAGGTCGGGACTGGGAAGCTAGCAGCCCAAGAGCCAAACGCGGCACCAGGTCTGCTCTGTGTGAATCCAGGAGCATGCCCATCTCTGGTTTGGCCAGTCCCCACCGCTCCCCGGGTCTTCACACTGTCTCCTCTCTGGTCCCAGAAGCGTCTGACTGAGAGACACCTAGAATGCAGGCCTCCGGACCAGGACTGTCTCCCGGACACATCCTCCACCGCCCACCTATCTCTCTCCTTGGCCTCTGTTCCCCTCCCCCATCAGTGTCCCTTTCCCCATTAGAGCCCAACCTAACGGCCCCCGCTTGGGTGTGTGTGTGATTCCCTGTGTATTCACCTGCCTCCCGCCGTACCCAGAGCCTGGAGGGCCCAGGCCAGGTCTGCCTGATTTCTGTGGCTCTGGCTTCCAGGGAGGCAGCTGGGACGGAGCAGGAGTTGGGGGGCCTCCCTGATCACTTCCCGCTACCTCACCTGCCAGCCTCACCCCCCTCACAGACGCCGTGAGAGGCAGGCACAGCTAGCCCTCTTTATGAACAAGCAAACGGAGGCTCGTGGTCTTGTCTGGGTGCCTCCAGCCAGAAGCAGACCAATGTAGGACTCGGGCCCTGGTCCCCACTTCCCCAGTTCTTCCAGAAACGGGCTGAAGGAGGCTGGATGGCCTCGGGGGTCAAGGGCAGAGTGCCCCTGGACTCAGGAGTGAGAGCCAGAAGACATGGCATTACCATGTAGTCACCAGGAAGCTTGGGACAAGTTAGTTCCTCGCCCTGGGCCTCAGTTTCCCTTTCTGTGAAATCAGGGGCTCAGAGAAGGGGAGCCCTAGTGAGCCTGGACGGACATTCGAGGGGTGCGTTCTGCTCTTACCCTACCAGGGGGACCAAGTCCAGGCCCCCAAGGGAAAGCGGCCGGGAGTGCCCACAAGGGCAGCTCCACAACCTGGGGAGCTGACCGGCTGCAGGAGGGTTCCCTGCAGCTTCTGAACCGGAGACCGCACGGGCTCTCTGCGCCCCCTAGTGGTCAGTCCTGGCTCATCTCCTTGCTGACCCCCGCCCCGACCAGTGACCGCCCTCATATCTCTGCCCGGAGCAAAGCAGGAATCAGGAGGCCTGCTTTGCCCCCAACAGTGCCAGCTCCCCCAACCGACACTCTGGAAGCCCTAGTCCAGCTATTCCAGGCTTACTCTGTGGGCAAGTCCTTGTCCCTCTCTGGGCCTCAGTTTCCCCAGCTGTTGAACAAGAGACAGCTGAGAGGATGTCAGGTTTGTTTGAGGGGCCCCCGGAGCAGGGATGATTCCAGACTGTGCTGGCTGGACGCTGGGAGCAAGGGACGCAGCTCACCGATATCTTGGTGAAGACGGAGAGCATCAGGGACAGGACAGACAGGTACATGCGAATCCGCTGGCCTCCGTAGCGCTTCTGAATGTATTCCGGCATGGTGACAATCTGGCGGAGACACGGGGGCAGGGGCTAGGCACTCCTCCGAGATCCCACCCAGAGCTGCTCAAGGACAAGGCCAGGCCCACTCATTACCGCCCCAGCAGCTGGGACTGGGACTAGGGACAGAGAGACAAGCTTGGAGGGGCTGTGGCGATGCATCTGAATGAACTATTGGCACAGCTGGGTGGGGAAGGCGGCTGTGACGGACGGAGAGAAAGTCAGCAAGTGGGAGCCACGGAGGCAGTGACCGCCCAGCTGGGGCTGCGGGAATGGGCAGTCGACGGTGTCGCCCAGCTGTGCTGCCCAGCGGTGTCACCCATGCACTCAAGTAGACTGAGCTTCCTTGCCCAGATACAGCAAGCTGGGGAGTAGAAACCGGCAGACAAAGCCCCCCAGGCTGAGGTCCTCAGGGACATGTCTGCATGAGTTGGTAGGCACGTCACTTGGACTAACAGCCCAGCCCTGAGAGTGGCGAGTGGACTCACCTCCGAGGAGATGTAGATGGGCACGAACACCCACGCCAGAGCCAGCAGCACATATGTGGCCTGAGGGGTCAGAGGCAGGGTGAGGACAGCAGGTGCAACTCTCCCCCCAGTCCCGCTCTAGAGACATAGCCAGGACCAGCGGTCTGGAGGCCTGGCTTGCCAGGAGAACCTGATATGGCCTTGTTCCCCCTCTGTGTGCCTGTACACTGATGGCCCCAGGCCAAGACTAACAGCTCCCCTCCTGCGGGCCTATCCAGTTGGCATTCTGAAGACCAACCTTTCCCTGGAACTCCACCAGTCTAGACGTTAGCCGCCCGGAGTTGCTGGGAGTTGCCCCTTGGGCCGAGGGTAAACTCCAGTGGAGGCCTATCCACCGCGTTTTAGGGTGCCAATCCCTCACCCCACCCCCCGACCCCTGCCCATCAGCAGCTCACATTCCACTCGAAGCCCGCCACAGCCAGGCCCCCGGCCGCCCCCGAGCCCGCCAGTCCGATAAAGAGGCCCGAGCCCTCGCTGCTGGCGAAGAGAGAGGCTCCAATCTGGAGGACAGAGAGGAAAAGGAATCAGCTTCCTACCAGCCTCCAAAGCCCCCACACTTTGTACAATTCCCAGCACCGCATACGACACTCCCAGCTTGGGGGCTTCCTGCCAGCCTCAACCTGTCCCCTCACTGCCTGCCTGGGGCATCCCTCATCCCCCACACCCTGGAAGGAGGGGCTGGGGGCATCGGAGTGCACTCACCGGCCACCAGGTCATGTCCCGGCCCGCCAGGAAGTAGCCTCTCACCGTGTTCCTGCTGGCCCGGCATGAGGACTGTAAGAACAGAGGCGGACATTGGAACCTGGCACACACTGGAGGGAATGTAAAATGGGGCCCTTGTGGCAGAAAACAGCCTGTGGGCCCTCCCAAAGACTTCTACATTCACATTCAAGATTCACCTCCTTAACGCGATGACCCAGCATCGCACTCCGACATCCGAGAGAACTGGAAACTGGATTCACAAAAAACTGGTCTCTGGTTGTTCAGAGCAACCAACAGCCCAAAGGGGGATAGAGCCCAGATGCCCCCACAAAATGGGGTCTAGCCGCACGATGAAATATTCCCCAGCCACAGGGTGGAATGAGCTTCTGACACCTGCTATGACATGGAAGGCCCTCGGGAACTTTCTGCTAAGTGAAAGGAGTCAGACACAAAAGGCCACACTCGGTAGGATTCCACAGGTAGGAAATGTCCAGAACAGGTGAATCCTTAAAGGCAGAGGGCACAGCAGGGGTTTCCAGGGCTGGGGAATGATAACTAATAGGTATGGGGTTTCTTTGGGGGTGATGAAAAAGTCTTGGAACCACATAAAGGTAATGGTTACACAGCACTGTGATTGTACAAAATGCCAGCGAATTATATATTTTAACATGGTTTACGTCGCCTCCATATTCAACGTGGGGCTTGAACTCACGACCCTGAGATCGAGAGTAGCATGTTCTACTGACTGAGCCAGCCGGGCGCCCCTAAGTGGAGATTTTTGCATCTTGGTGAGGACTTTGAGCCGAGGATTCTGAGAACCCTTTGGCCCTTGATTTCTTCTAATATTTTAAAGATTTGTTTTAAGATTTTATTTATTTATTTGACAGAGAGGGATCACCAGTAGGCAGAGAGGCAGGCAGAGAGAGATGGGGAAGCAGGCTCCCCACTGAGCAGAGAGCCCGATGCGGGGCTCAATCCCAGGACCCTGAGATCATGACCTGAGCCGAAGGCAGAGGCTTAACCCCCTGAGTCACCCAGGTACCCCAAGATTTTATTTTTTTATTTGAGAGGATGGGGTGGGGAGAGGGGCAGAGGAAGAGGGAGAGAGAGAATCCTAAGCAGACTCCCTGCTGAGATGCAGCCCGACTCGGGGTTCGATCCCACGATCCTGAGATCATGACCCGAGCCAAAATCAAGAGTCAGGCGCTCAACCAACTGAGCCACCCAAGCGCCCCTCTTACTTCTAGTATTTTCATCTCTGATACATTTCCAAGAATTATCAGTCAAGGATTCCTGCATACCTTTTGTTTGGGGGGAGCATGGAATTTTGTGCTCTGTAATATAATTTTAAATATATGAAATCAAGGAACCTGGGTGGCTCAGTTGTTAAGCATCTGCCTTCGCTCAGGCCATGATTGCAGGGTCCTGGGATCAAGCCCTGCATCAGGCTCCCTGCTAGGCAGGAAGCCTGCTTCTCCCTCTCCCACTCCCCCTGCTTGTTCCCTCTCTCGCTTTGTCTGTCAGATAAATAAATAAAATCTTTTAAAAAAAGTCTGAAATCAGAATGCTTGGGAGCGAATCCTGGCTCCTCTGCTTCCTGGCCGTGTGACCTTGGGCTAGTTACTTCACCAATGGGCCTTGGTTTCCTCACCCACAATGTGGGCCCTAATAAAAGTTCTTCCCTCACGGGCTTCTGTGGGGTTTAATGAGTTAATAGCGGTAACACTCTGACTTACTAGGTAAGTCAGACACTTACTAGGTACCTGGTACCTAGTAAGTGTCTGATGAGGGTCAGTGGTTTTATGGATTTTTCAAGGCCTCACTTAGTGCTGTCTGGACAGGAGAAAATGAAAAGATGTGAACTCGAGAAAAGGAGAAGTGTGAAAAGAAGGACCCAGCCGGTGTATTTAGATCTGTTATTTTGCATTCCTTTTTCACAACATACATATCCTAGAGGAAGGCTGAATCAGATGATCTCAATCAATACACAGGCCTCCTTCTACCTGACTTTAACCTCATACACACACACAAACATACACACCGTCATATTCAAGATGATTTGTCTGAATTGTCTGGATCTGTCACCCAAAGTTTTTGATATGGGTCCTGCTTGCCTCTCCTGCCTGAGCTCCCATTACTTTCTGTGAGCTGTGACCCAGCCCCATTGAATGCAGTACTATCTAAAAGTTCTCATGGCTTTGGCCAGGATGGCCACATCCAGCTGTGTAGGCTGCACACTGTGCAACTTCCAAGCAGCTCTGTTCTTGCCCTGTGATTTTTCCTAACATGTTTTCTCATCTTTCAAGGACATGGTGGGCATTGTCAGTTGCCTCCTTCTTGGCCTTCTCGTTCCTTAAGGGGTCTCATTTTTCTAAGCAATTGGCTTGAGTGGTCCCAACCCAGTCTCCTTCTCCAGGAGTCCTGACTCACCTAAGCCACGGACCCTGTCACATTCTTTAGCTGTCACACCTGATTCAGGGCAGCTGTGGACTTAAGCTGGGATTGCTCCTGGCCTCCCAGGAGGTGAAGGAGGAAGCCGGAGCTCTGGGGACACTGGCAGCCATGTGTACCTAGTTAATATTCACTGAGGGCCCCACGGCCGTAGAGTTGATTCCCAGTGCTTAACCTGTATGAAGTGTTTAGTCCCATGAAGTAGGAACTATGATCATCCCCATATTACCAACAAGGAAACCAAAGCTTCCGCAGCTAAAAGTGGCTAGTAAGTTATTTGAACCCAGGCTAAGCAGAGAGGCTGGGTACCTCTCCTCCATGTGGGACACTGGGCTCAGGACAATGCCACACATGGGTGGAAGCTGAGAAAGTCAACATGAAATGCACCATAGCCTTGTTGATACTGTGAACCCCTGGATTCAACCATGCCTGAAGCCTTATCTATTGTCGGACTTTCCAGGATGGATATCCTTACATTTCTTTCATTGTTCAAGCTCTTCTGATCTAGGTTTTCTGTCACTGGTTAACAGATACCCTAATAGGTGCAAAGGCTCAGCGCAAGGTCCTTTGTTCAGGAACATTTCTTTAAAGGCCCTCCCCGGGCTCTCCTAACCCCACTGTCAGAACACCTCTGTAGGTGCACCTGTCCAGCTCAGCTTGTCCTGTCTGCATTTGGGTGATGAGCGCCTGCATCTGATTGCTGTGTGATCCAGCTCCAGCACACTCACTCCTTGTGTCTGGCTCTGTTGTTTGCTGCCGACGCTCACGGCCATCCGGCCAGCAGCACCGGGCTGGGCCCGCATGGCCTGCTTGAGGGCCAGGCCAGAACTCCCACAGCCCCACGGCCTGCGGCACCGGCCTGCAAGCAAAGGTGAAGCTGGGAGAGGTGAGTTCCAGGCAGCGAGGCAGATGGGCCCCAGTCACCAGATGGCAAAGGGCATCAGGGGCCCCAAACAGTCCCTTAGATGCAACGTCCAGCTAAATTCCCCACCCCACTCCTCTTCCCTCTTCAGATCCTGCTGACCTCCAGCCCCTGGCTCATCCCCAAAGCCTCCATTGCGGGTGCCTCCTCCCCTGAACTCCCAGCCAGCAACTCTCCCAGAAACAGGATGGCTGACAGCAGAGTTCTACATCCACGGGCCTCCTGTGCTCCTTGGAACTGCCAGGAGCATTGGGCGGCCTGCACCGCATGGTGTGTTTGAGCAGGCGTGCCCAGAGCGGGCAAGGGACTGACTCCCAGGACGCGGGGCGGGGGGGGTGTGGGCAGCCCTGAGCGGCTTGAGGTCTATGATTCCACCACCGAAGAATCAATTGCAATTACTGCTGCTGCCCCCCCCAGCACCCCTAGAAACCCCCCACCAGCACCAGCACCCCCAGCACCCCCAGCACCCCTGCAACACCAGGACCACTCACGCCCTTCCTACTATCCAACCAAGAGTGGCGGCAGGGTCCATGCCCCTGTGGGCACCTCAGGTGGGAGAACGCCTCTGACTCAGGTACTTGGGGCTTGGGATGAAGTAGGTGGTGTGTCTGTCTTTTAGATCGAGACCCCCAAGGCCCAGAATGCTGAGTGACTTCCTGGGAGGCCAGAGCTGGGAATGTGACCAGTCTTCTGCCTCTGGCCCTGGGGCTTAAACCAGGGCCAGGGAAAATAAGAAGGGATTCTCGTTCTCCCCCAGTAGATGGAGGCCACCGTGTATCACAGCTCAGGGATGCTGGCCTGGGGACCTCTGGGGACAAGGAGGAGGAGTCCGACCTCTGCAAAGCCAAAGCTGGCTTTGGTGCTCACCTCCCCCACCAGGAAGGCCTCCAAGGTCTGCATTGTGAGTAGATGGGAGGAACGCCTCCCCTATGTGCAGGGCCATGGGGGTCACTGGGTAAGTCCCAGATCCCAGAGCAAGGGAGTTCATCCATAAATGGGTCTGGCCTTCGCCCTGTGGCTGTGGGGGCCGGGTGATGAGCAGAGGACCCGCCTAGTAGGGGCCTCACTGCCGCTGCAGTCTGTGAGGGCCTAAATCACTTTCTCATTGAAAGTGAGAGAAACTGGCTTAGGAACTAGGCAGGGAGGGCGGACAATGAGATTTTCAAAATAAAGATCCTCAGGCTCTGTGTGCCCCTCCCCTTCTCCGGAGCCTGACCCAGCAGGTGTGGGGAACAGCTGGACAGACGTTCGCCCCTTGAGCCCGTATGACATGGAGGAGGGATGGAGGCCAGGAAGAGGACATGCTGCGCTGGGCCCCCCGCTTGTCAGCCGCACGAAAGCCCAGGGAGCTTCTCCCTAGGCCTGCGCGTTAGAGAGGCCTTCCTCTTCCTCCCCTTGTAGCCTGAGCAGCCGCTGCCCAAAGGCAAAGTGTCTTGGTCAAGGTCTCGGACAAATCCACCGCAGGGCTGGGAGGAGGACACCAGCGGACTCCAGGTGTGCCTCAACTCAGCCTGACTCCCACACCCCAGTGCCATCCTGGCCGGCCGCCCACCCCGGGCCTCTCACCCATATGCCCACGGCCACGTTCAGGGCGAAATACAGGGTGATGACGATGATGTCGGTCACGCTCAGCTGCGGCCCGGGAGCGTGGGGGTCGCCGGTGGAGTTGTCTGCCACCATCCTGCGGCAAGCACAGGCTCCGAGCAGGAGGAACTGAGGGCTGAGCCAGGTCAGAAAGGGCTTCCTGGTAGGCAATTAATTGATCATTAAACCGAGCGCGATGGTGGCGTCTCCAGCCCACAAGATGACCGCATGCCGGGAAACAGCTTTCCAAGTGCAGCGCAGGTGTCCCCCCGCCCCCTGCAAGTGGGAAGCCAACCCCGACCATGAGTACAGGGGCAGAGCTGGAAGGGGCTTGGAGGAGGGCAGCCTCCCCTAACTCAGAGGAGGTTTGGGAAAAGTAAAGGGAGTTTAGGGGGTGCCTGGCTGGGTTCAGTCGCTGAAGCATGCAACTCCTGATCTCAGGGTCACGAGCTTGATCCCCACCTTGGGGGCAGAGCCTGCTTTAAATAAATAAATAAATAAAAAATAATCATAAATAAAGGGAGATCAGTGCATCCACAGGCAACCAGATCAGTCCCAGAAAGCACTGTTACCTGATGTGTGGCTTGCCCCGTATTTCACTTGTATAAAAAGCACAAAGTGTTGGGGACAGATGCCTCACCTCTGGGGACACCATGGTGGCAGGCAACTATATCCTGTGGCCACTGGGCCATGAGAGGACCGAGGGGGACTTGGAATGGTGACTCTTGAATCATGTGGCTTACTTCCCACCATGACAGTCCAGCCCCAGAACATCCCAGTGTCGGACCATAAAGGCATGTTGCCAAATGTTCTGCTTCCTTTTTCTTTTCTTTTTTTTTTTTTAAAGATTTTATTTATTTATTTGACAGAGAGATCACAAGAAGGCAGAGAGGCAGGCAGAGAGAGAGGAGGAAGCAGGCTCCCTGCCCAGTAGAGAGCCTGATGCGGGGCTCGATCCCAGGATCCTGGGATCATGACCCGAGCCAAAGGCAGAGGCTTTAACCCACTGAGCCACCCAGGCGCCCCTCTGCTTCCTCCCAGTAGCTGAAACTGCCCAAACCCCCTCATTTGACCCTCTGTTCAGGTCCCCGTGGTCTCCTCAGGACATCCGCAGAGGGACAAGTCTAGCAGGTGCCTGTCAGGACCCAAGGACGATGCTTAGCTACCTGCTGTCCCATTTGGGGCTCCCTCAGGGTGAGTGGTAGCATATCACGGCCAAGGAATGGAAGCCAGGAGGCTGAGCCGTCTGTTGTCTGGCCATGGGAGGGGCAGAGCTGGAATTCAGAGCCAGATCTGACCCCGGATGCTCCGCATTGGTGACAGTGATGGCCCTGGTTCCACTGGAAGCCAGAGGGTCTTAGATGCATCCTCACTAAGGAAACCATTCTGCACAGCCTGGTGGAGGTCTCCAACGTGGCCCGTGGCTTTGCACAGCGTTTGGAGTTTACCCGGGTCACGCCGCTTTTCCAGAAGGTGTTAATGAGTGAGCAGCCACCACTGGGAACACACTGACCCGCAAAACCCAACTGTGCCTGTTACTCGGTAACCCGAGGTAGGCTGTTTAAAGATTACACGCAAAACGAGACAGAGAAGAACAATTAAGTCAGTTTCTAGTCAATTCAGGTAGGCTCAGACCGCCCCCTCCCCAACTACACTCATCTCTGGCCCACTAGCCTCGCTGAAGGTGCTCACTTCCCAAGCCATTGCTAGAAGCATGTCGTGAAACAAAAGATCATTTGAGCGGCGCCTGGGTGGCTCCGTCGGTCCATCGGTTGAGCAGCTGCCTTTGGCTCAGGTCAAGATCCCAGGGTCCTGGGATCGAGCCCCGCGTCGGGCTCCCTGCTCAGCAGAGAGCCTGCTTCTCCCTCTCCCTCTGCCTGCCTCTCTGCCTACTTGTGGTCTCTCTCCATCTTTCTAATAAATAACAAAATCTTTAAAAAATCATTTAATACAGTCGGAAGGACCCAGCTAGAGACGATCTGAATTTATTAATCCAGTCTCCTAGGGATAAAGTGGTTGAAAAACAGTATTTGGTCCCCTCACATCTCAGAAGAAAACAAACCATTAGGGATAAACGCCCCCACCCCAACTTCTGAGACAAATTCTGGGGAAAAGAAGTCACGAGGAGTGGGCAGGTGGGACAGGGAGAGGGTGGCAGTGAAGGGTGTGAGAAATTCCACACTTAAGCCCAATCACTTTCCATATTCCCACCCTCTGCTATCCAACAGGACCACACTCGGATCAAACTCTGATGGCCCAGCTCACCCAGGACAGGAATGACAGGACCTGCCCAGCCAGGAAGCCAGCCAAATCACACCCCACAAGCTGCATCTAACCCAAGAGGGAGCCCCCCATGTCGTGTTTCCCAACACCACTGCTGATGCCAAATGTGTGGGGTTTCTCCCCCCACACCAATGAACTCTCCATCTCTCTAGAGGCCAACTGGGTGTCCTCCCATCTGACTCAATTCTGTCACTAACGACCTGAGTTAGCACAGATCCCACGGTTTAAACACTTAGTCTGACCAAACTGCCCCCCTTTACAGAGCAGGTGCAATCTTAGGCCTCCTGGTACTTTGGACTGACCATCTACAGGTGCTGGAAGTTGCCATGATCCCCTTCTCAGATTTCATAATTTGCCAGATGGCTCCCAGAGCTCAGGGGAACTGATCAGTATCAGTATGTGATACAGATTGTTGTAAAGGATACAGATGAACAGCCAGAGGATCAAAAAAGAAATAAATGAAAGTAAAACGAAAACTTAGTTTTTAACTGATCTGATAAAAATGTGTTCAAAATAATAATAGCAACAACGTATTTGGTATGTGTATGCTTGTGTATAAATGAAATGAATAATAGCAATGATAGGAGGACAGGAAAGAAGTGTGATTATTTTATTAAAAGGTAATCAGCACTATTTGTGACAGTGCACTTTTATTTGAAAGTGGACTTGGATCAGTGATAAAGTCTTTCATCTCCTTGGTTAATTCCTAAGTATTTTATTCTTTTTGATGCTATTGTAAATGGGATCATGTTTTCCATTTCCCCTTCAGGTTGTCCATTGTTATTGCTTCGAAATGCAACTGATGATTCCATGTTGACTTTGTATCCTGCTGTTTTCCTAAATTCATTTCTTAGTTCTAACAGATGGTGTGTGTGTGTGTGTGTGTGTGTGTGTGTGTGTAACCTTCAGGTTTTTTCTAAATATAAGATCACATCAGCTGCAAACAGATAATTTTATTTCTTCCTTTCCAGTTTGGAAGTCATTCCTTCATTCATTCTTCATTCATTCATTCATTTTCTTGCTCTGGTTAGACCTTCCAGCACTACATTGAACAGAAGTCAAGAAGGGAAGCATCCTTGCTTTGTCATTAATCTTAGGAAAAAAGCTTTCTCTCTTTCACCGTTGAGTATGATGGTCACTGTGGATTCTTCATCCATGGCTTTCAATTATGTTATGGTACTTTCTTTCTAGTATTCCTAATTTTCTGAGTGTTTTTATCATAAAAAGTTACCATTTCTTTTTTTTTTTTTTTAAGATTTCATTTATTTATTTGACAGACAGATCACAAGTAGGCAGAGAGGCAGACAGAGAGAGAGAGAGAGGAGGAAGCCGGCTCCCCGCTAAGCAGAGAGCCCGACGCGGGGCTCGATCCCAGGCCTCTGGGATCATGACCTGAGCCGAAGGCAGAGGCTTTAACCCACTGAGCCACCCAGACGCCCCAAAAAGTTACCATTTCTTGAAACACATTTTCTGCGATGAGACGATCATGTAGTTATTCCTCTTCATTCTGTTAATATGGTGTATTACACTGACCAGTTTTCATACGTCTAATCATCTTGCATTCCAGAAATAAATCTTACTTGGTTAAAGCCTATAATCTTTTTAATATGTTCCTGAAAATAGTTTTCTAGTATTTTGTTGATGTTTTAGTATCAATATTCATAAGGGATATTGATTTATAGTTTTTTTAAAAGACTTTATTTATTTGACAGAGAGAGATTACAAGTAGGCAGAGAGGCAGTCAGAGAGACGAGGAAGCAGGCTCTCCATTGAGCAGAGGGCCTGATGCAGGGCTCGATCCCAGGACCCTGAGATCATGATCTGAGCCGAAGGCAGAGGCTTAACCCACTGAGCCACCCAGGCGCCCTGATTTATAGTTTTCTTATAGTGTCTTTGGCTTTGTTATCAGGGTAAGTCCACCTCATAGAATGAGTTAGAAATTATTCTTTCCTCTTACGTTTTTTTGGGAAAGTTGGAAAAATACTGGTGTTACCATTTTTTATTATTTTTTGAGTAATCTCTGCACCCAACATGGGGCTCGAACTTACAAGTCCAAGATCAAGAGTTGCATGCTCCGCTGATTGAGCCAGCCAGGTGCCTCAGATGGACTTACTTCTTTGAATGTTGGGGAGAATTCACCAGTGAAACCATCAGATCCTGGACTCTTCTCTGTTGGGAGTTTTTTGTTTTTTTTTTAAATAACTGATATAATTCTATTAGTTATAGGTCTATTCCGATTTTGTATTTCTTTGTGATTTAGTCTTAGTAGGTTTTGTGTTTCTAGGAATTTGTCAATTTCATCTAAATCATCCAATTTGATTGTGTACAATTCCTCATAGTACACTCATAATCCTTTCTATTTACTTCAAATCAGTAATAATGTCCCCACTTTCTCTTCTGCTTTTAATAATTTGAGGCTTCTCTTTTTTCTTAGTCTATTAAAGGTTTGTCAATTTTTATCTTTTCAAATAACCAGCTTTTGTTTTATTGATTTTTCCCTATAATTTTCTATTTTCTGTTTTGCCGATCTCTCCTCTAATCTTTATTATGTCTATCCTTCTGCTAGCTTTGGGTTTAGTGTGTCCTTTTCTGGTACCTGAAGTTGTAAAGTGAGATTGTTGATTTGAGATCTTTCCCCCTTCCTCCCTCCTTCCCTCCCTCCCTTCCTTTCCATGTAAGAGTTGATAGCTATAAATTTCCCCATTAACACTGATTTTACTGTATCCCTAACATTTGGTATGTTATGTTTTCATTCCTATTCATCTTTAAGTATTTTCTAACTCCCCTTGTGATTTCTTCTTTGATTAATTGGCTGTTTAAGAGTGTGTTGATTAATATGCACAAGTGGAGAATGGAAGTATCTAATTATTATTGTAAAACTACTTCTTTTAATTGTGTACATTTTTGCTTCATTTATTTTGATAGTCTGTTATTAGGCATGTAAGTATTTATCATTATTATGTCTTCTTGCTGTACTGAACCTTGTACTAATATATACTGTCCTTCATTGTCTTTTGTAGTAATTTTTGTCTTAGTCCATTTTGTCCTATATTACTTACACTACACGTTTTCTTTTTTTGGTTGCTATTTGCATGTAATATATTTTTCTGTCCTTTCACTTTCAATCTATTCGTGTCTTTGGATCTAAAGTGAGTCTTTTGCAGACAGCATATAGTTGTATTGTGTTCTTTTTATCTATTCTGCCAATCCCTCTTTTTGTTTTGTCTGCCAATCCCTTTTACTTGATTATTTAATTCATTTACATTTAAAGTAGTTAATGTTAAGGAAGGACTTCTGTCATTTTGGTACTGATTTTCCATATGCCTTTTAGCTTTTCTGTTGCCTCATTTCCTTCTTTTGTGCTTATTTTTTGTAGTAAAATAGTAAAATTCATTTCCAATTTCATTTGATATATATTCAATGACTATTTTCTTCATGGTTACCATTGGGATTATATTTAATATCCTAAGGTTATGACAAACTAATTTCAATTTATACCAGCTTAATTTCAATAACATGCAAAAATTCTGCTTGACAAATTTGTTTATGCCCCTTTTCAGTTATCAGAAAACTAAATCTTTATTTTGTTCCACAAAACATAAACTTTTAAATGTATTAGCCTCTTATGTTGAAAAACATAAAACAAGGTTATACACCAATGTTATAATAATACTAGCTTTTAGACTAATTTTTAAATATATTTCTTATATTATGTAGAAAGGAGTTAGAAGCCATTGCTTCAATAACAGTAACTTTTATATTACTTGTGTATTTGCCTTTATTGAGATCTTTAGTTTTTCATGAAGCTCCGAGTTGCTATCTGGTGTTCCTTTGTTTCACCGTGGAGGAGCCTCTGATTATTTCTTGCAGAGCAGGTCTAGTGATAATGAACTGTGTCCGTGTTTGTTTACCCAGAATTGTTTCCGTTTCTCCCTCACTTTCTTTTTTAAAGATTTTATTCATTTATTTTTTTTATTTTAAATAAATTTTATTTTTTTTTAAAGATTTTATTCATTTATTCATTTATTCGACAGAGAGAGAGATCACAAGCAGGCAGGGAGGCAGGCAGGCAGAGAGAGGAGGAAGCAGGCTCTCCGCAGAGCAGAGAGCCCGATGCGGGGCGCCCCTCTCCCTCACTTTTGAGGGACAGTTTTGTCAGATGTAAGATTCTTGGTTGACATTTTTTGTTTTAGCACTTTGAATTCTTCAGCCCACTGCTTTCTGAACTCCAAAGTTTCCAGAAGAAATCTGATAATCTTGGGGCGCCTGGGTGCCTCAGTGGGTTAAAGCCTCTGCCTTCGGCTCAGGTCGTGATCTCGGGGTCCTGGGATCGAGCCCCATGCCGGGCTCCCTGCTTGTTGGGGAGCCTTTTCTCCTCTCTTTGCCTGCTGCTCTGCCTGCTCGTGCTCTCCCTTTCTCTCAAATAAATAGTTAGTTAAATATATATTTTTTCAAGATTTTATTTGACAGACAGAGACCACAAGTAGTCAGAGAGGCAGGCAGGGAGAGAGGAGGAAGCAGGCTCCCCAATGATCAGAGAGCCCGATGCAGGGCTCAATCCCAGGACCCTGAGACCATGACCCGAGCCGAAGGCAGAGGCTTTAACCCACTGAGCCACCTAGGTGCCCCTAAATATTTTTTTAAGAATCTGATAACTTACTGAGAATCCCTTGTATGTGACTCATTTCTTCTCTCTTGCTGCTTTCAAGATTCTCTGATTTCTTAAAGTTGGATTATAATGTATTTTGGTGTCCCTGAGTTCATCTCACTTGGAATTCATATTCATGTCTTTCATAAAATGTTGACATTCTCAGCCATTGTTTATTCAAATATTCTCTCTACCCCTTTCCCTCTCTTCTCCTTCAGGAGGTGGTCTCCCACAATTGTGTATGTTGACCCACTTAATGCAGTCACAGAAATCCCTTAGGCTCTGTTTCTTTTTCTTCAATCTTCCTTCTGTTCCTTGGATTTAGTTCCATTTTATCTTTAAGTTCATGTACTCCCCTGCCTGCTCAAATGGGCCTTTGAATCCCTCTAGTGAATTTGTCATTTTAGTTGTACTTTTCAGAATTTTGGGGGGTTTCTTTTTAGGTTTTCTGTTTATTGATCTCTCTGCTTTGCTCGTACATTATTTTCTTGTTCCCCACATCTGTTTTTTTGTTTGTTTTGTTTTGGGTTTTCTGGTTTGTTTAGTTTTTTGAGCATCTTTAAGACAGTCGCTTTAAAGTCTGTCTAGGGGGTGCCTTGGTGGCTCAGTGGGTTAAAGCCTCTGCCTTGGGCTCAGGTCATGATCCAAGGGTCCTGGGATCGAGCCCTGCATCGGGCAGGGAGCCTGCCTCTCTGCCTACTTGTGATCTGTCTGTCGAATAAATAAATAAAATTTAAAAAAAAAAAAGTCTGTCTAGTAGATCTACCATCAGGTCTTTTTCAGAAATCATTTCTATTGATTTTTCCCCTTCGAATTGTGGTAATCCTGGAAATCGGTTGCTCTCCCTTTCCCAGTATTTATTAGAGTCATTGTAGTAGTGGTAGTAGTAGTAGTAATAGTAGCAGTAGCAGTCGTAGTAGTAGTTGTATACTGTCTCTGTGCCAAGGCTGAACCTGAGGGATAAGTTCTGGGCCTGCACATCTGGGTAAGTTTCTAATTTTCCCTGTATATGCAGTTGCTTCTGAATGTCCTAGTCTTTAAAGTCTGGCTCCCAAAAGGGGGAAAATGAGAAAATTGGGGGTGTGGGGAGGGAGTAAGGAGACCAGCCTTTAAATCTCCCAGAATTCTCAGTGGTTGGAGGTGGGAGGGCTTGCGACAAGGGAAGGAAAGGAAGTTCAACCCCAGTGGCTGCCAGGCTCCTTGTATCTCTGTGATCGGAAGCAGCCATCAGCTGTCAGAGCACAGACCTCCACTGTTTGGAGGACAGGGTCCTTTTTGCCCAGCCTAGGACCCACAAGCTGGGCGGGTGGCTCCAGGAATATGGGTACAGCTGCCTGCCCCGAGTCTGGGAGTGTGGGGAGAGGCAGGTATCTGCAGCTGTACTAAGAGCTCAGTTTGGCTAAAATTAACCATTTATTGTTCAAGACGCCCCGTGGAGGTTGCAAACCTTTGATAGACATCGGAGTTCCAAAACCATCAAATCTTATCCCAGAAATTGTCTAGGAGACAGACTCCTGCTGCTTCCCACTCTATGGTCTTCCCCAAATCCTGTTTGGTTCGTTTTTATTATTTTTTATTGATATTCTCTATTTGGTGAGCCATCTTTCTCCTGGTTTCCTTTAAAGGCTCTTTGGGCATATTTAAAAATCATTGATTTAAAGTCATCAGTAAATCTAATATCTGCCCTTCCTCAAAGAGGGTTTCTATCAATTTTTTTTCCTATGTGTGGGCCCAGCCCTGTTTGTTTACATGCCTCAGAATTGTTGTTGTTGTTGTTGAAATCTGGGCATTTTGAATATTATAATATGGGAAGTCTGGAAATCAGACTCTCTTCCTTCCCCAGGGTTTATTGCTGCTTGTAGCTGTCTGGTGGCTTTTCTAATTTTTGTAAAGCCTGTATTCTTTGTTGTGTATCGTTAACTGACAATCTCTGTTCAGTCAACTGAATGGGGTCATCCCAGGCTTCCTTAAGCCTGAAAACAAAAGAGAAAAGAAAAGAAAAGAAAGAAAAAAAAAAAAAGAGGAAGGGTGAAAGGGAGGGAAGGAAGGAGGGAAAAGAACCCAGTCTGCAGATGGGCTGCATGTCTCACGACATGCCTTCAGCATTCAGATGGGCAGACCACAGCTCTGCTTCAGCCCTCGCTTCTTGCTTGCACAGAGTCTGCTGCAGAGCTGCCAGAGGTGAGAGCTTACGGCTTTCTGGAGTCTTTTGTGAGCATGTCAACTCGGTGCAATCCCATGCCCTTTGTATCCCCAGGAATGTGTGCCAGGTTTTCAAAACCCTTTCCCCCTGACGTATCTCATTCCCTAGCCTTTCTCCCAAGCTTTTAGTGGTTTCATTGTATGCCCCAAGAAGAGTGGCTAAAACATTTGCCTTTACATTTTTTCAACCATTGTCCCTCTGTTCTTTGGAGTTCGGAGTTGGGTAAAATTAAGACAAGTCCTTTGAGTCAGTACTTCAAGCAGCCAATAGACGGGGCCAAACAAGTAACTAATTCTGAGAACAGTATTCTACTCCCACTGGTACAAGGAACATGTATAAGGAACATGTACAAGGAACATGTACCAGAAATGCAGGTTATCATCTTCCACGCTGCCAGGAAACACGAAACAAAAGATACTAGGGTAAGGTAAAGTGCCACAAAGCAAACTTGTCAAGAGTCAGCCATTTTTATTATTGTTTCGCCTTTTTTTTTTTCCCCCCTTAACTGACCATTTACTTGGTTGCTGTAAACTTTGGATAACTTTCTAGAGTCCCAATACAGTTGATTCTGTTTTTGCCCATTGATTCTCTCCTTTTATGGAGGAAGAGACTTTTGGAGTTCCCCATTCCACCATCCTGGTAGACGTCTGTCAGCTTATTCATTTGGAAGTAAAAGGAAAACATGGTTACTTTCAAGAATCTCATAAAGCAAAGAAAACCATGCTTGCAACGTAGAAAGGAGAGAGCTTATTTTAAGGTCACACAGTTCTAATCAAGAGTTAATGTCCGACATTAACAGTGCAGACTTCTACTTTGATCAGATCCAAGCATTACTTTAGGGAATTAACAAAATACCTTTCTTTCATGCACCTGTGGGAGCCCAACCACCACCGGCTGTCTGGCTGAGATCGCGGATCAAGAAGGGTCTGGACACTGCTGGGTGTGATGAGCACAGAGATGGTCCCCTGCTCACCACTGTTAATGGCACTCCTGCACGCGCAGGGCCGCAGAACTGCTCCAGAGCAAGTCGTCAAGAAACCCAGATATGGCAAACAGTAAGTGACCGATCTTAATTTTGTGCCAAGTCACTTGCTATTTTATTCCAGATTCTAACACAGGCAGAAACGACAGGCTCAAGTGTTTTTGGAAGAAAAAAAAAATAGTCCTGGGGCTCCTGGCTTGCTCTTGATCTTAGGGTCGTGAGTTCAAGACCCACACTGGGGGTGACGTTTATTTGAAACGAAAAGAAAAATCTTTGCCTCCGTGAATTTGATGGGAGTGCCACTGCAGGACCTTGGTGGGAGAACATGCCGGCCTAACTCCCCAGAACCCAGCGTTCCCGAGCCTGGTACAAGTGTCACAGTCAAGTTCTGAGTTCTGCACTCTGAACCACGGAGCAGGCGGTTCTTGCTGCCGGACATGAACAAGGGTGTTATCACTTGCCCTCCGCGACCACCCCCAGCATCTCGTCTTCTAAGGCATGCAGAGGTAGCACTGTGCTCAGCGCATGGCTGTGCTACTGAACAGGGAGCCAAACAAAGCCATGCCAAGACGCAGGCGGCAGCGCACACCAACCCGCTGACCTGCCCCCCGGGGCTCGCAGCCTGCGCCTCCAACTCCTCTCCTGCCACAGCCAAGTGATCACGCGTCAGACACGTGCAGGTCCTGGACAAACAGAATGGGAGACATTACACCCCTGGGAGGCTACTGTGCCACCGTGACAAGCCACAGAAGACAAAACGCCACAAGCGGACCCGACACTTGGGACACTCGCAGCACGTGTATTCAGTGTTCATTTTATTTTAGTTATAAACAACGGCCCGGACACAAAGTTTTAAAAAAAACCACACACAATGTAAGTTTCATATTCCTTCTTTTGTTGCGGAAAATAAATAACGGTCAGGTAATAATCGTTTGCCTTTGCGTGTCTATAAAAGCGTTTCTAAAAATGTCACTTGCTGGGATTCGACGGGATCATCTTTTTGGCTTCTCAGTGGCAGGTATGACACAGTATACAGATCATTTGATTTCATGAACTTTTTTAAGCACTTGGGCTCCAGCAACTTTGGGAAAAGCTGTCTGTGGGCTTAAAAATCTTACTCCAGGTTATTGTTGAAATAGTTCAGCTATAAACAACCAGGTTGTTAATTCATTTAGGAGGAGAATATAGTTTTTCTTTTATAAAAATTGCCCAAAAAACTCACAAACACCTAAACCGACATTAAAAAGTTGGTCTATCTTCGTAGGAATCAACAAAAAGGAAGGAACAAAGCACAGACGGCCCCTGGGTAGTACATTGCATCAGGCATGACCCCTCACAGTTTCCAGTTTGGCCCTCCAGAGTTTTAATAAAGGAAAGCTGTTCAGTCATCTAAACCTATGTTTCTGAAAAGGTAGGACATGGACTCCCCATTGTGAATCCGACGGATGGCTTCTGAGAGGATCATGCTGATGTCCACAGTTTTAATTTTGGGGCATTGGAGCTTCTGGATTTCATGTGGAATCGTATTGGTGACCACCACCTGCAAATCGAGAGGACAAAGATCCAAGAGCATCAGAGAACCAGGCAGCTTCCTGGCCGGATCTGAAAATCCCATATATTCTCAAATCTCTGTGGTTCTGCTTGACAGGACAGTGAGCCTACTATACCTTCAGAAGTGTTTTCAGTCAATATGAACACTACTTGTGTTTCTTCCTTATTTTTTTTTTAAGATCTTATTTATTTATTTGACAGAGAGCGAGAAAGCGCAAGCCGGAGGAATAGCAGAGGAAGAGGGAAAAGCAGGCTCCCCGCCAAGCAGAGAGCCCGACGTGGGGTTCGATCCCAGGACCCTGAGATCATGACCTGAGCCAAAGGCAGAGGCTTAATCAACTGAGCCACCCAGGCGTCCCCCCCCGCTTTTTTCTTTCTTTCTTTAAGATTTATTACTTATTTGAGAGAGAGCATGAGTGCAGAGGGAAGGGGCACAGGGAGAGGGAGAGAGAGTCTTAAGCAGGCTCTGTGCTAAGCACGCACGCAGCCCAACGCAGGGCTCGATCTCACGACCTGAGCTGAAACTGAGAGTAGGACGTTTAACCAACTGTGCCACCCAGGAGTCCCCACTACCTGTTAGTCAAGATCTGATACCCTGACACCCACTACGTCTTAACTCAAGATCTGATACCCTGACACCCACTAAGACAGCTACAGGCAAAAAACCAAATCTACCGTGAGGTTGTGGGGAAACCAGACCCCTCAGATGCTGCTGGTGGGAGGGGTGAAAAATGGTTTGGCTATTTTGGAAAAGAGTCTGGAAGTTCCTCAAAAGGTTAAACATAGAGTTGCCATAGGGCCCAAGAGAAATGAAACCATATCTTTGTTCAAAAACTTATACATGGGGGTGCCTTGGTGGCTCAGTGGGTTAAAGCCTCTGCCTTCGGCTCAGGTCATGATCCCAGAGTCCTGGGATCGAGCCCCACATTGGGCTCTCTGCTCAGCAGGGAGCCTGCTTCCCCACCACCCCCACGCCTGCCTCTCTGCCTACTTGTGATCTCTGTCAAATAAATAAAATCTTAAAAAAAAAAAAAAACTTATACACAAATGTTTACAAGAGTCAAAAAGTGTAAACGACCCAAACTGCCATAACCTTACGAATGAAAAGGCAAAATGTGGCATTTCCATTCGACGAAATATTCAGCAACAAATAAGAATGCAGTACCGGTACCCTGCTCCGGCAAGGATGAACTTTCAAAATAGCACGCCAAGTGAAAAAAGCCAGATACAAAAGGTCACACATCCCAGGATTTCATTTATAGGAAATGCCCAGGTTCGGTAAATCTATAGAGACAGAAAGCGGATTAGTGGGTGTGTAAGGCTGAGTGGACTGGGAAGAAATGGGGAAGGAGTGGACTGCTAATGAGAATCAGGGCTTTTTTCTGGGGGGATGAGAATGGGGGCTGCACAATTCTGCGAGTACACTAAAAACCAGTGAATCTTATACTTTCAATGGGTGAACTGTATGGTATGTGAATTATATCTCAGGAAAACTGTTTTTCTTAAAATTAAGATTTGATAAAAATCAAAGAAAGACAAGCACTTTCCAGCAGCTACAAATGGGGGAAAAAAAAATACTCAGCCGTCTTTAAAAAAACAGGGGATGGGAATGATTGTTTAATTTTATTTATAATCTATACTCCGTACTTCCGAAATAAGCCTCACGACTGCTTATGATAAGGACGCGCACACACGAGACTGGTGACACAGAGACGGACAGTCAGGACTGCTCCAAACCAGCACGAGGGATATGAAAGCCTAGCCTCATCTGATCCTGGTGACTCCTGCTTTTGTATCTGACATTCCTGGCAACTGAGGCAACAATGGAAACGTCAAGACTCACATAAATTATCACGGCCTGAAAAAGAGAACAGTTCCCAAATTCAACAACAACAACAAAGCAGAATCCCTACCCACTGGTATCAAACACGGGCCTCTCGGCACCCCTCCCAGAGAATTGGGGGGGGTGACCCCAGGGCAGGGCTGCTGTGCCTGCACTCCATGCCCCATGCTCCCTTGCAGGGACCGGTTTTTCATGCGTCAACCCCCCTCACTGGGGAATGGATCTTCCACACCTATTCTAACCACGTTTTAGAAACCACTGGCTTGAGGGAAGCCTGGGTGGCTCAGTTGGTTAAGCGTCTGCCTTCGGCTCAGGTCATGATCTCAGGGTCCTGGGATTGAGTCCCGCATTGGGCTCTCTACTCAGTGAGGAGCCTGTTTCTCCCTCTGCCCCTCCCCCTGCTTGCGTGCACTCTCTCTCCGTCAAATAAATAAATAAAATTTTTAAAAAGCACCAGTTTTATTGAGATATCATTCGTGTACCCTCCAGTCAGCCATTTAAAGCGTACGCTTCACTGGTGTTTGGACCAATCAGAGCTGGGTTTCCCACATCCCCCCAAAAGAGACCCTACACCCCTTCACTGTCACTCCTCATCTCACCCCTTCCCAAAGGCTTGGCAACCACTAGCCTACCACGTATCTGGATATCTATTCTGCACATTTATTTGCTAAAACAAACCACAAACCCCACTTCCAATCCTGATTCATCAGCCCCGAGCACTACAGGCTCGTACAGGATGGCAGCCTCTACGCCTCTCCCCGCTTCTGCCTCCTGACTGGGGGCTCTGCTGTTGCCCCTGCCTGGCTTACCCTTCACTGTGGGACTGTGCTTTACCCGTAAGCTTACAGGAAAAACCTGACCTTCCTAACCAGAATGAACACAGAAACCCCGCTGATTTCTTTTTTATTTTTACTTGTAAAGATTTTATTTATTTGAGAGAGACAGAGATAGTGAGAGCGAGCGAGAGCAGGGAGGAGAGGGAGAAGCAGACTCCCCGCTGAGCAGGGAGCCCGACACGGGGCTCGATCCTGGGCCCCAGATCATGACCTGAGCCGAAGGCAGGCACTTAACCGATGGAGCCGCCCGGGCACCCCAGAACCCGGTGTAGCCACTAGTCACTGGCCTGACTCCCCCTCCTGGGCATCGGCGTAAGGCCCCTCTCAAGACACAAGGGCGCCCATCCGCAAAGGCAGCCTCCCCCTCGAGACTCCGGGAGCCAGACTCGGGTGCACTTGCGTCCATTTCTGCTGCTTTTATGCCTCCTCTCCAAAGTCCACTCTGCTCTAGGAGGCCGGGCTCCCGCAGGTCCCCCACATTCCTGTGGCTTGCTCTCTTGAATCTGCCCACACGCAGCGCCCGTGGGAACCACGTGGACAGCCCGTGAGAGCTGCTGCCTCGGGCCTGAAGACCTCTCCATGTACTCAGTATGGGAGTTCTGTATCCGGTTTGTGGCCCTGAACGCCTTTCACGAGTTCTTGGCCCTTAGGATTATCTGTCCCGCTGTGTAAGGAGGCTGGATGTGATCCCGGCCACACCAGCCTGGCCTCTGTCTGTGAGAAGGCACCTTGAGCCCATTAACACGGGGCCAGGCTCAAGATTGACCGCTGAAGAGAAAAGTGTGGGACTTGGAAAAGTAAAAGGAGTCTGAGCCATGTACGATTCAATACTCAGGAATTCACAGGGCAGAACACCTCCATTTCTTAAGAGAGATTAAAAATGTGATTTATGCGGTCGGAGTGGACAAGCAGATAAGCCGGCTGACCTGGGGGTTGGGGGGCAGACAAAGCAGGGGGAGTAAACCAGGACTTGGTTTCAGCCTCAAGGGAGCCACAAGCAGCTTGGGAAAACTGCGCTGTGTGCCTTCCTCCCAGTTTCATACCACAGGCATCTGTCTGTCCCAGTGAGAGAGCCGGGCTTTGCCATCATAAAGGCTCAGCCTACTAGCTGTGTGACCTTAAGAAGTCCCTTAACCTTTCTGAGGCAGGGCTTCCTGTCTTTCTCAAAGGGGTGCAGACACGGAACCTGCAGGCCTGTGATGGAGTCTGGGGGGTCAGGGAGGGGGTAGTGTGCATGGCACCACGCGTCACATGCCCCATTTACAAGAGTTAGTAAAACTATTACCATGGGCTAAAGACAGGCTTCCGGGCCCTGAAATGCAAACATAACCCACATTGTGAATCCATTCTTAACCACAAAATAACGCCCTCCCCCCACTTGCTCTAACTGGGACCGGGAGGCACACAGGTGCCGGGGCAGCTGTGCCCAGAGCCGCGGCCGTTACCTCGTCAATGGCAGACTCTTCAATCAGCCGGGGAGCATCTGACGACAACAAGCCGTGAGTTGCCATCACAAAGATCTTATACGCGCCCCTTTCCTTCAGGGTCTCTGCTGCGGCGAGGAAGCTGTCCACGTCATCAATGATGTCATCCTGTCAAGTCACGGAGGGAGCAGAAGGTGCATAAACATGGGGGCAAAGGCGGGTTCCCCAAATCCAAAAAAACAAAGGGTATCATTCCACTCCAGCAGAACTGCGGCCCCATCTAACGTCGGGACATGGGGACACGGCACGTCACTGTGCTCCTGACACATTCCCTGCAGGCCTCTTGGCCACGCTGGGGGCTCCCCGGGGCTGCCATCTCCACATTAACCCTTGTGGGTCTGGAAATGTTTCCTCAGTGGGCAAAGGCTCCAGAAATGCTCATTGAAGGTCTTTTGTTTTGTTTTTTAAAGATTTTATTTATTTGACAGAGAAGAGAGCAGCAGAGGGAGAAGAAGCAGACTCCCCATGGGGCACAAAGTCCCATGCAAGACTGGATCCTAGGAATCCCGGGTCATGACCTGAGCCGAAGGTAGACACTTAACCGACTGAGCCACCCAAGCGTCCCGTTAAGGGTTTTTGTTTTTTTTAAATGCATAACAAAACTGCCAGAAAGTGCTAGGCTCTAGCTAGTCCTTTCCTCTTTTCCTCTTGGTTTTCCTTATTTTGCACATCTTCTCCTCTGGGCACACGGGAAATATGCTTACTTACCTACAGCTATAAAATGGAAAAGACGGTAATGGTGTTTTAACAAAATAATACACAGTCCGGTGGTTTCCCAGCTAGGTGCCACAGGCTCCCAGTGTGACAGGGTAGAAAATATATATATTGGTCTCCACCCCAGGCTCCTGGCACAGAGTTCCTTAAACCCTTGTAAATTTCTAAGTGATGATGAGAACACTAAGAACATCTTTTGTTCTACTATTTGTCTCTGATCCTGTCCCTGACACGGAGCTCCTAAAACCCTTGTAAATTCCTAAGTGATAAGAGCACTAGGGGCATCTTTTATTCTGATGAGGTGACTCCCGGTGGGATCCTGAATGGGGGCTTGTCACCAGAAAGACCACGCCATGAGGAGAAGCTTGGGATTTCCATCCCCCAAACCCCATTCTCCAGAGAGGGGAGGAGGCTGGAAACAGAGTTAATGACCTATCATGCCTTTGTGATGAAACCTCCATAAAACCCCCAAAAGTACAGAGTTTGGAGAGCTTCCGGACTGGTGAACACATCCACGTACTGGGAGGGTGACATACCCCAACTCCACGGGGACAAACTATTCTGACCTCTGGACAACCCCAGACCTCGCCCTATGTATCTCCTCATCGGTATCCCTTATGACATCCCTTAATAAACTGGTCCATACACGTGTTCTGTGAGCCGCTCTAGCAAATTAATGCAGTCTGAAGGGGTCATGGGAACCTCTGCTTTGTAGCCAAATCATACAGAAGCTGCGCGTAACCCGGGGCCGTACATGCAAATGGTATCGGAAGTAGGGTGGGAGAAGTCTTGTGGGACTGACCCTTAACCCGCGGGGCTCTGACACTAGCTCTGGGTGGACAGTGTCAGTACTGAGTTAAATTGGGGCACCTGGGTGGCTCAGTTGGTTAAGCATCTGCCTTCGGCTCAGGTCGTGATTTTGGGGTCCTGGGATGGAGCCCCACATCGGGCTCCCATGCACTCTTTCTCTGCACACCCCCCCCCCCGCTTTCTCTCTCAAATAAAAGCTTAAAAAAAAAAAAAAGACCTCAATTAACTTGTAGGACAAGTAACTGGTATCACAGAGAAAAACCCCACACGTTTGTGTGAGCTGTAAAGGGGATATGCAGGAGAGAGACACAGGAAGTGGAAAACACAGTCTTTCCTATCACACCCAGGCTACCAAAGTTACTTTAAGCCCACTAGGGTATCAAGCATAAGCTAGACTTGAATAAGTATTCACGCATTTATTTTATATGCATAGATATTATTCCTTTCATGTGTATACCGGTATTACCATGATCAAAGAAGAAAAACGTAGGTGTTACTTTAAAAGTGTTACTGGCAAAATGGTACAACCACTCGGAAACAAAGTTTGACGGGTTCTTATAAACTGTGTTCGCAATCACCGCTCAAGCCACTAATCGCACCTTTGGCCATTTAGCCCAGAAAAAGTAAAACTCTGTTCACACAAAAACCTATACACAAATGTGCACAGCAGTTTTATTTCTAGTAGCAGAAAACCAGAAACAATTCAGATGTCCTGCAGTGGTTCAACTGTGGTACCGACGTACGTGGAAAACAGCGCAGCCTAAAAAGATGTGTTACTATACATAACCACTTGGCTGGATCCCCAGGGAAGCATGCTAAGTGAACAAAAAATCGATCTTAAAGGCTGACTGACTGTATTCTCCACTTGTATGACTTTCTCGAAGTCACCATGATAAAGACAGAGGACAGGTTAGCCACGCCACAAGTTGGCCTCAGGGGGCAAGGAGGGACCCGGAGATGAAGGAGTAGCATGAAGGAGTCCGACAGTGATGGCGTCGCTCCGTATCTGACCACGGTGGTGGTTACACAAAGCTCCACGTGTGATAAGCCTGTACACATCTACACGCACACATGTCATACCAGGGCTTTTGGGAGCAGCTGTGTGGGTGGTGGTGACCTCCATTTCCAGACTGTGTTACTGCACCACAGTTAAGCAAGGAGGAGGAAGCTGGATCAAGGAACTTAAGACTTGTCTGCACGATTTGGGGGAGGGGAGGGCCTACTTCCTATGAATCAAAATTACTTCAAAATAAAAAGGGTTTTGGTTTTTTTTTTTAATGCAGTAGAAAGGGGGCAAAGGCATTACTAAATTCACAGCATCTTATTATGACAGATTTTGTTAAATAAGGAATAAATTCATGGGCAGCTATTATTCTAGAAGATGACGTCAGAGACTCTGAACTCAGAAAAGACTTTGTGGATTCAGAAATTCACAAGCAAAACCTCAAGCACTGGGGAGAGCAAGGGGCCACCACCATGGAGTCTTGGTGAACTGGAGCGACCACTCTGGAAACAGGCTGGCACCAGTCAGGGAAGTTGGAAATGTGTGTGCCTTCTGACCCAACCGCCCCACTCCCAGGAACCCAAGAAAGTTGTACACGTATGGTCCAGAAAACAGGCATAAGACTGTTCAGAGCCAGTATTATCTGGAAAGAGAGAAACTGTACGCTCATTGCCTGGAGAACGGATCGGTACGCCGTGTCACGGTTGTACCAGAAACAGAACACAATGTGCAACCACATGTAACTACATGGAGAAATCCCAAACCAGCACTGAAGGGAAGTCATAAAGTACACAAAGACTTCATTATACAAACAGCAAGAACATGAAAAACAGAACCACCTAGCGTTTAGGGATACATACGGTCATGGCAGAATAACAGCAAGTAAGGGCATGCACGGTGACTTTCGGGTTGCTGACAACCTCTGTGGGGAGGAAAGGGAAGAAAGACCAGGGAAGAGCCGAGGTGGCCTCATGGGGACAGGACCACGTTCTGTTTCCAAGCGGAGCAATCGGGTACACACACGTGTTCGTATTATTGTTGTTTTAATGATATCGGCATTAAATGTACTCCTTCTGTGCACTGGTTTTGTGAAGGGCAAGAGAATGTATGTTTTAAACAGTTACCAATTTTGCACCCTACCTTTATCGCAAAACAATTTCCCGTGGTATGACAAACAGCTGCAAACATTTAGTAAAACTAAGGAGTTAGTTACAATTTCTTAATAAACTAATGATAACAATTTTCAGCTTGGGGACCAAAGTAAACATTTAGCACAAGGTACCAACTTAAAGGAGACTTACCTGGCCACATGGCTATCCTCACACCATTAACAAATAATTCAAAAGAACAACAATGGCAAATACAACAATTAATAAGAAAAGAGATCTACATACCACAATGATGGCGATCCTTCCTCCAACATCGCCAACAACTGTGATTGGGGGCTTTTCCTTAGGAATCAGCACTGTTCAGAATAAAACACACACAAAAAAATCTCTATATTAAAGCCTTTAAAAAGTTAATGTCTCATGATAAAAAGAGCCAGAAACTAGAAACAGATGGGAACTTCCTCAACCTGAAGGGCAACTATGAAAAACTCACAGCTGACATCCTACTTAATGAAAGACTGAAAACTTCCCCCTAACATCAGGAACAAGCCAGGGATGCCTGCTCTCACCACTGCTACTCAACACGATACTGGATGCACTAGCCACAGTAATTACGCAAGAAAAAGAAATAAAAGGGATCCAGGTGGGACAGAAAGAAGTAAAGCTATCTCTACTAGCAAATGACATGATCCTACATATAAAAAACACCAAAGAGGGCGCCTGGGTGGCTCAGCGGGTTAAGCCGCTGCCTTCGGCTCAGGTTATGATCTCAGGGTTCTGGGATCGAGTCCCGCATGGGGCTCTCTGCTCAGCAGGGAGCCTGCTTCCCTCTCTCTCTCTCTGCCTGCCTCTGTCTACTGTGATCTCTCTCTGTCAAATAAATAAATAAAGTCTTTAAAAAAAAAAAAACAAAAAAACACCAAAGAATCCACAAAGAACTACCAAAGCTAACACATCAATTCACCAGAGCTGCAAGGTAATACACAAAAATCAGTTGTTTCTACACAAGCAATGAACGAGCTGAAGGAGAAATTAGGAAAACAATTCCACTTGTAAAAGCAGTGAAAAGAATAAAATCCCTAAAAATAAATTTAACCAAAGAGGTGAAAGACCTGTACACTGAAACTATAAAACACTGCTGAAAGAAATTAAAGAAAACATAGATAAATGGAAAGACATCCCATGTTCAAGGATCAAAGCATTAATACCGGTAAGATGGCAATGCTCCCCAAAGTGATCTACAGATTCAATGCAATCCTTATCAGAATCCCAACTGCTTTTCTGGCAGAAATGACCTGACCCCAAAATCCTAATATATCGAAATAAAAGGGACCCCAAGTAGCCAGAAAAATCTTTTAAAAAGAAAGAATAAAGTTGCAGGACTCACACTTCTCTATTTCAGAACTTATTACAAAGCAATGAATCAAATGTGGTACCTGCATAAGAATGGAGATAAGCAGATCAATGGAACAGAACCAAGTGTCCACAAATAAACCCAAACATCTACGATCGATTCTTCCCCCAGCTTTCTTGATATGTCATTGACATATAACACTGTGTACAACATTATGATTTGATACACGTACATACTGCAAAATGATTACCACAATAAGATGAGTTAACATACCCATCACTTCACATAATTACAATTGTGTGTGTGTGTGGTGAGGATGTTTAAGATCTACTCTCTTAGAGGGACCTGGGTGGCTCCGTCGGTTAAGCATCTACCTTCGGTTCAGGTCATGATTCGGGGTCCTGGGATCAAGCCCCACAACAGGCTCCCTGCTCAGCAGGGAGTCTGCTTCTCCCTCTGCCTGCCTCTCGCCAGTTTGTGCTCTCACTCTCTCAAATAAATGAGTAAAATTTTAAAAAGAAAAAAAGCTACTCTTAGTAACTTTCAAGTAAATAATATAGTATTATTAACTACAGTCACTATGCTGTACGTTAGAGTCCCCAGAAGCTATTCATTTTATAACTCTGTTTCATCCATCACCCCCAGGACCTCGTAACTACCACTCTATTGTCTGTTTCTGTGAGTTTGACCTTTCCTTTAGCTTCTACATGTCATTGACACCATACAGTATCTGTCCTTCTCTGACTTATTTCACTTAGCACATCCTCAGAGTCCATCCATGTTGCCATCAATGGCAGGATTTCCTTCTGATGGCTGAATAATACTCTACTGTATATATACACATTTTCTTTAACCATTCAACCACTGAGGGACACTTAGAATTGATTTTTGACAAGAGCGTCAAGGCCATTCGATGGGGAAAGGAAACAGTTTTTGACAAGTGGTGCTGGGAAAACTGGATATCCACATATAAAAGAATGAACTTGTACTCTTACCTCACACCATATTGAAAAATTAACTCGAAATGGATCAAAGACCTAAAAATAAGAGCTAAAGCTATAAAACTCTAAGTAGAAAACATGGGAGTAAATCCTCATGACCTTGGATTTGGCAAAGGGTTCTTAGCTAAGACACCAAAAGACAAGCAATAGACTGAAATACAGATAAACTGGATTTCATCAAAATTAAAAGCTTCCATGCACCAAAGGACACTATCAGGAAAGTGAAGACAAACTACACAATGAGAGAAAACATACATATTTTCAACAAAGAGTCAAGTGTCCAGAATATGTAAAGAACTCCTACAACTCAACTATAAAAGGACAAACAACTCAATTCAATAATAAGCAAAAAATGTGAACAGACATTTCTCCCAAGAAGATACACAAATGGACAAGCACATGAGAAGATGAAACGTCATGAGCCATTAGGGAAATGCAGGAAAAAACTCTAACAAAGTACCCTTCAACCCACCAGGCAGATGATCATCAACAAAATCAGAAAATTGGGGCACCTGGGTGGCTCAGTGGGTTAAAGCCTCTGCCTTCGGCTCAGGTCAGGATCTCAGGTCCTGGGATCGAGCTCTGCATCGGGCTTTCTGCTTAGCAGGGAGCCTGCTTACCCCTCCCTCTCTCTGCCTCTCTGCTACTTGTGAACTCTGTCTCTCTCTGTCAAATAGGTAAATAAGATCTTTAAAAAAAAAAAAATCAGAAAACAGTGTTGGTAAGGATGTAGAGAAATCAGAACCTTTAACCTTTGCTGGGAGGAATGTCAAATGGTACAGCTGTGATGGAAAACAGATGGGTAGCTCCTCAAAAAGTTAACATAAAATTACCATATGATCCAGCAACTGTAATCCTAGGTATAGACTCTGGAGAAATGAAATCATGTCCGGAAGAAACTTGCACGTGAACAAAAATGTAACAGCCTCACAGCCAAAGCTCGAAACAACTCCAGTGTCTATCAGCGGATGAAAGCACAACATGCTGTGGCATATCCACACACAATGGAATATTACTCAGCCATCAAAAGAAATTAAGTCCCGATACACACAAAGACATGAATGAACAACAAAGACAGTCTGGATGATTCCATTTATATGAAATGTCTGGAACAGGCAAAGTCATAAGAACAGAAAGCAGATTAGTGGGGGCAAGGGGCGTGGGGTGTGATCATTCAGTGTGTAAGGGTGTTCCCTGGGGTGATGAAATGTTTGAAACTTAAAAGATACGGGGGTTGCACAGGACTGTAAATGTACTAAATGCCAGTGAACTGTATATTTTAAAACAGCTGTTATGTGAGCTTCACTTCAATTTTTACTTTTTACTTATTTTTAAAGATTTTATTTATTTATTTGTCAGGCAGGGAGAGAGCACAAGCAGGGCGAGCAGCGGGCAGAGGGAGAAGCAGACTCCCCACTGAGCAAGGAGCCCAGTGCAGGAATCAAATCCCAGGATCCCGAGATCATGACCTGAGCCGAAGGCAGATGTTTAACCAACTGAGCCACCCAGGCATCCCTCACTTACAGTTCTGGAAGAAAAGTCAGTGTCACCAAAGGAAAAAAGCAGGAGCACTCCAGATCAGAGCTTCTCAACCTGGGCACCAGTCACATTTAGGGTCAGATAATTCTTTGTGATGGGAGCTGTCCCGTGTGTTACGGGATATTTACGGCATCCTTGGCCCCCTCAATTATGACCACCAAAAATGTCAGACATCTCCAACCAAGGGTGCTCAATGGGACAAAATCCATGGCACCCCCCCCCACCCCAGTTGAGAACCAATGCTGTGGACTGAAGGAAGCTAAAGACATAGGACAATTAAATGTCATGTGATCCTAGGTGGCGGGGGGGAAAGAGGGGGGGAAGGACAACAGAAATGTAAAACCAAACAAAGCAAGATAAATCCCAAAACTGAATTTTTTACACTTTCCACACTTCCTTTCCCAGGCACCTGACCCCAGGACTGGAAAAAGAGTACAACAGTGTAGCCTTTAGGGAATCGGCCTGACAAAGAGCCATATGAACAGTCTTACCTTTGAATTCATAAATCTCATGCATAAGCCCAGGTACAGAGCAAGAGTTTACCCACACACGTCCACTGAAACATTACACTGGCAAAGGACAGGTGCAAACATCAGGGCACCTGGGTGGCTCAGTAGGCTAATCATCTGACTCTTGCTTTTGGCTGAGGTCATAACCTCAGGGTCATAAGATCAAGCCCCGCATGGGGCTCCGTGATCAGCGCAGGGTGTGCTGCAGAGTCTCTCCCTCTCCCTCTGCTCCTCCCCACTGCTCATTCTCTCTAAAATAAATAAAATCTTAGAAAAAAAAAAAAAAAAGGGCAGGTGAAAACACACACCTGCTAGACCCTGACTGAGCTTAGGTTTCGGCCACATCCGCAGATGGGATATTCGACAGCCGTTAAAACTGCTGTTCATGCAAGTTTTCAATCACCTGGGAGAAGGTGTGTTATGGAATCTGTGCCTGTCGGCACCGCGGCTCCGTAACCCAAGGAAGGAAACCATGGGAAGAGCCCCAGCAGAAGGTAAAAATGCTGTGTGTCTGGATTTAGTGCTGATGAGTGTTTCTTTCCTTTACGCACTCTAATGTTTTGAATAATTTATATAATGTGTTCCTATTCTGGAAAAGTACTGTTTTCTTTTTTAGTTGGCATTTTCCTTCTGTAAGAAACCAGAAAATACAAACTAATTTTTTAAATATAATGCTGAATATTAAAATCTTTTGATGTCATCACAATCTCAAAATATACGTGTGAAGCGGCAGAGGAATAACGCTTTCTACTGCCTCCAGATGTCTGTTTGCATATATCTACTTGCTACCAACTTAAACAAGGCTAGAGGGCCAGGCCAGCAAACGTGCAAAAAAAGCTCGACAAATTCTGGTATATTCTTCCCCAAGTCCTCTAGTGTTCACCGCTTGAGTCAAAATGTAAACATAGAAATGTTATTATTACAATCATGACGAAACACGCTGAAATATAAAGGAAATGTCAGAAAGCCCTGGTCCCTTGTTTTTACATGGGGGACACATAGCTCCGTCTCTCCAGCCCAGAAATGACTGGCTAAGACTGCACTTAAAACTAAAGCCCAGAAGTTAAAAGGAGCTGGTTCATCTTGCTGAAATGTTGCTGAACATAGCTGACGTAACTGCAAAGCTGAACGGGAATGTGCCTCCCCCCCACCCTGCCCGGAGCTCAGGGAATGGGCTCATCCCTGTAGAGCCCTGTGGAGCTGCCTGACACTGCCCCTCACTAAGCAGACGTGGGCTCCGAAGGCAAGGCCAGCCATAGGCCTGAGTGCCCAGCAGCCTTGCAGCGTGGTGCACGCACTAATGTGGGGCCTAATTAGCAAATCCCGAACCCTGGCTCCAGCCCCAGCTCTCTCTCCTCATTTTTTTTTGTTTTTTTTTGTTTTTGTTTTTGTTTTTTTTTAAAGATATTTACTTATTCATTTGAGACAGAGAGCATAAGCGGGGTGAGGGGCCGAGGGAGAAGCAGACTCCCCACTGGTCCATCCCAGGACCCCCGGATCATGACCTGAGCCGAAGGCAGACGCCTAATGACTGAGCCACCCAGGTGCCCCCCCAACTCTTTAAGCTCCCGGCACAGTGGGAGAGCGCCAGCTCCTAAGATGGAATGGGAGAGCACAGACCTTCCCGTCCAGTGAGCCCATTGCTAGACTCCCAGGGCAGTGATATACGCTAAGTCACAAATGGAAGCCATGGATGTCATGTTAAATTTTCTAGCAGCCACATAACAAAAGCACAAAGAAATAGGTGAAACTAATTTTAAGAATACATTTTATTTAATCCAATATGTCAATTAATCATTTCAACAGGGACTCAATAAAAAACTGATTAATAAAGATCTTTCACACTACGGTTTTCACACCCAGAGTGCATGTCCTTCACATTCCCTGCACACCTGGTTCCCATTCGCCCCATTCCAGTGGACAGGGGGCCGCTAGATTGGACAGGACAGGACAGGACAGGACAGCACAGCCCAGCCCAGCCCGAGGTCAAAGGCCTCCCATGGTACATCTGTGTAACTCTATCAGCCTCCCAGATCCGCCCTCCCTATCTCTTGCCTCTCTTCCCTGCAATCTAACACCCAGCGCGGGCTTGGACTTCCAAGACACCGAAGATACCCACAGCGCCAGCTCCAGAGAACTCTGCAGCCTTTTGTAATGCAAGTTAAAGACCTGGCATTGAAAACCCTCCCATCCCCTCCAGCAGACTCCTGCCACCTTACCCCCATCTTTTTCCCCAAGGACCTTCTAGCAGTCAGGGCGATGTCCTTCCTGGTCACACTGGGGCTGGACACAGGCCCCAGCCCTTGCCCCCAGAGGCTGCCCTCTTGCCCCTGTAGGCGGTCCTGGTTCCCTGATCCAACCGACCCCTGGACGCTGGCTCTCTCCACCTCAGCCCACCGAGATCCCCAGGCATGGCCCCAACCTCAGGTTCCTCCTGGCAGCCCCAGTACAGTTTTCCTTCTCTCAAGTGTTCTCTATTTGCAAATGAGCCACCTCCTGGGCAAAGCAAGAACCCAAAGGGCTGCAGAATATGCCACAGTGGCATGAAAATGATTCTCAGCTGAAGGTACAGGAGCTCCTGAAGCCCCTTCTGGTTGAAAAGCAGAGCTCCCCAAAAGAACTCGAAAGAATTCAAATGTCATAAATCCCCTCCTAGGAACAACCAGGGAAGACTAACTTACCACCCAGACAAGAAGTCAGCACACACCCAGACAGACACAGTCACAAAACCATCCAACTCCCTTCTGTGCTAAGGGCCCTCCCTCTCTTCTAAAAGTCACCTGTTTGCCAGCTTCCCCTGGTAAGATCCCCCAATCCTAAACCCTGTCTTTTCTTGCGCTCATCTATCTTTTGTGAGATTTGTAGGCTCCTAAGTCTGAATCTAAAGAGGACAGAGGACAAGTTTTTCTTCCCCAACAGATGCAAAGGCAGAATTTTTTTTAATTGAAAAGATGTTAGTAAAGCACGAAAGAAGTTTCTTAAAACAGAAACAAATTCACACATAACTGCCCCACCCTGTCACCATCTTGCCACCTTTTGTACTCCCTCTGGGGCCTCACACAAGCACAGGGATACACTCTTGTATTCTGCCAATTCCCATATATTCCAGATTTTTCTCTTGTATCCAGCTAGGCTTAACTATTTCAGTGGGCTGCATATTTAGTTGTGCTGACACAAGATAACTTACGAGGGCCTACCCTCTGCGAAGCCATTTAGACGTTTCCCATATTCTGCATTCAAAGTAACACTATTGGTGGGTAATATGCACAATTTTTTGCTTGTGTTAAACTCTCCTCAAGGATCTATTGCTGAGTGAATGGATGAAATTCTCTGAAATGGCAGAACTAAGCCTCTTCCTCGTTCTTGTTATGATCACACAAATTGCTTCTAGAAGGCTCTATGGTCCACAGGGTTATCAGAAATGCACTTGTAATGATGGGGTATTAATCAGTTTTTGCCAACTTAAAAAAAAGAGAGAAGGGGCCATTCACAGTGGGAAGACAATACGTTTAGGCAGCCCTGAAAGCAAAGAGGAAAGTGACAAAGAGGGGCTGACACACTTACTGGGGATCTCCAGGCTGGGGTGGATGGCAGCCACGCTCCTGACCATGGGCGGGGAGTGCCGTCCATCCACCAGGTCGGACTCGGCGTCCTGCGCTTCTCCGTGAATCACAGCGATGCCCAGTCGCAGGCGCTCCGCGAAAGACTGAGCCCTGCGGGAGAGCATGAGACATGGTTCAGAGAGCACGCAGCCACCGTTTTCTGACGTTCACGGGCAGAACGTACGAGAACAGGCATCCAGCTCAGTTTCCAAGAGGATTCGCGAAAACAGAAAATGATCTTCAAGTCCTGGGGTCGGGGACAAAGCGTGGGGACCCCCAGTGATGAGCATGTCCCTCTGGCTGTGGGCATGGCAGTGGCTGGGCAGTGGCAGGCCCCGTGGGCGCTCAGTGGGCTAGATGCCCCTGTGCTGGCTGACTGAGCTAAGCCTAATCTTCCCCCATTCTAACTGCTAATCCACCTCGCCGCCCACTGAATAGTGAGAACCAGCCACAGGAGGCGAAGGGCATTAAACACTCCTCAAAGTCGGAAGTGTCAATTTTTAAGTTTTACTGAGATATAAGTGAGATCCGACGAACTCTGTGTATTTAAACTGTACAATCTCATCAGCTCTGGTGTGCGCACACATCCGTGCAAACCGTCAGCATGATGAAGACAATGGAAATATCTACCGATGCCAGACACGTCCTCGTGCCCTTTAGGAACTCCTTCCAGGGCCACGCCGCCAATAATCTGCCTTCCGGCACAGAGTCTGGCCCCTTCTAGAGCCTCGGAAGTGGGATCGGAGTCTGTCGTCGTTTCCTGTCTAACTTCGCTCGCTAAGGATAGCATTTTGGAGATTCAACCACATTAAAGGGCACAGCAACAGGCCGTCCCTTCACACAGTAACAGCCCGCGGCTCGGGTCTAACAGACCTTGTTCACTTGCGCGATACGTTGCTGAGCTATTCCCAGTTCTGAACTACGGCAAAACCGCTTTGAACATTCACGTACAGACTTCTGCATGGACTCACGCTTTCCCCTCTCTTGGTTAAAAACCTAGGAGTAGCATGGCTGGACCCTAAGGTAAGGCATATATTTAACTCTCCAAAAAACAACCAGACTGTTCTGCAAAGTGGTTATACCATTTCACAACCGCCTGAGCAGGGCACAAGGGTCCCAGGGCCTCCACGTTCTCACTGATATGTGGTGTGGCCGATTTCAAATGCCTTCCATTCTGATAATGCCTAGTGGTACCTTGCTGTGCTTGCCGCTGGGATTTCCCTCACAGCAAACGGTGCTGAACATCTTTCATGGGCTTATTTGCCCTTCGAATGTATACTTTGATAAAGGGTTTGCTTATCTTTTGCCAATTTTTTTAGTTAGGTTGTTAGTTCTCTTACTAACTTTTGGGAATTCTTTATATCTCCTGCATGTAAGTTGGTGTGTTTTTTGTGTTTTTTTTTAAGATTTTATTTATTTGACAGATCACAAGTAGGCCAAGAGGCAGGCAGAGAAGAGGAAGCAGGCTCCCCGCTGAGGAGAGAGCCCAATGTGGGGCTCGATCCCAGGACCCTGGGATCATGACCTGAGCCAAAGGCAGAGGATTTAACCCACTGAGCCACCCAGGCGCCCCTATGTTGTTTTTTTTTTAATGTTTATTTATTTAAATTTTTAAGTGATCTCTCCACCCAACATGGGGCTTGAACTCATTGCCTTGAGATCAAGAGTCGCACGCTCTTCCCACTTAGCCAGCCAAGTGCCCTGAATATAAATTCTTTATCAGGTACATGCTTTACACATACTTTCTCCCAATCTGTGCCTTCTCCTGTCATTCTCCTGTTATGTCTTCTGAAGAGTAGTTTTACTTTTGATGATGTTTAATTTAATAAATTCTTTCTCATGGGGCGCCTGCCTGAGTGGCTCAGTGGGTTAAAGCCTCTGCCTTCAGCTCAGGTCATGATCCCAGGGTCTGGGATCAAGCCCCGCTTCGGGCTCTCTGCTTGGCAGGGAGCCTGCTTCCCTTCCTCTCTTTCTGCCTGCCTCTCCGCCTACTTGTGATCTCTGTCAAATAAATAAATAAATAAAAAGTCTTAAAAAAACAAAACAAAACAGGTGCCTGGGTGGCTCAGTTGGTTAAGCAACTGCCTTCAGCTCAGGTCATGATCCCGGACGCCTGGGATCAAGTCCCATATCCAGCTCCCTGCTCAGCAGGGAGTCTGCTTCTCCCACTGACCTCTCTCCTCTCATTCTTTCTCTCTCTCCCTCTCAAATAAATAAGATCTTTAAAAAAAATTAAAATATAAAACATTTTTGTCCAACCAAAGTCACAAAGATAAAAAATTTTTGTCCAACCAAAGTCACAAAGATTTTTTCTCCCAGAGTTTCCTTCAGAAGTTTTACAGTTTTAGGTTCCACATTTAGTTATAGGATTTTTAGTTGATTTTTGCATATGATGTAAAATAGGACTCAGAATCATATTTTGTACGTGAATCATTCGAATACCATTTGTGAAAAGGAAAATATGACTCGAAATCATTATTTTGTCCATCCAATCATTCCAACACCATTCGGGAAAAGGGCTACCCCTTTTTCTCCACTGTAACGCTTTTGCAGCTTTGTTGGAAGCCAGCGTTCTAGATACTCACAGGTCTGTTTCTGGACTTGATTCTGTTCCACTATGCTATTTTTCTCTCTTTACCCCAACGCTGCCCAGTCACGGTCGCTTTAGCATTACAGTAAGTTTTGACTTCAGTGTTAGCTCTCCCAGATCTAACTCCCAGAAAGTTATTCTTTCTCAAAGTCTAACCAGCACTGACACATGCCTGAGTGGATGGGCAAGTCAGTCTCAATCCTACTTGGCCAACACCCAAATCCCTAATCACGGGTGTGGAAAACACCCTAAGAAGTGACGAGCACTGCCACTGTCTTCCAGGAAACAACATGCAGCTGAATCACCATGGATCACTTTCTTCAACCCCCCTCGTCTGTGAGAGATCATAAATGCCAGAGAAGAGCAGATGGGGTAGGTCGAGGTCTTCATACTAGCTGCTGTTAACACAGTAACACAGACTAAGGGTGCTTTAACATAGAAACGTATTCCTCACAGTTCTGGAGGCTGGCAACCCCAGATGAGGGCATGGCAGAGCCGGTGCCTGGTGAGGGCCTGCTTCCTGGTTTGCAGACAGCCCCCCGTCTCTCACGGTACCTTCAAGCGGCAGAGAGCCACGACAAGCGTCTCACTCTCCCCACAAGACCACTAATCCCAGACATGAGGGCTCCACCTTCATGACCTAATCATCTCCCAAAGGCCTCACCTCCTAATCTCATCATACTGGGGGTTAGGATTTCAAGATGAATTTTGGGGGGACACACACACTCTGTCCATAATAGTAGCGAAAACACTGGACACTACACATAACCTTCCTGAGGGATCTTCTCAGGTCTCATCAAACCTGACACAAATGGCTAGATGCCAAACACTGGGGGCACCTGGGTGGCTCAGTCGGTTAAGCCGCTGCCTTCGGCTCACATCATGATCTCGTGGTCCCAGGATCGACCCCCATGTCAGGCCCCTTGTTCAGTGGGGAGTCTGCTTCTCCCTCTTACTCTCCCTCTGTGCTCCCCGCCACCAAATAAACAAATAAAATCTTTAAAAAAAAGGACAAACACTGTAGTACAGTTGACCCTTGAATAACATAGGTTTGAACTGCGTGGGTCCACTTATAGGTAGGTTTTTTTACATATATAAATACGGTACGATACTGTAAGTGTATTTTCTCTTATGATTTTCTCAATAACATTTTTTTTCTCTGCCTTACTTGCAGTAAGAATACAGTATACAATACAAACGACAAAATAGACATTAATTGACTATTTATGCTCTCAGTATTACTGATTAAGTTCTGGGGCAGTGAAAAGTGATGTGTAGATTTTTGAAGCATGGGGGGGGGTGGCGCCCTAAGACCCGTGTTGCTCAAGAGTCAACTGTGCTAATAAAAGCCAAATAAACTGAGCCGAAGGCTACCATAGTGATACAATCTCATCAACAAACGGAATTAGATGTCAAGTGAGTATTATGGAAGTTATGAGAAGCCTATCCATAGGGGTGAGGCCAAAGAAAATTCATCATATTCTTTGGGTATTTAGTGGGAAAAATATATCAAAATGCCCTGTGGCTACTTCTGTTACTGAAGCTACTTCTATTTCTGCTGAGATGGGGCAGCCTCCCAAGTCAGAAAACTCTAACACACTGACTGCCCTTCTCCAGCCAACCGCCACAGAAATCAGCTACACCACTGCTGACACAGCAAAGGTCAAGCAGGGTATCTACCCTTCCTCCCTTGCCAGGTTATAATGATGAGCCCCAAACCCTCCAATGGGGCAGTTTAAGAGAATGCCAAGTAGACAGCTGGGACTTTCATCCCTACCGAGCCGTAATGATCCCCCACCCCCCATGGTCAGTGCAGAGTGAACCCTGGACTTCCAACCCCACTCAGCAGTAAAAGGTGCCTTTCCCTCTCCCCTCTGAGGTGGTGTCAGGGGAGGCCTCGTGGAGTCAGGACTCTCACCAGCCCCATGGTGACAAGGCCACTTGATGTCAGCAAAGGATTCACAGGGAGTGGTACTCCCACGTCCACCTACTTGTGGGTGTTCTGATCAGATTCTTACTACAAAGCTACAGTAATCAAAACTGTGGTATTGACATTCAAACAACAGAACAGATCTGAGAGTCCGGAAATAAACACAAATATCGATGGCCAACTGACTTGGGACGAGAATACCAAAGCCATTCGAGGGGGCTAAGCACAGTCTTTTCAACGAATAGTGTTGGATGGCCAGATAATCACTGGGAAACAAAGAAGCTGGGACCCAACACCTCCCTCCATATATAAAAATGAACTCAACATGGATCAACCACCTAAACATAACAGCTAAAACTAAACCACTGGGAGAAAACACAGGGGCAAAACTTAATAACCTTGGATTTAGCAATGGCTTCTTAAATATGATGTCAGAGCAAAAGCAGTAACATAGCTAACCCAGACCTCATAAAAATTAAAAACTTTTGTGTGTCGAAGGACATTGTCGAGACAGGTAAAAGAGGGACACCTGGGTGGCTCAGATGGTTAAGCATCTGCCTTTGGGTCAGGTCATAATCCCAGGGTCCTGGGATTGAGTCCCACTGAGCAGGGAGCCTGCTTCTCCCTCTGCCTGCTGCTCCCCCTGCTTGTGCTCTCTCATGCTCTCTCTAACAAATAACTAAAATTAAACAACAACAACAACCACCACCACCATACAGGTAATGATCCCAGAGTTCTGGGATCAAGCCCCACATCAAGCCCACTGGGCTCTGCTCAGTGGGGAGCCTGCTTCCTCCTCTCTCTTTCTCTCTCTCTGTCTGCCTCTCCGCCTACTTGAGGTCTCTGTCAAATAAAAAAATAATAATAATAATAAAAAAGATAACCTACAGAATGGGGTAAAATATTTGCAAATCCTCTATCCAATAAGGGCCTAGTACCCAGAATACATAAAGAACTCCTACAACTCAACCACAAAAAGGCAAACAACCCAATTTAAAAAAGCGCAAAAGACTTGAACAGACATTTCTCCAAAGATATACCAATGGTTAATGAGCACACGGAAAGAGGCTCAACATCCTTCATTGTTAGAGAAGCTCAAATCAAAACCACAGTGACGGACCACTGCACACCGACTGGGATGGCCATAATAACAACAATAATAATAATAAAACCGAAAATACGTGTTGGTAAGGATGGAACCCTTGTACATCCCTGGAGAGAAAGTGAAATGGTACCCGCTGTAGTTCAGCAGTCCCTCCAAAACATAAGCATAGAAATACCATACACCGAGCACTTGCAACCCTTGGTACACATCCACGAGAAATGAAAACATACATTGACACAGCAACTTGTACAAAAATGTACAGCAGTATTCTTTGTAACAGTCAAAAGGTGGGGACAACCCAAATGTCCTTCAATACATGAACGGATAAACAGTGTGGTCTATCCCGACTGTGGGGATTTTTCAGCTGTAAAATGGAATGACTGACTGATACACACTACAGTGTGGATGAACCTGGAAAGCAGGAGGCTACATGAAAGAAACCACACCCAAAAGGCCACGTATTACATGGCTTCATTTATATGAAACGTCTAGGACAGGCAAATCCACGGAGACAGACAGCAGATTCGTGGTTGCCAGGGGCTGGGAAGAGAGGGTCACGGACAGTGATTTCTTCATGGGTATGGAGTGTTCCTCTGGAGTGATGAAACAGCTCTGAAACCTGAGAGAGGCTATGCCTGCAGAACACTGTGAAGGCACTAACTGCCAACGGACTGCAGACTTTAAAATGATTAATTATACCTTCTGTGATTTTCACCTTAACGGCAACTGAAAGCACATATATCAGAGAAAAACAAATTACTACATTAAAACTGATCCAGCATGGGGCGCCTGGGTGGCTCAGTGGGTTAAGCCTCTGCCTTTGGCTCAGGTCATGATCTCAGGGTCCTGGGATTGAGCCCCACATCGGGCTCTCTGCTCAGCGGGGAGCCTGATTCCTCCTCTCTCTCGGCCTGCTTCTCTGTCTACTTGTGATCTCTGTCAAATAAATAAATAAAATCTTAAAAAAAAAAAAATTGATCCAACACAATGCCCAGAGAAGCATCTGGAAGTTTTAGATTATGACGACTTCATCAAATGGACGATACAAAACTCCAGAGACTGAGCTTCTCGAAGGACGTATGGTGTGGGCACAGCCTCGGCTGCACTGGACATGGCAACTTCATGTTTTTATCTCAAATGCCGGCCTAAGTTATTTAATCTCCTAAATGTCCTTCATCATTTATAATGGAAAACTACATATTATAATATCTTTTAAATCACTGGCTTACTGTCTGCAAGCTCTCCCTCATCCTTCAATATTAACAGCCCGTGGGGCCCAGGATGGTTGTTTCTATGTTTGCTTATATGTTTCTATGTCTGCAGGGCTGCACAGGGATCCAGCGAGCAAAGGCATTCAATCGTGGGACATGATTTTAAGAGCATTTTTAGGGGCGCCTGGGTGGCTCAGTCCATTAAGCATCTGACTCTGGATTTCAGCTCAGGTCATGATCGCAGGATCATGAGATCAAGTCCCAGGTCAGGCTTTGTGCTGGGTATGAACCCTGCTTACAAGTCTCTTTCTCTCTCCCCCACAACAACCTCTCCCTGTCTAAAAAAAAAAAGAAAAAAAGTGGGGAGCTTTTTTAGGAAAAAGACTTTCTTCCTACATTTGCTTTTGCTCTCTTCCTTCCCAACAAAGTGGCTTCTCCAGAAAACGTGAGTAAATGAAATCCTATCAATCCCTAACCACTTTAAATATTGTCTTAATGATTCATCGGTCACTCCAGGTTACCTGTAACTCTCAGCACTGCCCTATCTGTATGCCTCAGGGTGTTTTTGTTCTGTAAAATGTCACTTTTTAACACATACCAATAAGTGGCCTCTCGGCTGGCTACAATTCTGTTAATAAATTACTGAGTTCTTGTAATAAAAGGCAAAAAACAACTACACAGTATATTCGCTGGTACTGTAAATACCATGGGTTTTAAACACCCTGGAGCTGAAGGTGACCGCCAATCTGGAAATGAGAGAAGCACTAGGTCAGGCTTCCTGACACCTGGGTGTCTTTGATAGGTGGGCACAGATTGGGATTGGGGAAAAAAAAGGAGGAAAATTAATCATCATTTTAAAAATGGAGTCAGGAGACGATCTTTTAAACTATCAGCCCATAGAATAAAAACAAGAGACACCACTGGGAACCACTGAGATAGAATCCAGAGTGTCTGGGATCCAATCGGGGATGTGATTCTCCACGCGGACCCGAGGGGTGGCCATGAGCTCCCACCTACCTCTTGGCCGAGGCTGGAGATTTGGCCACGATCACCGCATTCCTGTAATCCGGGATCTGTGACAGACAAGAGGTCAGGGATTACTCCCATGTCTCCATGAGGCTACCAACATCCGACAGTCGATAAAAAGGAACATTCCAAGACTCAAAAATATCATCTGGCTACTTGAAAGTTTTCCAAAAAGAGAAAAAGTTCAAAGTTAATTTACCCTTCGGAAAACGAAGAAACCCCTACCTAGGAAAAAGTATTATCAGGGTACGAGCCGCACAGACTGAAGACAAAAAGAGTAGGGCTCGTTGCCGATTAGCTTTTATCTATATCAGCAAATGCTGATGATGATGGCATAAAGACATTTTGATCAAGTCAACAGGAGGTGTTCTTGTGAACCCACGGCATGGGATTTCCCAGTGCCAGGATGGTACCCATCCAAAGTGAATCCAAAGTAACTGTCCAATTCCAAATCAGTGCCGTCCATACAAAGGAGTACTGGGTCTCAGTCACGGCATATTGAAGAAACCAATTTGTTAAAGGATAATCGCAAAGGTGGGGTTTTAATCAGGCATGAAGAACCCTTAAGAAAATAACTAAAATACCAATCTACTTTGGAGTCTTTCACTGTTGAACATTTGAAGTGATCTGTGCTAGTGATGATCGTAACCAAAGATATACCATTAGCAACTTCTAAGAATTGAGAAGACGGAACGCTTTTTAAGCTGTGCAGTGGAGTGTTTCTGACTTCGTCCTGGCCATATTTTCTGATTATGTTCTTAAAATTTAAACACGTCACTAAATTATAAGATTTCCTTCAATATGTCCTGGCTGCTGTTTTTCTCACAATTAGGCTAGATCAATGATTTTCCATGTAAGCATTAATAACCTTCAGCACCTCGTACAATGCCTTGCACATGGGAAGTACTAAATAATACTTAGTAAATGAACAAAAAACTGATTCATCTAAGCAGTGGGTACATCAAATGGACGTATACATCTAATACAGGTGCATCCGGCATAGCCACATAGATTGGACGTCTTTATGGGAGAACCTAATACATCCAGGGCTATCAGAAAATAAAGTAGCAAAACATATTTCCATTTAGGTGCTTTTCCTATTTTTGCTGGAAGTCTTTCTAAATTGTTTTATGGACTTGTCTCACCAAATATCACCAAACAGCACCAAACCCAGTCAAGAGAAGAAGTAACAACGAAGGAAACAGTTAATAAAGCAAATAAAAAAAGGCTTTAAAAGAAAGGACTCTTTGCGGGGTCTGGGTGCTGCTGTTGGTTGAGTGTTCGACTTGGTTTCAGCTCAGGTTGTGAGATAGAGATCCGCATTGCCTCTGCACTGAGCACAGAGTCTGCTTGAGTTTCTCTCTCCTTCTCCCTCTGCCCCTCCCACCATGCTCTGTCTCTAAAAATAAATAAATAAATCTTAAAAAAAAAAGTCTTGAAAGAAAGAAAGAGGGGTGCCTGGGTGGCTCAGTGGGTTAAGCCTCTGCCTTTGGATCAGGTCACGATCCCAGTGTCCTGGGATGGAGCCACGCATCAGGCTCTCTGCTCAGCGGGGAGCCCGCTTCCCTCTCTCTCTCTCTGCCTGCTTCTCTGCCTACTTGTGATCTCTCTCTCTCTGTCAAATAAATAAATAAACTCTTAAAAAAAAAAAAAGTTATACGCTCTATCCAATGAGCCAGTCAGATGCTCCTTACGATAAATTTTTAAAATACAGTATTTCACTTAATAGAGCAAAAAATTATGGGGCACCTGTGTGGCTCAGGTGGCTAAGGTCATGATCCTGGAGTCCTGGGACTGAGCCCCGTGTTGGGCTCCCTGCTCAGTGGGGAACCTGCTTCTCCTTCTGTCTCTCCCCACACTTGTGTTTTCTTTCTCTCTCTCTCAAATAAACAAATTTTTAAAAGAGAGTGAAAAATTAAAACAACCTAATATCCAATCAACAGGAAAATGGTTGAGGGGTTCCTGGGTGGCTCAGTGGGTTAAGCCTCTGCCTTCGGCTCAGGTCATGATCCCAGGGTCCTGGGATCCAGCCCCGAATCAGGCTCCCTGCTCAGTGGGGGGTCTGCTTCTCCCTCCCGGCCACCACTCTCAGCCTGCCTCTCTGCCTACTTGTGATCTCTTTCTCTGTCAAATAAATAAATAAAATCTTTAAAAAAAAAAAAAAAAAGGGGAGGAAAATGGTTGAAAAAATTGTGGCTTATTTAAACTTGTGCTTTAAACATTTAAACACATAGCTATTTAAACTTAATTAAACTTAAAGATGATTTGGCTCTCCATTCACAGTAGCCACAGGTGACAAGTGGCTACCATACTAGACAGCTGCTAGAGCATTTTCATGATCACAGGAAGTTCTACTGGACATCACTGATCTAAACGGAGGACTGGTATGCAGCAATTAGAAACAAAGCAAGAAACCTACATATCTTCACATGGAAAGACCTCCACATACCAGCACAGCAAAGAAAAGAAGCTGCAGAAAGGCAAACACTATGGCAACTGTTTTTAAAAAACAAACAAACAAAAAAAAAAACACCCACAAATCAGGGCACCTGGTTGGCTCAGTGGGTAGAGCACTTGACTCCTGATCTCAGGGTCGTAACTTCGAGCCCCACACTGGGGACAGAGCTTACCTTAAAAAAAAAAAAAAAAAAAAAAAAAAAAGTCATCAACATCTATAACCATATAGACAAGGAAGCAAATACAAAGAGAAAGTTCTGAGAAGACACAGGACACAAAGCAAGCTAGAAACAAGGGTTACCCCTGCAGAGGGGCCCAGGACCAGGCTGGGGGTTCAGGGAAGCCAGGGCTTTACCACTATTGTCAGAATTATTACAGACACACATGTGTCCCTACACTGCCACTGTCAATGGGAAGTTTCATTTTTCATTTGTTAGAAGACGACTCTTAACCATCGCGGAGGGGGAAACACACCACATGTCATGGAAGCCCAGCTTCCAAACTCCAGTAATCGTCCCCTGCAGGGCCACCATGGAACCACAAAGTATCAAACTGCCTTACACACCATGCTCCCTTGCTGTACACCCCTACTCTTGTCCCTGCTTTCTCAGTCCCCGCCGTCTCTCATTTCTGTGTGGACAGTGGCTTGATACGAAGACACTTAGAAGAATGCAGAGGGGAGAAAAAACAAAAGCAACTCAAGAATCAGAAACAAGATAACTCGGGACGCCTGGGTGGCTCAGTCGGTTGAGCCGCTGCCTTCAGCTCGGATCATGATACCAGGGTCCTGGGATCGAGTCCCACGTAGGGCTCCTTACTCGGCAGGGAGCCTGCTTCTCTCTCCACCTCTGCCTGCCATTCTGCCTCCTTGTATGCTCTTTCTCTCTCTGACAAATAAACAAAATCTTTAAAAAAAAAAAAAAAAAAGAAAGAAAGAAAGAAAGAAACAAGATAACTCTAGAAGCTCCTATTTAAAAAAATTAATGGGATGGGATCTCTACATACACCACAGAAATATAATTGTAGCCCCCTCTTCATCATTTCTTTTATTTTTTTTTATTTTTTTAAAGATTTTATTTAATTATTTGACAGAGAGATAGAACACAAGTAGGCAGAGCGGCAGACAGAGGGAGAGGGAGAAGCAGGCTCTCCACTGAGCAGAGAGCCCGATGTGGGGCTCGATCCCAAGACCCCAGGATCATGACCTAAGCCAAAGGCACCAGCCCAACCAACTGAGCCACCCAGGCGCCTCTCATCATTTCCTTTAAAAATCCTGGTGCGGGGGCACCTGGGTGGTTCGGCGGGTTCAACATCTGCTTTCAGCTCAGTTCGTGATCTCCAGGTCCTGGGAGTGAGCCCCTCTACCCCTTCCCCATCCTGCCCCTGCCCCCAGACTTATGTGCTCTCTCTCCCTCTCAAATAAATAAATAAATCTTTTTTTTTTTTTTTTAAATACTGGTGCAGGGGCGCCCGGGTGGCTCAGTGGGTTAAAGCCTCTGCCTTTGGCTTGGGTCATGATCCCAGGGTCCTGGGATCAAGCCCTGCATTGGGCTCCCTGCTCAGCAGAGAGCCTGCTTTCCTTCCTCTCTCTCTGCCTGCCTCTCTGCCTACTTGTGATCTCTGTCAGATAAATAAATAAAATCTTTTTAAAAATAAATAAATAAAAATTTTAAAAAAATTAAAAATCCTGGTGCACAGCAGTGATTTCTCAGAGTGTCACTGTGATACATAGTCATTTTTAAAAACACTGCACTGTACTTAATCAATGCCCAGACACGCGCACCACCGTGCAACTGAGGGCAGGAGAAACTGCCAAGCTCCCAGGAGAGAGCAGCAAAGCCGCCAGGCCGTGAGCATCCAATTATCTAGACTTTCCTTCCAGCTCTGGCAGAGAGCACGGAAATGCCACAGACGACTCAAGAGAAACAGAGCGTGAGCTGTCAAATCAGAAGATGTGAGCGTCACTCTTGCAGAACAAGATCACTAAGTGACACGAAGGCGCTGTGTCATACTATAACCCGTAGTGTCGTCTTCTCTCCTGACAACCTGAGTAACGCCAACCTCCACGGGCAGCATCTTCCATTCAGGACAGTATGTCCTACTAAAGCAAGTACGTGGCAGAAGGCAAAGCGAACGAAAGTCCTTTCGAACACTGAGCTCCCACACAGTAGTTCAGTTCGGATAGCCTGTTTTAATTTATATTTATGAATAAAGGACAAAGAATCTTAAAACTACAACATCTGCCGTTATCACTGCCAACTTGCCATCAAAAACAAAGAACCATTTTCCTTGCTTGCTGAACCACAGATTAGGTATGAAGGAGAGTTCAACCCTGAGAGTTCAATCCTTTCCAACAGGGAAGCCTCAAATAGGACTTTTCGAGTGGAAGGCAGCCTCGCACAGAGGCAGAAGCCTACAGAAAGGGGCCACGGCTGGGGCTGCTCGAGCCTGGTCTCTGGACCAGTGCCGGGGGAGCCGTAGCCCAGACTCAGCCGGCCAACGGGTGCCTCCCATATGTCAACATACAAGGCGCCTGGTACCGTGACCGGACGCGTCCTAGAAACTCACAAGATGCAATCATCAGTCTATAAAAGTCTACGCCGACTGCTCCATTTTCCAAAACTGTAGGTTCCTTCATGTGGATAGTTCTCTGGACCATGCTCTCCCACGTACCCAAGTCTCATCCTCTGGTGCTTCTTTCTGGCCGGATCCCATTTTCCTGCCCCATCAACACACTTACTTTTGTTCTCCGATCCTTTCTCTGTCGGGAATCCTACTCCGTTAAATTCCACTCTATATTGTTTTCTGAACTTTTTATAGTTTGTATGTTTCTCGTGTGTAACTTTAAAGAGAACAAACAGACTGCGGCTCTTTCAAAAATACTTTTTCTTTCTCACCACTCAGGGCCAAGGTTAACTATCGGAGGACAGATATGCAGACCAATGGAATGGAACGGACGGACCACAAATAAACACAAACATCTATGGCCATTTTTTTTTAAACAAGGCCATTCAATGGCGAAATAGTCTTTTCAACAAGAACCACTAGATATCTAGAACCACTAGATATCACAGGCTAAAGAACGAAGTAGACCCCTGCCTCAAAAATTAACTCCCAACGGGTCAAGCTAAGTATGAGCAAAAACTGTCAGACTCTCAGATGAAAACACAGAGGTCAATCTTAACGACTTTGGATTTGATGGTGTTTTCTTAGAGCAAAAGCAAGAGTAACAAAAGGAAAAAAAAAAAAAACAGATAAACTGGACTTCCTCGAAGTTAAAACCTTTAGTGCATCAAAGGACAATATCTGTCAACAAAGTGAAAAGACCAACTACAGAACAGTGGGAAATATTTGTAAATCATGTATCTGGTAAGACTAGTGTCCAGTATATATAAAGAACTCCTACAACTCAATAAAAAAGACAAACAGCCCAATGAAAAAATGGGCAAAGGATCTGAACATCTACCTGCGGCTCTTGATCTCAGGGTTGTGAGTTGGAGCCCCACGATGGGTGCAGAGATTACTTAAATAAATAAAAATTTTTTAAAAACACACAAAGAAGACATACAAATGGCCGATAAACACATGAAAAGATGCTCAACATCATTGGTCTTTAGGGGAATACAAAGCAAAACCACAAGGGGATACCACTTTAAAACCACCAGAATGGCTATAATAAAAAAATAAATGTCAGTAAGGATGTGAAGAAGTTGAAAATCTTATACACTCCTGGTTGGAATGTAAATGCTACAGCCACCCTGAAAAACAGTTCGGCAGTTTCTTAAAATATTAAATGCAGAATTACCATGTAATCAAGTAATTCCAATCATAGTATATGTCTAAGAAATGGAAGATACATCCACAATAAGAGCATAAGTCCGTTTAGAAACCTGTACATGAATGTGCAAAGTGCACTGTTCACAACACGACCCAAATGTTCATCAGTACATGAGTGGATAAGCAGTGGTACATACACATACTGGAATCTTATTCAGCCGTCAAAAGGAATGAGGTCCTGACCCCTGCCACCATGTTGATAAGCCTCAAAGGCATTAAGCTAAGTGAATGAAACTGAACACAAAAGGCTGAATATTGCATGATCCCCCGTATGGGAAGTGTCCGGCGCAGGCAAATCCAGAGCTAGAGAGCACACGAGGGGCTGCCAGGGAACTGGGCGGGAGGCAGGAATGGGGAGTGATGACTTAACAAGTACAGGGTGTGCTCCTGGAGTGACGACAAAGCGTTGGAACTAGACAGGGGGCATCTGTACAACACTGCTCGTGCACGTATTAAATACCACTGAACTGTTTGTCTTAAACTGGTTAACTGTATGTTACATGGGTTTCACCCCCACAGGAAAAAAAATTGACCATGTCTGCTCATCGAGACTCCCTAAGGCAAACTACAGGCTGCAAATGGAGAGACCTATATGAGACCAATACTAACAAATGGCTAGAATCCAGACTAAAAACCAGGATGCCTGCAGCTCAGAAAAGAAGCACACACACAAAACCAGTGAGGAACAAACAGAAGTGCGTTCAGGGCTTTTTCCCAGAACAGGAAATATTCTTACGTCATCCGAGATCCATCCAACACAGTGACACCAGGACACCACACCAGAGCCAATCAGCCGGCAAAAATCATCAATTCTGGTAATGAAAGTGTTGACACAGGATGGACCCACAGACCATCTTGTTTCACAGCTGCCGGGAAGGTAAGCCGGCATAACTGCGTTGGGGAAAATCCATCACTCCCACGCCATGCCTCCCAGCTACGCTCCACTGGGGCTACGACAGCGACGCACGTCTGCTGACATCCCACAGGAGACACGGACGAGAGCGCCTGCAGGAGCACGATCACAACGGCAAAAACCTCACAAATGAACTGGGATAAAGCTGCGCGGTAAGTATCTCTCAGCAGTCAGAACTGGGACACACGACACGGCTTACTGACGGCATCTCAGGTGACAAACTCCCCCCAAATTACACATTTTGATTCGTTTTTTATAAAGTTTTTTTTTTTTTTAAAGATTTTGTGTTTATTTATTTATTTGACAGAGAGAGATCACAAGTAGGCAGAGAGGCAGGCAGAGTGAAAGAGGGAGGCAGGCTCCCCGCCGAGCAGAGAGCCCACCGCAGGGCTCGATCCCAGGACCCTGAGATCATAACCTGAGCCAAAGGCAGAAGCTTAACTCACTGAGCCACGCAGGCGCCCCATTTTTTATAAAGTTAAAAAATATATATTGTGTGTGTTTTTGTCTTTGAATGGTAGCTCTACATGGATATACATATAAGATAAGACCATATACAAAGGAAACTAAGAGGACGACGAAACGAGATTCAGGACAGTGGCTCCCTTGGGTGGGAGGTGGCAGGCGGGATATGACGGAAAAGGACCACATGAGTGGACATTGGTTATGACGCATCTAGTGTTCTTGCTAGGCGGGGGGATCACAGATGCTGACCACTATAGACAGACAGACAGAGAGGCAGAGCAATGGATAAGCAAACAAGGGCCAGATCCATGCATGGACCAAGGATGAGAGTTACGCGTCATGACCACAACTAGTCCAATTCTAGGTACCTGAGACCCCAAGGAAAACGCAGCAATTTTAAGAGCTTAGCAAAAGAAATAAATTACAGATTGAGAATTTTAAAATACACTGAATTACACTTAGTGAAGTAAATAGTACCTTACTATTATTTTTTTAAGATTTTGTTTCTTTGAGAGAGGGAGAGAGAGAGGGAGAAGCAGACTCCCTGCTGAGCAGGGAGCCCAACACGGGGCTCAATCCCAGGACCCTGAGATCATGACCTGAGCAGAAGGCAGAGGCTTTAACCCACTGAGCCACCCAGGCCCCCAGGAAATAGTACTTTAAGCAGAATACACCAAGTTTTACTCCTTTGCAGACAGCCCAAGGAAATGTAACTGTATCTTTGCGATCTTAAACAGGATATTAAAATGCAGAAGTCTCAGCTAGCTCACCTCTTCTTGAATATACTGCAGTAAGAAGGGAGAAGCTCTTAAATTATCAACAGGAATATTGAAGAAGCCCTGAATTTCCTTCTGGTGTAAATCCATAGTAATGAGATGAGTGAGACCTTTGGAAACAAAGTAGACACAAACACATGAACAGCTCAATAACCAGCCGCAGTGTATAAACTAAACAAATATGATACAATATATAACAGCTACTAAAAAATTGCTCTGGCATCAAGAAGACTCAGTCTCTTTATTTCTCTGATTTCTGAGTTCGAGGAGACTGTGAGAGAACAGAAAATTTGTAGAGTGGTCTCTGCCCCCTGGTTCCTGACACAGGGCTCCTGGAACCCATGTAAATTCCTAAGGGCTAAGAGTGCTCAAAAGCTTCCATTAGAATCTTTTGTTCTGATGAGGTGACTGTCGGTGGCCTCTTGGATGGGGAGGCCAAGGAAGACCAAGCTATGATTAGAAGCTTAGAATTCTCAGCCCCCACCTCCCATTCTCCAGAGGTGGGGGCAGAGGGGCTAGGAATGGGGTCAATAATTGAGAAAGCAGAGGCTTCGGGGAGCGGCCAGGTGGGAGAGGAACAGGTGGGGATGCTGGGAGACTGGTGCCTGTTGAGAGGTCATGGGCTCCGCAGCCCTCCCCACATCCTGTTACCTTCTTATCTCTTCCATCTGGACGTCGCCTGTACTCTTTATCACATGCTTTTACGATAAAGAGGCCAACAGTAAGTGAACGGTTCTCCTGAGTTCTGTGAGCTGCTCTGGCAAATGAATCAAATGCGAGGAGTGGGTCCTGGGGACCTCTGATTTGCAGCACATTAGACACACAGGCAACAACTTGGCCTTGCAGTTGGCATGGGGGAAGGGGGGGGGTCAGTCTTGTGGGACTGAGCCCTTAATCTGTGGGATCTGACACCATCTCCAGGACTGAGCCCTTAATTTGTGGAATCTGACGCTGTCTCTGGAATTTAAACTTTAAGAAAGCTAGCTGGTATTCTCATGGAGAATTGCTAACTGTAGGGCAAAACCTCTCCACACTTGGTGACCGAAGTCAGAAGTAACATCTTCTGTGTGTGAGTAGAAGAGACACATGGGGGGTGAATGGGCTTTTTCCTACTCAGAAGGGAAAGACTGGTGGTTTTCTTACACTGAGATACATGATTTTCACAACAATTTAGAGTCTTAAAATAGCAAAGATAATAGTAACGAAAAAATGTCTCTGATAATCTATTAGAGCAAATTACACCTCCTTGAGGTTTCCTTAGTAGGCACAGCAAAGCCATATTAAGACAAATACTGATCTTAAGATAGGAAAACAAACCGCACAGGCCCACCTCTGGAGAAAAGGAAGACCCTTCACCCCCACCGGCTCCTTAAAGGATATGATCACCAGATCATAAAGGATATGATCACCAGAAAAGTTAAGGAAAATCTAATTGGAAAAGTTTCAAAAAAGCAAAACTTGCCCAAAAGAGCAGGGAAGTCAACCTCGTGGCCCAGCCAGGATCAAGGCCTGAAGAGCAAAGCAGAATCTTTCTGGAAGGTTCGGTGAGCTAGCCTGCTCCCTTCAGCCAGCTTTTAAAACTCTGAAGACTGACTTTTTCAACAGCTTATACTGTTGAGGTGGCTGGGGCTCGGTTTCCATCAAATTTGGGTGTATGGCTTTTCTTTCTTATTTCTCTTTCTTTTTTTTTTTTTTTTTTTTTTTGCTTTTTTTGGAATGCTACAGTAGAACTTTTATTCCGCAGTGTTCAAATGCAATGCTATGGGGGCTGTCTTGTCCCTTCCTCTCTGTGCCAGTGCTTTGGGATATATGTGGCCTCTAGACACACACACACACACACACACACACACACACGGTAACAAGTTCGAAGCTTATTTAGAAACAAGGGGGAGATACTCAGGATGTGACCTGAAAATGCATAACACGCATACAGTTTGCAAAATAAGCCAATCCGTCCTGGGAAGAGACTGAAAGTTGTTGCCGTGTTACCGTGGTTCCAAAAGTTAGAGTTTGGTTCCCAAAACGCCCTTTTCCCCTTCAAAAATGACTTCCATGCAATTTTAACTCATCATTTCAATGTAATTTTTTAAACAAAGAACTTAGGGAAAAATGAGTCATTCTCCTCAACTTTGTGTTTCAGGGGAATGGGAACAGGAGAGAATTCTCTATACAGTTATAAATTAACTGTCTTTAGAAACGGTCATTTTTCTATTAAGTATTCTAATTTAGTTAAGACAAGCGGTTACAATGTCTAAGGTAATCAACCGCCCAGGCCCCCAGTAAATGTCAAGCATCTGCTGTTCTCACCAGCTTTGCACATCATCGAAGCCAGCAGTTTAGAAACGATGGAGCCTCTCTTTCTCATCTTGCACTGTTTGCTGTAAGGGAAGTAGGGAATCACGCCTATGATGCTTTTGGCACAAGAGGTCTTACAGGCGTACACCATGATCAGGAGCTCCATGATGGTGGTGTTCACATCCCTGCATTCCAAGAAAGAAAACCCCAGTGAGGAACGTAAGACATGGGATTAGTATCTCCCTGTTCCCACTAAGTGGCAGCAACGTGCTACTCGTGCCTCTACCGGGACCCAAGGCTCGAGACACAGAAAACGGACCAGCAAGTTCCCAGAATCCCTCGCGCCAATGACTCTACTTCCTTTTTCCCTGAAAGAAGAACCCAGTCAGAAGGCAGAGGTTCCAAGGGCTCCCACCACCATGTGCAGCCGCACCCTAAAAGTCGGCCTGCCCTCCGCCATCACAGACAAACTTTCCACACCAAACTTACTCTGCAGTTAGCCCTCCTGATGACGCCCTAACCACCCCCTGCCCCCCAACTCCCCCCCACAGCCTACTGGAAGATGGGACTCCAGCCATTCTCCCCGACTGCATCCTCCATCAGCTCAGAACACTTCCCTGGCTTGTACCCATCGGCCTAGAAACACTGTTGTTCCCTTAGAAACGACTGGAGGCCACTTTTCCCACGACCCTACTCTTTGCTCCCCTGTGTATACATCTCAGGACCGTTGTCTACACTCACTGTCTCGCTCTCACCCAAACTCGGGCCAATCCAGGTCATCCATGACCTCTATGTGCCCAGATCCAAGGACAATTCTCCTCCTCCTCTCACCTGAGCTGTGGGCAGCAGCTCTCACGGCTGTTCACTCTGCCTGACCCACTCGGCTTCTAGAACTGCTCTCTTGTTCTGCGCTACTTGGCTTTGTTCGCTAGTTCCCCTCCTCCCCACCTTCCTGCCCAACAATCATTCGTGTGCGCCCCCTTGGGCCTCCCCTCTTCCCTGGGCTTCTCGTCTAGTTTCACAGCATTCCAGAAGCTGGAGACTCCGGCTCACAGCCCCAGGCCAGGATTCTCTTCTCAACCCCAGTCCAGCAAATCCAACCGCTATGTGACGACAGAGCTACTCCAGTGTCTTTAAAAACACCTCAACACTTAACACCCCCAAATGAACTGCTCTTTGCCCCCAAAGCCTGCTTTATCACAAAACCTTTTCCATCGTGGTTGATGGCGACACTACTCCTCTAGCTTACTCAGGACAAAAACAAGGCGCCCTTCACTGTTCTCCCCTCCCGAAGGTTAGAGCATCTCACCGCTGCACAGCTGCAGGGCTGTGCTGGGGCCGGGCCACGCTCCCCGTCAAGCAAGTGACCGGGACGGCCTGCCACCAGAGGCCTCCCTGCTCCCCAGCAGTCCCTCTGTGGCCCATGGCATCCCGGTCATCTTCAAGGGCAAGTCACATCAGGCATTCTTTTTTTTTTTTTTTTAGATTTTTTATTTATTTATTTGACAGAGAGAGATCACAAGCAGGCAGAGAGGCAGGCAGAGAAAGAGGAGGAAGCAGCCTCCCTGCTGAGCAGAGAGCCCGATGCAGGGCTCGATCCCAGGACCCCGAGATCATGACCTGAGCCAAAGGCAGCAGCCTAACCCACTGAAGCCACCCAGGCGCCCCCACATCAGGCATTCTATGCTCAAGACCCAGAAATGCTTTCCCATATAGCCCATGGTTCCACCATGGCTCCCAAGGCCTCTTCCTGATCTGCCTGCCATCCCACCTCTCCGCTCTCCGCTCGTTCACCCTCTGCTAACACCTCAGTCCAGCCACACTCGACGCCTTGTCAGTCCTCCCTCCTGCCCGAGGTCCTGTACCATAGGTGCTCTCCAGGACTGGAAAGCTCTCCTCCCCCTGCCCCCACTGGCCACCTGGCTTACATCCCTACAGGCTTCCAGTATGGGGCAAATGTCACCTGCTCACGGAGGCCTGCCCCGCCTGCCCCCTCTCCACTCCCCACCATCACTCCTAATCCCCTGCCGTGCCGTTAAGGTGTTTTGTTTTGTTTTCTTTGAAGGTCGTTTTTTTTTTCCCATGCCACCCATCATCTTCTCACCAACTAGACAATCTACTTATTGGGTTAGCTGCATGTCTCAGATAATAGACTCCATGAGGACAGGGTCTTTATCTGTTTTAATCATTCGTGCGTCTTGCACACCTGGAATGGTGTCTGGCACACAGCAGACATTCAATCAATATTTGTTAATGAATGAATGAGTGAAGGGAGACACAGAACACGTGGGTGAGTGGATTCTCTGTTAATATCTGCCCCGATGTCTGAAGGCTTTCAGGATAGCACTATGTGTGAAAGAGGAGGAGAAGAGGACCCAAGAGTGGGCGCAGAGTTACAACAAGGGTCCTAAGCCATGCTTGCTGGGGCACCGTTTTTAGGGAAGCTGCTGAAAGGCTAACCTCAAATCATGACCTTGTCTGAATGACCAGAAAAGGAAAGCTAAGGGACAGCATTTTCTTCATTTAAAACGTTTCTAATACTTTTAGCGTCCACCATTAGTCTGACCTAAAACGAGAGATAAGATGTTTCTGACGACATCAAATCTCAGTGTTAAGTATTTCACAAAGACCCTGATGGCCAGGCTCTCTACAACCTGGCAAGACTAAGAATCCCCGAGCTCGTCCAAGGTCATGGTTTAGAACAATGCAAAAACAAGACATGCAGACGGTTTTAGCTATGGGAATAAGAGACCAACAAGAGGTAGGGGCAGAACGATAAGTGTTGAAATAAACCAAAAAGAAAGAAAAGGAGAGGGATGGAAGGGCCTGGAAACAGGAAAGAGTACACGAGCCACGCTGCTGAAGCCCCGAATCCCAAGTTCAATTTGACCTTCAAGGCCCACCTATCCCCATGTGTAACACAAGCGACTTCTGTACATTTATCCAAATGGACTCACAAGTGTCTGTAAGGAGGTAAAAGTACCGCAGACAGCCAGAAGCCAGAAGCGACATAAGACGTAAGTCCTAAGTCATTCTGCGCTCTGCGCTTTCCCCACCCACTGCTGGAGGGTGAAGGGCAGGTGTGGGCACAGGGGAGCTCCCCACCAGCACCCCCGCCCATCAGCTGGCGGGCGACGGAAGATGGCAGTGCCTCCTAGCCCCGGTCTGCCGAGGCTGCTTAATGGCACAGGGGAAATGAAACAAGGGAACCCTGGCAAAGGCCAGCCACCCTGTCCCTTCTTATGATCACACACGCTCCCAGGAGGGCTTGAGATGCCACGACAGGTCACCCTCAACTCCTCTTTCCCAGAAGAGTCAGAGATTTCATCCCCACGAACCAAAGACCAGGACAGACGTTCAAAATGTAGGTGAATCAAAGCTAAAAAACGATGCCCCATACAAAGTGATTTCCAGACATTACTGAAAACCACCCTGAGTGAAGAACTTTCACATATGGGGACATGCGGGGGACATCTGCGGACAGAGCGGTCTTTGATCAAAAAATGCAGACAACCTCACCGCACTGATTCCTCCACACCCAGCTAATACAGTTGTGACAATTTCCAGAACACACATTTGTCAAACGTCACGCCAGCCAGGAATACATATTTCTTCAATGCATTCTTTTATCTTCTCTACTCATTTATCTATACAACAAAATAAGAACTAGTGATCATTTTTTAAATTGCCTGCAGTCGAAGCTTTAAGAACCCCAAATAAGTAAACACCTCTCCTTCTGCCTTTTTGGGGGAACTAGAAGAGCTTTCCTGTGAGTTTTACCAAATTCTGGCTATGGAGAGGCAATGTAATAGGTTCTATTTTCTTTTTTTTTTTTAAGATTTTTTTATTTATTTGACAGATCACAAGTAGGCAGAGAGGCAGGCAGAGAGAGAGAGGAGGAGGAGGCAGGCTCTCTGCTGAGCAGAGAGCCCGATGTGAGGCTCGATCCCAGGACCCTGGGATCATGACCTGAGCCGAAGCCAGAGGCTTTAACCACTGAGCCACCCAGGCGCCCCAGTAATAGGTTCTATTTTCATTAAGAACATCTACTCCAAGACTTGGTTACTTCCATCTTTCAAGAACACGAAAGAACACGTGGAAGTCAACAGTTATGTCAGAAAAATTAGCAGAGTAAGGCATACCAGTTTTCAAATGATCTTAAACACTCATACCCACAAAGAAAAACCTAGAGATCGACATCATGTATGTTGGATAAGGACTCACTTTGAGACAGTCTGGATGATGAAAACATCCTTGCCCCTCACGGATTCTTGAATCTGTACTCTTGTTTCTGGCAGGAAAAGGAAAAAAGGGGGAGAGGGGTGGAAAAGACATATAATTTACCTTTTTTAAAAAAATCTGCTTCATCCCCAATATTATAAAATATATTATAAAATATAGAAACGAACTCCTAAAGAAACTCATAAGGTCTTAGGTGCTGTAAAGGATGATGAAAACACTGGCATTAATCACACTTTTTACTTTTTTTAGAGTGGGGAGTGAGGGAGAAGAGGAACAGAGGGACAGGGAAAGAGAGGACAAGCAGGCTCCACGCCCAGCACAGAGCCCGACATGAGGCTTGATCTCATGACCCTGAGATCATGACCTGAGCTGAAATCAAGAGTCAGAGGCTTAACCAACTGAGCCACCCAAGTGCCCCCAATCACACTTTTTAAACAAGTTGGGTTACATAACGTGCTTCAAAAAGAATTCCATTTCTGACTTGGAACAAGTAAATCTATCCTTCTTACTTCTCTGAGGACAGTATCTCTAAGGGAAATTACTCATTCATAAAACCGTCACAATTAAGAACTTATTAGATGAGATGCGGGGGTGGCTCACTTGGTTAAGCATCTGCCTTCGGCTCAGGTCATATTCCCAGGGTCTTGGGATCAAGCGCCATGTCAGACTCCCTGCTCAGGGAGCCTGCTTATCCCTCTCCCTCTGCTTGTATGTTCATGTTTTCTCTCTCTCACAAATAAAAAATAAAATCATTGCCAAAAAAACTTTACTAGGTAATAAATGTTATAATAATGTTCTGAGACTACAGATGAATTAAGGTCCAACATCCCTACTCTCAAAAAACATGTAATCAGCCACAATTAGACAAATGCAGAATGCGACATTCTTCAAAGTCAATGTCATGCGAAGAAAAGAGCTGTTGTAGATTAGGGGAAACTACAGGCATAAAAAAGTATTGCTTGAGCCAAGAATCCTAGTTGGGGAAAAAAAAAAAAAGGCTCTCCAGGACAACTAGGGAAATTTGAATATAGACTGGATATTAGATAATTAGAGAATAATCATTAATTCCTTTAAGTGTGACAACAATAGTGTATTCATGCAGGAGAAAGTGCTTATTCTCCAGAAGCATGGTCAAGCATTCAGGGCTTAAGTGACATGATGCTTGCAACTTACTTTCAAAACGTTCCACCCATACATATCCATCTTGCAAAATGTTACCTGTTGAACCCAAGTAGCAAACATACATACCTATACTCACTGCACTACTCTCTCAACCTTTTTATAAGTCTGAACATTTTCATTAAAAAGCAGGGGCACCTGGGTGGCTCAGTGGGTTAAGCCTCTGCCTTTGGCTCAGGTCATGATCTCAGGGTCCTGGGATCAAGCCCCGCCTAGGGCTCTCTGTTCAGCAGGGAGCCTGCTTCCCCCACTCTCTCTGCCTGCCTCTCTGCCTGCTTGTGATCTCTGTCAAATAAATAAATAAAATCGTTAAAAAAATAAAAAATAAAAATGTGGGAAAAAACAGAATATGTGTTTATAAAGGAATATGGTACCAAGGAAAGAAAATGAGCCTTAGATTGAGGGAGTTCTGGGTTTGAATCCTGACTCTGCTAGTCTGGGGACCCGTATCTAATATCACCCCTGAACACAGTTCTTTAAGATTCGGTAACAGTGAGGAATCCACAAATGGCAATTCCTGCCCTTTCCCAGTGGACATCAAATATTTTCTCTGTCCTCATTCATGAACCCGGAGGGTGGATCAACCTTCTGCTGGGCCTTCCACCACCAGCCCTCCCTCACCCTCCCTTCCAGACTACAAGAAGGACATCATGCAGTCCCCCTTAGCTGCAGATTAAATCATTTGCAGTTTACAAAGCTCCAAGCCCTCCATGGGACCTGCTTGAAATTCTCTCTCCCTCTCCCTCTTCCCTTCCCACTTGTGCGCTCTCTCCTCGCTCTCCTAAATAAATAAATCTTTAAAAAAAAAAGGAATAACAACCAATTAATACTGTGGCCACACGAGGTTTTCTCATCCCGCCTAAGGGACATAAACTCAGACAACTGCTGAATTTCCGTTCGGTGGACCAGTTGCACGCATCTCTGTGGTTTTTACTGGATGAGGTCTGAGACCTGGAGTTCAAGGCCCCACAAGCTGTATATCCAGCTGGTATCAGTAGGAGCTAAAGCACCACTCTCACCACCTTGCCCGCCAGACTTCTTGCAGAACTAACCGGCCACTGGGTCCAACTGTTTCAAGAGTGGAGGATACAGGCCTGAGCCAGCATGTCACATGCCACGAAAGGATCAACGTAACGCACATCCCAGATAGCTCACCTCTGTTAGGCTCCTGGTAAACCTGCACTTTGCCCATCTCCACCCCCAGTCGCCTGAAGAAGAGAAAGGGGGGAAAAGTTGAAAACGTAACAGAGACAGAATCTATCCATCCAACATCTTTACAACTTGAGGATGCTTCACAAATTCATAAAAAGATAAACCAAAATAAAACAGAGGCACTCTTATTATAAAATTAAAAGTGGATATGCTATTGTTCTGTCATTGCCACTATGTCACACCTAACCCCCTACCTCCCCCCACACCGACCCCAAAAAGGCCTCCAGAGTTCTGCTCAGCCTGCCTCACCAACCATTTCCTTGTGCTCTCTGCCCTCTAGCCGTGCTCCTGGGCCATACCAACACCTCCTGCTGCACACCTCAGGGCCTTTGCACCTTCTGTCCCCTCTGCCTAGAGGGTTTCTCAATTCACATATCATCCCCTCGGTTTAAAAGTTTCACCAGAGCCCCCAAGCTAAAGCAGAACAACCTGCCCAAATCATTTCTTTCACACTGTTTTCTTCACGCTTCTGATCACCACCTGAAATTTTGTTTTGTTGACTTCCTTCTTGTCTGGCTCCCCAACTAAATATAAGAAGGAAGGATCTTGACTGGTTTGTTCACCATTAATCCTCAATATCTAGATCAAGGCCCAGTACCCAGGAGGGTGTTCAATCTTCATTTATTCTTCTCTATTTTTTTTTTTAATTTAAAATTTTGTTAGCTAACATACAGTGCAATATTCGTTCCTGGCGAATCTTTATTTAATAAATAACTAAGACCATACTGAACTGTAATCTAGATAAACTATTTTCATCCAGAATATGCTGCACTGTTCCTTAGAGTCAAGTAATTCTATAGACATGTGGCACCTAACACACTCCCAGGCACTCACAGAGACTCAATAAATGTGTTTTTAACGAACACACAGGGAGTCACAACGGTTTACAAAAATGTTAGCCCTTAATATATAATCTGCTCTTAAGTTTAACAACCAGAGCTCTTCCAATCACCAGGGTCAAAACAGCACAGAATGGCTGTGGATCTTAATGGTACGATTATAACTCACTCGGCAATCTTCTTTGAGAGCTCCATACACGAGGAATTAGAATTTGCTGAAAACAACACCAGACCTCCTTTGGTTATGTTCATCTTGGTTTCCAATTCAGGTGGCGCCACACAAAACATCAAAACCTTCTTGGTTTTCCAATTCTCAGAGCCTAGGAGGATTAAGAGAATATGAATAATGGCCAGAAAATAGTAAAATGCACCTGAATGAACTTCTTTCCTTAAATAGCAAATGAGTTAAGCTGAAGGAGATTAGTGTTCACTGATGGAGTCTCTTACATTACATCTATGCATGAACAAATAAGAAGTTTGTGTGGATCTTTAGGGCTCCGAATTTATAGAAATATGTTACTATATGATTTCGCTAGTTTTCATGACCACTGGGAATAAATGACAAACTTACAAGAAAGGCGGAGCTGAAGTGCTCAGAGTTTTACTGTTTTGCTGCTTAAAGTCAATTATGGACAACCTCCTGTTATTCTCTGACAACAATATTCCTCCTGGATTAACACACAGAAAAATGGCAGAGCCATTAGCAAGGACATGGACTGAGCGACCCTTAAATGATGAATAAATAACACACCTATGCCCAGCTTCTCCTATAATAACTGTTTACCCCAAAGCCCTCCCTCTGGGCTGCCAGGGGCCTCTCTGATGCCCTGAGCCATGTCTAAGGTGACCCTGCCACCTGCACTTTCCTGAACTGGAACCTAAAGCCAGCCAAAAATAACCCTGAGGGCAAGGGAACAGACCACCCAGCTGACAGGGCATGGACAGAAAAGCCCCCAGCCTCAAAGTCATCAGAGCTGGGACAGTCATCCCACGGGCCATTCACATGCCCTTTCACCTTCCACTCTCTGGGCTGTGTCCTTATCACGCAAGGAAGGTGCCAGACTTAGGTGTCCCAGCAACATCTCATAGGCCACAGGGCATGGGGGCATGTTCCCAGCAAGCCCACTGTGCTTGCTCGGTCTGTAGCTTTCCGTGGGATGGTCCCGGGAAGGCTGGTGAAGATTGAGAAAGGGATGAGGCCGAGTGGCTCTTTTATGCTGTTCTTCCATTTTAATTACATGAGTAATACACAAACATATTCTCCTTGGAAAAAAATGAAACCAGGACCAAAGTTTAGGCTAAAGTCACCAGTCCCCCCATTCCAGGCCCCTTCCCACCCACCATCCCGGAATGGACAATTCTTACTACTTTGATACAGACACCATCAGACCTTCACGCATTCACACATGGCCCACCCTCCATAAAAAATTGGACAAAAATACATTTCAAACGATGTATTTTGACAGCCCAGGGTTACAAAATATATGCCCATCGGGTCCTTTTTAACTGCTACTAATACTCCATGATACTGGAGATGCCGCCTTTAAGTGGGTCACTATCCTAAACAGGCCTCCGAGTGCATGTGGGTGTCTCTCAGCGGTAACTTCGAGAAGAGAACCACTGGGGCCTGGGGCTGGTGCAATTTACAGGTATGGACACACAAGCAGGCCAGGAAAGCACATTTCCCCACAGAGTGCTTCTTCCTGGGCATGCTGCCGTGGGAAACGGGGAGCAGGCCAGTGAAATTTACCTACATCCTGTGAATTAAAAACTAAAACACAGGCACAGATGGCCAAAGCCCTAAGGAGACCAAGGAGAGCTAGTTAGTGATGCCTTCCACGGAAGGTGTGGCTCAGGAGCAGGCATCAGCCGACTACAGCCCACGGGCCAAACCAAGTCCTCCAAATGCTATTTCTGTACGTAAAACTGTATTGGAACATGGCCACGCTCACTGCCTACCAACTGTCCATGGATTCAATGATGGAGTTGAGTGCCGGCCATCAAGCTGAAAACGCTGCTTATCTGGTGCTTTACAGAAAGTCAGCTGACCCCTGCTTTATGGTGTAGTGTAGGACAGAGTGGCTGGTCTACAGGAAAGAAAGAACATCTTCAATATTCCAAGTTGGAAGAGATCTTAAGTATCTTCCAACACTGTCTCTCAACCACTGTATGTCTGTGTTTAGGAACACAAGGTACTGGCAGAGAAAACTTGTTTTCCTGTAGTTATAAATACAGGCTTTGGAGTCAAGCTCTTGTTTGCATCTTGGCTCCTATTTGGCTCCCTGGGAGGCCTTGCATAAATTAATCTCTCTTTGCCTCAGTTCCCTCCTCCCTATGATACACAAATACAGCCCTTACAGGATCACTGTAAAATTAACTCTGTATGGCACTTAACAAAGTGTCCCACATTGAGGATCTGCTTGGTAAATGGAAGCTACGTAGGAATCAACTGTTAATATTTTTATTTTCTCCTGAATGAGTACAGTAATACACATGCGGTGGCCATCTTTTTTCATCCCCCAAACGTTAAATAAGAAGCTTCTTAAAGTCCACAGCATTCCTGAGAGGGCTTGGAACACTCAGAACGAAAGCATCTGAGGGTAGAAAGAGCTCTTATAGGTTAATGGGCCATCTACAGGACTCCCACTAAGAAACCACTCCAGCCCCTTGAAGAGCTCCAGAGACTGTGTCCACATCCTCAGGGCCCATCCATTCCAAACTCTTCCTTAGAACATGCTCACTTCCTCTCCCTGCGGTCACCACCCACTGGTCCTTGTCCTTCCCTTGGTAATTTACAAGAAACATCAAATTCCTTTGCCGCAGGGCAGTGCTCGACCTGTCTCTAGAAGGCTCTCTTAGCTCTGTATTCTCTTCTCCAGGTTACTTCCTGGAGCCTGTCCTTACTGGTCACAGTTTAAATGCCCTTCACCACTGACCGTGGCCTCTTAAGTCCCCGTCTTCAGATACCGGGTTTCTAGAACAGAAACCCAACCTGAGACCGCCATCAGAAATGGCACTGGTAGGGGAGTCCGTTTGGATATGGTTATTGGTACAGTCATGTTCTGTGACCATGACTCCACATTCCACAAGATGTTCAAACCTAAGGGCTGTTGGTAGTTTTGGTTCTGCTTTTCCCTACTGGAAATGCAAGCTGTGCTCTTTACCAAGCTTCCAGAAAAGTGAGTTTTAGAAGATTATCCTCGGAAACATCATCACCAGGACGGGGCTGGCAGGTGGCTGATCAGCACAAAGCTTTATAAACTACAGTTGCTTTTACATTTATCCTAAATGTACTCTAGGATGTGTGAGAATTATTTATAACACGTATGAAAACATACCCTTTAAAGAGAATTTCGACACCTTTCAAAAAGCAAATCCTGCTCATCTTTGAATGAGACTTGACAACCTGTTAGGTCTCATGAATGAATTCACAGGGAAAGACCACTCGCTTTGCATGTTGCCAGCCATCATTTCAAAACCACTTCTCCAGATCTCGGATGAGGAAGGCTCGCATTAGACTGTGACATTTTCCCTCCAGCTTTTCCTCCAAAGTGCCCACTGTACAAAAACCTCCTATCTAAAGATGCTGGAGGAGGAGGGTGGTCTTGGGTCTGTTTTCCACAGTCACTAGCTACCAGTGCTTGGGGAAGTCCCTTGGCCTTGCCAGGCCTGTGCCTCTCCCTTTCTGACAACAGAGACAGATGCTCGGTAAAACCAGCTTAAAAATAAGGTCCAGGGGGTGCCTGGGTGGCTCCGTGGGTTAAAGCCTCTGCCTTTGGCTCAGGTCATGATCCCAGGGTCCTGGGATCGAGCCCCACATCAGGCTCTCTGCTTAGCGGGGAGCCTGCTTCCCCCTCTCTCTCTGCCTGCCTCTGCCTACTTGTGATCTCTCTCTGTCAAATAAATAAATAAAATCTTTTAAAAATAGGGGCGCCTGGGTGGCTCAGTGGGTTAAGCCGCTGCCTTCGGCTCAGGTCATGATCTCGGAGTCCTGGGATCGAGCCCCGTATCGGGCTCTCTGCTCAGCAGGGAGCCTGCTTCCTCCTCTCTCTCTGCCTGCCTCTCTGCCTGCTTGTGATCTCTCTATCAAATAAATAAATAAAATCTTTAAAAAAAAAAAAAAAAAAAAAAAATCTTTTAAAAATAAATAAATAAATAACGTCCAGACAGCAGAGATTTTTTTTCTCTGAGATTTTTTTCCTCGCCATTATGTTCTCTACTGTACGCCAGAGCCTAGGACCCGGCACATCAAAGAGGCTCCATGATACTTGTCAATCAACAAACATGTGTTGAGTAAAGTCTGACCTGGTCCAGTTGCAAGGATTAACAAATAGAACTAGAAGGCATCGTAAAGTTCAAAGAATGATTATTTTTATTAGCGATGTCCCTCACTCAAAAAAAAAAAAAATTCTTTTTATACCAGTGCTGAAGAGAATTAGTAGGGCAAAACCTAAGCTGAATTAATCCTCTATGCCTCTGTGATCCCAGGCACTTGGCCCATCTCTCCATCAGCACGTTTTCTTACGGCCAACATCACTTTCTGAGTGCTCTGAATTCCCAGGACAACTCAATAAAGCAGGCACCAGACGAGAACCCATTTTACACATGGGGAAATGAGGCTTTGAGATGAAGAAATGTGCTCAGGTCTACATGGCCTCTAAGCAGCAGACATGAGCTCAGTTTCAGTCTGACTTGGAGCACAGACAGTTGTGTGCACAGCTCATTTCTCAACAGCACAGAAAATGACTGGACTCCCCCGGCCGAAATCGGCATTACAGTGAGCAGGATCGGACAAACATCCAGATTTTGAAAATGTCTACAATAAACATGTCTTGTTTGGGAAACAAGTTACATCGAGTGTTAAAGAAAGACCACAACACAGAACTTTGATTCAGTATTTCCCCTTTTGGGAATTTATACCAAGGGGAAGAAAGGGCCATATATGTTCCATGATAGTCACTGCAAGACTTTTTTAAGAGCAAAAATGGACATGCAGAAAGGATCCGTAATGGGGTAATTAAGTAAAATTCTGAATATATACTCAACATAATAAAAAAGTCTCCAGGACTGTGCAGAAGTCCTTATGGTAAGTGAGTAGGAGAATTTCATCTCCTCTTATCAAAACTGGGTGATAATGGTATAGACCGGGTCGGGATAGGAATACGGACAGGAAGAAGGGTATGATTTAGTGGAGTTCAATAATGTGGCTGAATTATTTTTATTTGTGCATTTAAATCTCTCAAACATTAAAAATCACACTTCCTCATGCCCCAAATCCCCATTCCTCATTTCCTTATTCTTTGTAAAAGCTAAGCAACCCAAACTGCGCCAGTATCAAGATAAAGGGTGAAAAAAAAATCCTTATCATCAATGTAATATACAGGGGGAAAACATTTTACAGTAAAATAATATCTAAAAATTACATCAAGATCCTCCCTCCTGGGTGAGTTCTGGGGGGGCGGGGGGGAGAAAAACCGGCTATAGGGAACAGAAATGTCTGCGACAAGCAAGGCCAATCAACTTAAAATCAAGGGCCGTCTCAAATTAGGGACCGGAGATGGTTGGGTTGGAGGCTTGTTTCCGAGCGGCCCGGCCGCAGGTCCCATAATTAGGGCTCGACTCCCAACGGCGCCGAGCCCGAGCCCCGCGGGCCCCGGACGGGATAGGAGGGAGGGAGGAAAGGGGCGGCGGAGGGCGCGAGGCCGGGGTCGTCCCGCTGTACCCCCCCAGCCGCCGCCCCAGGACCGCGCGACCCGTCCGCCAGCCGGCGCCGCGGGGCTCCCCGCCCCTTGCACCTGCGCCCCGCACTGCCGGAGCCCGCCGGTCCGCGCCGCCACTCGTCGCTGGCTCCCGCCCGCCTACCTGGCCCCGACCCCAGCCCCGGCCCCGCCGCAGCCTCGGCTGCCGAAGGAAGAAAGCGCCGGCTCTCCAGGCGGCTTCTCTAGGACCAAAATGGCGACTCCATGCGCAAGAACGGCGTCCACGGCGACTGCGAGGCCTGTGGGCGGGGCAGAGGGCGGGGCCGGGAGCCGGGATTGCGGCGGCACCTGGCTTGGGGCCGTGGGCGTGGCCCACTGAGAGGAGGAGCGCGTCCGAAGAGTCTAGCTGGAGGGGTGGGACCAGGCTGGCATGAGGGGCGGGGAGATAGGCGGGACTGAGCCCTATTGGGCCCCTTGGACGCGCTAGCCCAGGTGGCTGTGAATGCGAGGGTGTGGAATTACAGATGTCTGGGTTCCAGTCTTTCCTGCCCTGTAACCTTGGGCAAAGTCACTTTGCCCCTCCGAGCCTCGACTTCCTCATCTGAGAAATGGAAATGATAGTAGCATCCATCTCATGGATTGTGAGATTGTGATTTAATCCTCACCGTGAGGATTAAATGAGATAGCGCCTGGAGAGCTTTTCAGCTCAGCTCCTAGCAAATAGTAAATGCTCCATTGTTACTGTAATTATTTCCTTTCTTCTTTTATTATAAAGGAATTGGTGTTTTTGGTATCCATTGACCGAATTCCTTATAATTTAAGTATGTTTACCCTTTATTTTATATATATAACCTAATAATAGCGACCACATATGTAGCATTTACCACGTGTCAGACCAAGTCCTCTCAAGCGCTTACCATATATTGACGGTAATTTATTTGATCCTCACAAGAGAATGAAGTGGGCATTTTAACAGCTGTGGGAAATGAAACACCGACGCTGAATGATTCGACAAATGACTAAGTGGACAAGAATTGCAATCCAGGAGGCCTGGCACTAGATTGCACTAAGCTAACCGGTATACCTCACTGCCTCTCCAACATCGCTTTGGGTTTTTCACAAGCATAACGCATGAAATCATTCATCGAAGGTTGGGCAGCTAGATGGAAGTGGCCAATCTCTTATTTTACAATTGGGGAATGCGAGCATCCCAATTTATGAGTTATAAATTGGGTGATACTTCATGAAATGGAGTCCTTTAAGATGTCTCCTTTGCTTGACGACTGTACGGGGATAAATACTTCCGCAAAGAGGCCCATGAGCCCACTGATACATTCGCGGGACAATTCTGAATCCTTTCCAAATGGACGTTTGCTGGGTTTTCTTCACTTCTTCTGCACTGTGATCTAACCCTCGCCCAACCCCACCTGCCTGCCTCCAGCGCCCCCCACCCCACCCCGGACGGTGGGCCTTCACGCCACCTGTTGCTCTATGAACGGATCTGACCAATCAGGACAGCTCATCTCTGCTCACTGATTCGTTCAAAGGATAGGCCGCCGAGCCTCTAGGGGACTGCGGCTAGAGGCTTCCTCTCTTGCTATAAGTCTGGATACCTGGAGGGAACCGCCTGAGGAAATGCTGATAGAGGAAGAAAGGGGGAGGAATATAGTCGGGCCCCATTCAGTTTAGGCTGAATCTTAAGTCAGTTGTTCCCTGGACTTTTCAATTATGAGAGCCAATAAATTTCTCCCCTCCACCCTCTTAAGTCACTGTGGATTGGGTTTCTATGATTCCCAGGGGCCTGCGGGTTCTCCACCAGCTTACCTATTGTTCTTTCTCACCAGCCTGGTTCTCTACGTCTGAGCTACAGGGCCTTTGCACGTGCTGTTATGCCCTTCCTCCTGCAGTCCTCTCCCCCATGACTGCTACTGAAACTGCATCTCAGCTCAATTGTCATCTTCAAGCCTTTTCCAACCCCCCCAATCTACTTCATGTACTTTTTCTTCATTAAGCTTATCATGATTGCTAATTACTACTAATTATGTATTTACTTTGATGATTATTTCACAAATATCTTCACCCCAGGTCCCATAGACTGTAAGTCCTTTTTGGGCCGGTCCTTTGTCTCTTTTGATGACCCCTATTTCCCTGTACCCAAAACAGTGTATGACATAAGTATAGTACTCAAGAAATGTCTGTAAAATGAGTGACCTCAGATTTACCCCCTTGGTGGGAAGGAGGTGGACAATAGCACAGAATTATATAATATTTGTACCACATAGAGAGAATGTTCTGGAAATTTTACAGATCCCGAGTATGGCTCTCCTGAGCCAGTATGGCTTGCTCAGGATTGCTTCCAGGATTCCAATGAAATGGTTAGTTTCTCATCAGTTTCTCCTCATTGCAGGCACTTAGCTTCTGGTTCCCTTTGCTCTGTTATATCAAATATCACTTGTCCATCTGCCTTCCATTCTCCGAAGGCTCTTTTGAAATCCCTGGGGCCGATGCCTCATCTCCCATTCTCATTATCCTTGGAGTTTAGGTCATGGGGGGAAGCTATGGTGGACATCCATCCCCAATGACCCAGCAGTAACCACAGTCACAGTCACCCCCCGACAGCAAATGTATGAGAGACCCTCAGTGAGTATCACCCAGCTGGGCCCAGTCAACCACAGAACACTGAGAGATAATAATACATTTTTGGATTGAGTCACTGAGATTGGAGATGTCTTATTACACAGCGATGGGTAATGAGCAAGAAAGGAGCAGAACCAGGATTTAAAGACTGTGGTCAGCTCCACTCAAATGCAGTTTTGGGCTAGTCTATTGCTAAGCTTGAGAATCCCTTGCACACTTGAAGGTTTACAAGTCTTTATATATGATGGATGTGATCAGCCTGCCTGCATTGTTTCTTTGACCACATTCAAGGGCCAAACGTCTGCACATAAGATACAAATCAAGACACCCAAGCCTAAGACATTCCCCTCCAACCTTTTTTTTTTTTTAAGGAAGAGAATTTTTGCTATAGTTTTATAGAAGTTTGTCAGCAGTGCAGTAGAGCAGAAAACACAGAATTCTCCTTCAAATAAATGTTGAAATGAAAACTCAGGGACTTGACTGTCAGTCACTAGGACCAGGGTCTGCATCCTGTCTTCCCGTTGCAGAAATGACCTTGGACAGAGTGGTGAGGGCACCTCCATGAGCTTCAGTTTCCTCACCTGGAAAATGAGTGCTAAGATTAGCAGCTGTTTGGGGATTCAGGGTAGGGAATGACCTTTCTGTGGAGTCCAGGAGTAAAAGGCCATCAGGAGAAGCTGGTTTGCCCCTGCCTCTCCATTCTCACATCTCTGGCCATCAAAAGTCAACAGCTTTGGGGCGCCTGGGTGGCTCAGTGGGTTAAAGCCTCTGCCTTCGGCTCAGGTGATGATCTCAGGGTCCTGGGATAGAGCCCCACATCGGGCTCTCTGCTCGGCAGGGAGCCTGCTTCCTCCTCTCTCTCTGCCTGCTCGTGATCTCTATCTGTCAAATAAATAAATGAAATCTTAAAAAAAAAGAGTCAACAGCTTTGTTTCTTCTCTAAGCAGAGGAGGATGGCAGCTGGTCTGGTTGTAGGAGGCAACAGAGACCAGCAACCTTGTCAGTCGTCAAGGGGAACTTGGAAGCTTCCATCCTTGAGCCCTTTCCCTCATCCTCCAGATTTTCTTTTTTTTCTATTTCCCCCCACCAAAATATAAAAAGCTTCATAATCTTTGATGATTATTAATATTTACATGTAAAAAAATCAAACACACAAAGAGAAGAAAGTAAAAAAAGATATTTGCCCTTATCTCACCATGGAGAGATGCTCATTCCTGATATATTTTTAAAGATTTTATTTATTTATTTACTTGGCAGAGAAAGAGAGACTACAAGATGGGGAGCAGCAGAAGGAGAGGGAGAAGCAGATTCCCTGCTGCACAGGGAGCCGAATGTGGGGCTTAATCCCAAAACCAAAGGTAGACACTTAACTGGCTAAGCCACCCAGACACCCCTCCTGATATTTTTTAATCTCCCTTTTCCACTTAACAATTGATTGCAGACAATTCATGTGAATGAACTTAAGTCAAGGTCATCATCATGTGTACCTGGACTAAATATCACAAACTTGGAATGAGACGACCTCTGTCTAAATTCCTTCTCCCTAGTCACTGGCTGTGTGACCTTGATTTTTCTGCACCTGCTTCCTCAGCTGTAGGAGGGGAATGATAACAGCGTCTACCCCAAGGGTTGTCGTGATGACCAAGTGACTTATTACCTGGCATACAGTTGCCAACCAGTTTCTGTTAGCTGCACTTACTATGCACTACGGTAATATGGATGGACCGTGATGCTTTTAAGTCATCTCTAATTCTAAGCATTTTCTACTCATCTACACAGCCTGTCTTTGCACTTTTTCCCAAGTATTTTTTTCATGTTAAATTTCTCCAGGTAAGTTCATTGATCAAAGGATATGCACTTTTCAAATTTTGTCCCCAAGAAATTTTGTATTAATTTATATTCTCGCCAAAAACATGAAGAGTGTTGGGGTGCTTGGGTGGCTCAGTGGGTTAAGCCTCTGCCTTCAGCTCAGGTCATGATCTCAGGGTCCTGGGATCGAGCCCCGTATTGGGCTCTCTGCTCAGCAGGGAGCCTGCTTCCCCTTCTCTCTCTGGCTGCCTCTCTGCCTACTTGTGATCTCTCTCTCCCTCTCTCTCTCTCTCTCTCTCTGTCAAATAAATAAATAAAAATCTTTAAAAAAATGAAGAGTGTCCATTTTTTTCTACTTATCCCCGCCCACACCAACCACGATCCTTTTTTTTTTTTTAATTGGACCAGTGGATGGTCAATATTTCCTGGGCTTTTAAAATACTTGTCCATATCAAGATGCCTGCAGCTCCCTGGCCGCCTTGCCAGCTGACCTTCAGCTCCATTCACTCACTCAACAAATATTGATTGAGTACCCACCGCGTGCCAGGCCCAGTTAGAGAGCTGGGACACAGCAGAGAATGACAAAGCACCTGCCTTGTGAGATGACCAAGGGGTAGGTGAGCCCCGGCATGCTAAGGGTTTGGCAAGTGCCTGCTTTAGCACCCAGGAAACAATACTGTATAAGCGAGACTTTCATAAATAAATACAGAATATACATTTTATAAATACATAAATGATATTTTATCACCATATATGACATTCATTATCACTATACATAAAATGATAATATCAAATATTATCATTATCATTTTGAGCCATAGGACCTTAGAATTCACTTTTCTCCATCCCTCAGTTTACTCATCTATA